CAAACCATTGCTATTGGTATGATTACCAAGCTCATCACTTCTGAGACCGAGGCCCAGTAAAGTGCTTTTACCACCGAGAATACCTGAATGTCCAAATTCTCAAAAAGTACAACGAATCACAAAAGAAAAGCGGTGTCAGCGATGTGCTTGCGAGAAACTCTGAACAGGGAGGTACGGGTGGGCAGAGGTCGCGTAATGATACCACAAACAGTCCACAACTGACGATGATGAACATTTCTTTTTCCACGTTATATCTTCCATAGACTTTGCTCCATCTATGAATCCAAGCGGTTGAACCGTATATGGATTCTTGGGTTATCTTCAGCCACATAGGAGGTTAGCACACGCAAGCCAGATCTGATGAATGATCAATCATTGGTAATAAATGCATCTATGTAACTAGAAAAGGATATCTATCTGAGGGGTTTCCTATTGTCACCAAGGCATGGAAATAAAACGAACATATTCAGCAAAAGCCCACATCTACCTTTTCTTTCCAACAACCTTCGTAAACCCATCATCATCAATCTCAGGCTCAGCCCGCTCCCTGGGAGCCCGCACCAAGTTAGGCGCATCACCCATCTCAACATCGCCTTCCTCACTCTCATCATCCGTCTCTTGATCTTCATCCCCAGCCTCAACCCTCTGGAACTGACCCGCAGCAGACCGATTTGAGCTCTTCTTCTGGAAATTCTCCAACATCTGCTGGACGGTGCCGAACTCGCCACGATCCGTCTGCATCTTCAGCTCCATGATCATGTCCGCAACGTCCGCGGCGCTCTCATCGTCCACCGCCACGTCAAACTCGTCGTTCATGACCTGGACGAGCACTTCCTCCAAGTCTTCGGCGTCGGTCTCGGGTCGATCAGTGAGCATCTCGGAGATTGCGCCACAAAGCCAGTCCCGCTTTTCGCTTGAGTTGGGGCCACCCCAGTTGGACTGCACGGCTAGTGAGAGGGCCGGCCAACTGTTGATTGTGAGGGTGATGGCTAGGTCGAGGTGAGAGGCGGCATCTGTGGCCGGTTGGGGTGTGGAAGTTGTTGCCATTTTGGAGGTTATGTTTTATATGGTTGTTGGATTTGAGGTGGGTTTGCGATTATTTTTTGCGACGATTGGTACCCCGCGGTCTTGGTGGAGAAAATGGCGCTTGTTGATGGAGTGGGCAAGTTTGATTTGGGTAGTATGATGGAAACCGTCAATTTGTCTTGCTTTGGGCCTCTCCGCGATTTGTGTACGGTAGTGCAATTGAGCTTTTTTTATACTATGTTATGTACATTGAATTTTTTTTTCCAAAAAAGATCCGATTAGATATGATAAGGTCATGTGACCCTGCCTCTTGGCATTGTCCAGGCTACAGCAGGCTAACCTTGCAAGGTTAGAAAATATTAATTCTTGTTTCGCAAGGTAATCGTGCCAAGCGCGCTTGGCACAACTACTCTTTTCTAATAACTTGAACAAAAATTTATCCACAACCTTCAACATCCAGAGTAGGTTATACCATCAAAAAAGAAACTCCGATAGGGGGAATCGAACCCCCGGCTGCCGTGTGAGAGACGGCGATGTTAGCCACTACACCATATCGGATGGTTGAAAATACTTCAGCAAATTATATTATCAGGCCTAGTGTTGGACATTTCGGTCTAGCGTTATAGGGTCCTGTGCGTCGTCGTGCGTGGTTCTATAAAGTCCTCCCCATCGCCTAGACTTCGGCATAACCCATTCTAACCCGGACCCAACCCAACCCATTGGGTAACCCATTGGGGCCCCAATATAGTGCAAATAAAACAGGCAAATTTTTATTTGGTTGAAAATCAAAGATTTGAATATATACATATGTACAGCATAGTAACTCAATTTCAAAACAAAAACAAGTTTATATAAAAAGCATTTTATAACTAGTTACTACTGGAAAAGTATGTTTAAAAATGCCAAGACTTATATTTTATGAACTTTATGAATTTTTATGTCAAAATGGGTTCAAATGGGTTATTATTGGGCTATTGGGTTTAACCCATTGGGTTCTGGGTTGGGTTGGGTTATAGAGGGCGGAACCCAAAACGGTTCTGCCGAAGTCTACTCATAGCTAATAGTATCTCATTAGTTTCGGACCTTAGGGAATATTAGTTAAAATATATTAATTATATAACTATTCGACCGGACGCTCCTCCCTATAATTTACGTAAGCTAACGATTTAAGCGTCTAGTTAACGTATTTCACTACCGAGTGGTCCACACCACCGAGTGGTCCACCCAAATCACCCGATCAATTTTAAAGGCATTTATCTCAACACAAACGCCATTAAATTAACTCAACTAACTAATCGGTCTATCTGGACATGTTTCTCTCCTATGCCCTGGCAGTCTACATATTCCACACCCCCGGGGGGGCCGCGTACGTGGCTGAATAGCCGATTCTCCAGAGGTGCCAGGGCCGGGGGGAGGTGCTTCACTTGCTTCCTGTTGCTGCAAAATTAAAACAGAAGCTTCTTCAATTGAAAGGCCCTCTTCAGAAGCAATATGCCTTCGGGACCTAGTCCGTTTTTGCTTCTGCTTCTCGTTTTCAGCGCGTAATTCCTTGTTTTCCTTCGCTAATAAGATAGCGCCTTGCATTGTAAGACGGAAGCCTTTTATAAGCTGGTTTAATGCACGATCTGACGGGCTAGGCGGGCTTCGAGACCTCGTACGAAGTAAAGCTTTAATTGATGAAGCCTGTCGACGTAGTTCTTTCTCTGTAGCGGGTGTTTTTGGTGTGAAATTTCGGCTTGAATCACTACCCCTACTCGGAGGGGGGTAGGGGTTCGAAGCTGAATATTTAGCTTCGAGATCACTCTCTCTGGTGAAAAAGGGACTAAACCAGCTGCTCCGAAGCTATTCTTAATAGTCTCCGATTTGAAAGCTTCAATCCGTATAAGGGGGTATAATTCGAGGAAATCAAGTTTATCAATATAATTAACTTGTCGTCTCATCTTTGTCTCCACCAGCCGACCGTATGATCGTTTTAACACAGCAAAACAGCCGATATCGAGAGGTTGTAAAAGATGAGAGGAGTGCGGAGGCATACAGATAGGTATTATCTTATTTTGCTCGCAGATTTCATCGAATTTCGGGGTCAAATGGCTTCCGTGTCCGTCAAGAACTAGCAGCCTATACCTCCCCTTCGTACGAAGAGAAGTGCTAGGAATAAAGAGCTTTTCAAGCCAGCGAAGTCCAATTTCATCTGAAGTCCAACCATTAGGACTAACTTCAATTCGCCAGTCGTTTGGTAGGCCTTCGAACCATGATTCCAAGTAGACTTTGCCTTTGAAAATTATACACGGAGGGAGGGCCCAACCCGATAAATTTGCACATTCAATAGTAGTCACCCATTCACGATTTCCAGGCTGTAAAAGCGAGCGCCGACCGTAGAATTCACTTCTCGTTATCACCTTCGCCGTAGCGATTAACCCCATTGCAAAACCGGTCTCATCGAAGTTATAAACGTCATCGGGGTCGATTCTAAATTGAAGGATTGTTTTTTGAACGAGATCGAACCACTCTCGAATGATTTTTGGGTCTTCGCACTTCGCACGTTCGAAATTATAGCGTCTCGAGAATCGGGAGGAGAGGTCAGGGTGTCGTTTCACGAATTTTGTAACCCAATTTTCGCCAACTGAAAGGATTAGGGTAGTTCCGCGCTTTTCGAGAAGCAGATTCGCCATTTCTCGAACCATAGAAGGCCGAGGGGCTGATCCCCGAGAATCCATAGAGAGAATCCATTTTCGAAGAGATTCCTTTTCAGTTTCTGTCAATTTGTGTGAATTGGCACGAGAAATCGCGCGGCAAGGGGTATTCTTTAGACGACGGAGGAGAGTTGACTTTGGGACTTCAAAACGGCGCGCTACTTCACAGATAGAGCTGATTTGTTGATCCTTAATAGCCTGGATAGCTAATAAGATTCTACCCTCTTGCTCTATTGAATTTCTAGAGCTTTGAGAGCGAATTGGTGGCATGGTGGGTGGTTGAATTGATTAAGTGCAAATTTAGGGACGCGTTTTGGGTGGGGTGGACCACTCGGTGGTGTGGACCACTCGGTAGTGAAATACGTTAACTAGTTAGTTAACTAGTTACTCCGTAACTAACAGTTATAAGAGCCGGATAATATAATTAACTGTAACGGGCCAAAGCCCGGCTTAGATCACGTGAGGCACGTGCCCACAACTGCCGAAGTCTACTATCAATTTTCTGACCCCCGTCAGAAAAGTGAGGTTTAGAGGGCTTTATACAATAACTTAATATACTGTCAATTCTCTGACCGGGGTTAGAAAGTAAGGCTAAGAGGGCTTTGTACAATAACTTGACACACTCTCCCTTCATATCTTGTTAAGTAGAATCATAAACTATGATTCAATTGAAGGAAACATTTCTAGCTAATAATACATCTCCCCATATAAGGCGCAGAGGAAAAACAAAGCAAGCGTGATAGACATACAGCGAGAATAATGCAGAGCCGAAGCAACGAGAAGAACGATGGAAACATGGTAAGGATAACGATAAGAAGAGTAAACCCGCTGCAGCGACCGAAGGTAGCAATTCAGGTAAGAATAATCACACGCAGCCTCAATGGCAATCCGTCTGCGAATGGGCAGCTAGAGCACCTGGGAACCAATCCACGTCTTCATCTAACTCCTCAAAATAATAATTGCCAAGGCTGTCACGAGATGGGCGAGGACGGTATTCCATTCCTTGTGAGGCGACGACAATTTCCTTCACAGGATTTGGGTGATGTGGTGAGATGTTCTCGGAGCCTCTAGCATGCGGGAAGGACGGAGGAATAGCTATTTCCTGTAGAGACTTCTCACTCGAGGGAGATGGTCGGCGAGGGAAGTCTGCATTTGGGTGGATCTCGAAGGAAGACTGGAAACGAGACGGACGACCAAGAATCGGGGGCAACTGAGTATCTTCTTCATCAGGTTCAACAGTATCTTCAGACTCCACACCGGCAGAAAATCCATCCTGGTAACTTAGTAAGGCTCGAAAACATCTTCCAACCCCATGTTGGAACCCTCATCCTCACTATCGCAATCCCACGTCTTCATAGGGACGTTGGCTGCTCCACTGAGGGCACCGATCCTATGGAGAATCCATTGCATTTGGAGGAGATTCCATGATGGCAATGGCAGACTTTCTGGATCTTTGGTTTGGAAAATGACCAGATCACCAGAATTCATCTTATGCACGGATCCATCAGTGTTCTCAACACGAAGATTGAGTAATTCTGCGGGGGGATGAAGCGAAATACTCGGTTTGTCCTGGACCTGAACCTTATCTCGCGTGACCTCAGGCAGCCAGTAGAAACGTATGATTAACTCCTTACCGTCGTCGCGCAGATGGAGCGGCTGGAGGACAAAGTAAAAAGCCCCCCAAAGCCTGTGGGCGTTGGGGCACAAGGAAAGCAAATTCTCGCAAAGCTCTGTGCCACATGGGCCCGTCAACCGGGCTTCCCATTTATCGACTTGGTCTTTGCGCCAGAACATGTGCAGCGTTTTCCAGAAGTCGTCGTACGTGTCAGTGCATTTGTTGTTTCCCGATGATTGACTTTTCATCAGGGATAGCGGGTAGATGTGAGCCACATCTACCTGGGGGAAATTGGTGGTCACACAACTGAAATCGTCGCGCTCAAGACACTAGTCAAGGTACTAGTGCATAGATCACTCCTCACTCCATGCAAACTAAATGACTCACAGCTGTTTTGGCACTGAACTTTCGCTTCCCTTGTGTCTCAGGCAGCCCCACGATAATCCTCGGCTTTGTTTTCCCTAAGCAGTTTCAATGTCAGTACTTCCGTCGGTTATAAAGGGGTATGAAAGACGGAAGTAGTTCACAAGCCCTGATCATAGTGAAAGCACTCTTGCTTGTCATCAAGTAGGACGCATTGGATTGGGAACATTCCGCCACCCGGAGAATCTCTCGAAGGCATTCAATATCGGACAACCAGAGGCATGCCCAATATGTTGAGTCCGCCTCACTTTCCTTTGCCTTCTTTCTCAGACTGTCGATCAACTTTGCTCTCTCAGTAACCCCAAGTTCTGGCAATGGATCAATAGGTGGAGGGCTCCATGGAATATCAGCAACTGGCATAGTAGAATTCTCGATCGGAGGCGCTTTCTCAAAGCCAATAAGCTCCGATAAAGGTTCCATGTTGTCGTGATGGACTATAGTCATGGCTGGTCGATAAGGAAACTGCTGAGATGGGTGGAGTTAGCCAAGTGCTCCCAGCACTGGAAGGCACGTAACTCGCCTGACTTCCCTCCGAGGCCCAATTGAGACGGCGAATTACGTAGTGTTGACGACACAAAAGTTTACTTAGTGGCCGGAATACCCAGCGGTATAGGCGCCAACTGCCAAACCCCCATTTCTAGTTAGTAAATATTTGATGCCTTAATGCCTGATTTAATCTAGTTAACTAACGTATTTCACATGCGAGTGGTCCACACAAGCGAGTGGTCCACGCCAAAACACATAGTAAAAGCGATAGATTACAGCATGTCAGTGCAACAACGATTGTCTATATAAGCTGTTTCTTATGACCTAGTACACTTTAAATGATATATAGCCACTTTATAGAGTGATTGAGATATATATATATCTAGAGTTTAGCACTGTAATTTTCAATACGACAACAATATAGGTGTTTGATTTATTTGAAGTTGACATATAACACTAAAAATACTTATCGATTGCTATCGGCCAGCCATGAAATAAAATAAAAAAGTTGGTTGTTGAAATACAAGTGACAACTATATCGCTTTTACTATGTGTTATGGCGTGGACCACTCGCTTGTGTGGACCACTCGCATGTGAAATACGTTAACCGCTTTTTACCGCCCTATACAATGTACTGTAAATGATTCATCGCAAAATGAAGCTTTTGATCTCCATACAAATTGAGAGATCTCGATATTCTTAGACGGTTTACGAGTGTGAAAAATGAAGCCTTTCATCTCTATACAAATGGTATGTAAACGCCAGCAAAATCAGGCTACTCTGATTATTAAGGGAAGTGTTGTGGTAATCAGGTAACTAGTTATCTTAATTCTTCTGCCCGGCTTTAATTCAGGCCGGCAGGCCAAATATAGGCATCAAGGCATCAACATAGGGTTTTGGCAATTGGCGCCTATACCGCTGGGTAGTCTGGCCTCGTTCTCCTTTTAACTCCTCTATTACGCTCGAGATGAGGTAATTTTGTTAGTATGCTATATCGACCTACGGATCCATCGCCTCGCATGCTCATCGACCAGCCAATCGTTGAATTTCCGCTCATCTACGGAGTACGTACATACGCCCGACACCCCCTCTCTAGTTCCGGCGTTGTCGCGTTTACCGGAATATAGCTGGCATTCTTTTTTTAATGAAAAGTTAATACCTATAAGAATGCGATAACAAGTCTCGAACATCTTATTTAATGCATGACGCTAGGTATTGTGTTTGATTAGAGATAAAACTTTGAAGGTAGCGTTGCAGTCATAGGCTTAAGTGGCTTAAATGACCCGAAACAGCGGAGTCTTTTTCCCCACCGAACGATCATTACTAGTGGCCGCTTCTTCCGGCCAATAGTAGATATTGCCTCTACTTCACAACTAGGTTGGTCTCTAGTATATTACGTATTTCTTTTTCGACCTTATATATAAATGGCTTGGGGTTTGTTCAATCGGGGGCACATACGCACATACTCTAATCATGCTGAAACTGGAATCCTCAAGCCTTGATTCAATATGCGGTCAAGAATCACCTAGACTCGCATTTTGCTCTGAAACATGTCTCTCTTCAGCGACTAACAGGACACGAAGCGTTTCAGAGCCCTATTATCCAACAAATACTTTAAGTAGGTCGTTATCTGACTGCTGCTAATTGCTCTCTTTACTAAATAAAAGTCACCGATCTCGAACGCTGGATATCGAAACTCGGAGATAAAATGCCTCAACCGAACAACCTGCACGGCATTAGTGATGGTTGTCCAGACGAGGTACTAGGTATCACAGAGCAGGCATTGAGTGAACTCAAAGGATACGAACGGTCTTTTGATAAGATTCGTTGGCGGAAGATACAGGTTGGTGCGTTGTTTGATTCAGGTTAATGGCTTATTGAATAAGAATCACTAATGCTTTCATAGCACAAGCCTATTTGAACCCATATCAATCAGTGCAGACTCGAATCTGAGATGACCTTGAGCCAGGGTTTCAATGTTTAGTATATCTATTATGGATTGATGTATATCAGCTTCTCTTTTCATGACTTTAGTGCGTTTATGCACGCGTCCTTGGTGAAACCAGAAATAATCGATTCCCTATTTAAATAGCGAGGAAAGGTCAAGTTCGAACCCTTAACACAGGATTTATATCTAAGCGAAAGGCATAGGGAAACATTAGTTTGTTACCTAAGTTGTGGGGCGGAAGATTGCTTTTACATCAAATCTGAAATCTACCATCACCCGTGTCTCATATAGATGCACAATAGGATATCCGCGTAGCCTAGAAAACGGACTCACTGTCGACCTGTTGAAAAGTCCCTAGAACTCAATCCCATGTTGCTAGATAGGTACTTGCACTACACGAGAACGCCATGGTTCTACACGGGAGAACCACACACAGTCATGGTCTTTCCGTCTTGCACCATATCGAATGTTGGTTGAATAATTCATTGAAAACTGGTCATATTGACCTAACCAGTTCATGTGTGCGATATGTTGCCTAGAGTACACTGCTTCCTCGATTGTATATATAAATCAGGCTGTTGCAATCTAACACACGCGCGATAACATCAAATTATGCAGGACTGCTTATGATCTGTGTATAATGCTGACATGACCAGTCTAATCTGATTGTTGACAGGGCAGCGGTTGGGCCGCCCAGTGTAATGACACGGCATAGGGATGGTGTAGGACTGTGATTGCTTTTTGACCCTAGGAAAGTTAGAAGAACGCATGCATATGGAGTGGAGTTGATTTGAATTCTGTGATTTTCATTGGCCAGCACGGAAAGCGAGAGCGAAATCAATGCACGACACTCGATAGGTCACAAAATTTAATATCAAACCTGTGTTAAGAGTATGCAAGAGAGGAGCAGGTTTATTTATTCCGCAGTTTCTCTAAAACTTTTCCCTGTTATGTTCCTCTCATCACGATGCTTTCCACTCCCCACGAAGTGCCCTCGGCATCTGAACCAAGCACATCTGTACCCCAAGCCAACGCCGAGATCGTTATTAACGCGGTCGGTCCAATTACGATCGATGATTTTAGCGACGTATGTAGACTCGACTGGCTCATTGTAACCCGGGAATTAAATATCCGCCTTGTAGGACACCAATAGTCAATTCGACGATGAGCTGTCTGATCTTACTTCCCTGTCGGAGAGCGTACTCGAATTTGAGTATGAGAATGGTCGACGGTATTGCAGTAGGGGCTCAGTAAGTAGTCTTGCTCAACATATGCCCAACCTGTGCCCTTGGTACTAAGCTTAAATAACCAACTGACCTACGGATGACTAGGGAAATTATATGTGCTTTTACACATTCCTCTAGAGATTCCTGGCTGGGAAGACTGACTAAATTAGGATGCCAAATGACGAAGAGGAGCAGGATCGAATGGACATAGTAAGGCACCATTCTTCGTGACTGTCCATGTTGCCATACTGAACTCTCCCTTCAGACACACCACATGTCGGTGAAGCGACGCATTCCTGGTGAACGAGCGTGTTTAACCAGAGCGGTGCAGATGGCTGATGCTACTTGGAGGGGAGCTCTATAATGCGCCTCTCATCTCATCGCCACAGAACATTCTTGACCTGGGAACCGGAACAGGTATTTGGGTTATGGACATTGCCGAGTACCTGAAATACTCCATCCTCCATTTTTGTATACCAGGAAGACTCACCCCAGATATTAGAAAATTCCCTAACGCCAAAGTCATTGGGAATGACATCAGCCCTATTCAGCCTAGTTGGGTGGCCCCGAATATCGAGTTCATCGTGGAGGACTTTGAAAGCGAATGGGTGTATGAACGAAACCACTTCGACTTTATCCATGCACGATGCCTGGCAGGGTATGTCTGTGTCACCGGCTATCCCAACGAGAGTGACATTCTAACACACTGCGCAGATGCGTGGCCGACTGGCCCAGGTTTATCAGCCGGATATATGACCACGTCAAACCCGGCGGCTACTTTGAATCGCACGAGAGTGCCGTGTGGGCCCGGAGCGACGATGGCTCCCTCAAGAAAAACTCGGCGCTGATGGAATGGCAGCAGGCCGTCAATTTCGCCGGGGAAAAGAGCGGCCGGGAGCTGAACATCTACCATAAGCTGGAGAACTGGATGATTGAGGCCGGCTTTGAGGATGTTAGCTTGTCGGTCTACACGCTGCCTTTTTCACCCTGGCCGCGAGATCCGTATTTGAAGACCCTGGGGAAGTATCAGGCAGTTCAGTTGCAGCAGGCCATCGATTCCTATTCGCTGCGCTTGTACACGCAGGTGCTGGGCTGGGGTTCGGATGCGGCCAAGATTCATAATGCGGTGGTCAAGCAGGAGCTGCGGGATAAGAGGCTGCACGCCTATGTTCAAACGTATAGTCCAACCCATTCCCCTCGATGGCCTGAATACTCGTACTAACTATGAGCAGAGTCGCCGTCCATGGGAGAAAGCCCCTTTACTTCAAATATTTGTGAAAAAAAGCGAATTGACGGCTAATTAGTCTTAAAGACTAAGTTATTGCAAAAAGTTAAGGGAATATATTACCCCTATATCTATTATAAAATTTAATAAATGCGAACTGTTGCGATTGGCATGGTGTAGTTAGTTCACATACCCCCAAGGTTGTTCCTGGACCCGCGAGACCTCGGGAGGATCCGAGGATGAGTCAGCACAATAAAATTGGAAAATTGGAAGCCCTAGAGAGCTCCATAATAACGATTTCCCGCGAAGAATCCTCATAGAGATTTTGGTGAGACAATTGATCACTAATTCGCATGACTTTTAATCGCCCCCTACCCATCTCCGGGGCGTGGGAGGACCCCGATGCGTACATTGAGGCCCTCCTCTCCTTCTCTACTACGTCGGTGCTCTTTATGAATTTGTGCGGTGGCGTGCATATGGTCGACTTTCTGACCCGGGAGCCCGACCTCTATACACAAATCCTGCCAAAAGATTGGATATATTTCTTCGAACAGCATGATACACAGGATATCATCCGGCTACTTCTACGAGAGGACATTGAGCACTTACGAGGCGCCGGCGAGCCTTCCGTAGATCAAAGCAGCCGTACTTGGAATGGAGGAGCATTCCCTCCCCAGAGCCTCTTAGACTATATTTTCAATATCCGTCTACTGACACTCCAACGAGAAATGCCCACCTCATCTCCGGAGAGGATCGAATTGCCAAAGCAAGTTGCTATGCATATGAACCGAAAAAAAGTACACGAGGTTCAGTGCCTTTCTCAACATGTCGCATCTCTATCAGAAACTGTCAATAAGCGCCGAGGTGAGCCAGTCACTCATATTGTTGATTTTGGGTCTGGACAGAACTATCTTGGACGGACATTGGCCAGTTCGCCTTACTACAAGCATATCATCGCAATTGAGCGCAAGCATCAATATATCAGCGGTGCGAAGAGTATGGATGTTCGAGCCAAGTTGGCAAAGAATCCAAAGGCTCAATATTTTCGCAAGGACAAAAGTCCATGCGATGGCTGCAACGATACCCCGGAAGTGACGGTTTCTGAAATGACGGATACCTCGCAACCAACGATAGAGGGCTCGCAGGTACCGGATGTCCCTGTGTTCGAAATAGCCGAGATTAGTCTTCAATCTGACGAGCTACTCGGATTCCCCATCAAAAGCCCATTACAAGAAAAACTGCCAGAGCCAGAGCCAGAAATACGCGGTACTCTCAGCTATATTGAGCATGAAATCCAAGATGGCCTCTTAGAGCCCATTATCGACCACATCATTCATCCATCCCCCGCTGAAGCCTCTGATGGAAAAGGAAAAGAAGAGAGCGATGCTAGATTGATGGTCGTTTCCCTTCACTCTTGTGGAAACCTTGTTCACCATGGTCTACGATCCCTGATTCTAAATCCTTCAATTGTGGCTGTCGCTATGATCGGTTGTTGCTACAATTTGTTGACGGAACGCCTCGGTCCAACCACACATAACCTCCCTATCCTTCAGTCCCTCCACCCTCGACTTAAAGAGACTGGAACATCCTACGATCCGCACGGGTTCCCTATGTCCAAATACTACGAGAATTACCGAAGTCCCGGAGCAACGACCGGTATGAAGCTTAACATCACAGCTCGTGCACTGGCCGTGCAGGCTCCATACAATTGGGGCTTGAATGACAGTGAAGTGTCCTTTACCCGTCATTTCTTCCGTGCTCTTCTCCAGCGTATTCTCGTTGATCGAAGCATTCTTCCTAAGCCCTCTGTGCCGGAAGACCCCTTCCCAGAAGCTAGATCTATTATCATCGGAGCAGTGCCTAAAGCTGCATTCAAGTCCTTTACTGCATATGTTCGTGCTGCGACGATCAAGATGAGTCGAGACCCGATATATGGTCCCCAGGTGCAGGAGCATATTGCTACCCTGACTGATGAGGAGATTCACTCCTACGAGACTCAGTACCTGCACACGAGAAAACATATGAGTGTTGTGTGGAGCTTAATGGCGTTCAGTGCTCAGCTCGTGGAGTCTATCATTGTTGTGGATCGGTGGCAATTCCTTCGTGAACAGGACTCGGTCAAAGACTGCTGGGTTGAGCCAGTGTTTGACTACAGTGAAAGTCCGCGTAATTTGGCGGTCATTGGACTCAAAAAGTGACGGGTGGGAACAAGAGTTGTTGATTGTACATACATAGGAAGTCACAGAAGAATCCCATTTAGCTTCGAGAAAACATCTTGAAAAAGACATAAACAGAATACTTGAAAAGACCACTGAAAAGATCACCGAAAAGATATCATAAGGCCGCATAAGCTATAAGAAATACGTAAATTCATTAGAGGAACCGGGAGTGGAAGGAACGTCCTAGGTTCTTGCCAAAATAATGCCTTTGCCCTTTCCCACAAAGTTGTGACTTCGGAGCAAAGTAACTTGCCTTTGTAAATCACTCAAGTCTGAACCCGAGTATTCTACTGTCCACGTCATTGTCTTCAAAATAATAACTGCTCCTCTCTGCCCGATAGGGCCGATTCAATTGACTGAGCCCCCAACGACACTTGGGCACGAAAGTATGAAACAAAGCCAACACGATACTCTGAGGGGACCGGGGTGAGCTGAGGGAAGAATAGTGATATGTGAAATAGTCCCCTTCCAAGGGGATAGAAAGACGGAAGCACCAGGCTATTCGGAGTCCTCTGAAAAGGTACAGATTACAAAGCCTGGGAAAGTTCTTGGGATCCAAAATTGGTATTAGATCCCACTGAACGTTAATTTCAACTCCGTCGCCTTTTCCTGTGTCGGCCACACTATTGATTTCCCCCTGCATATTATATTTCTTCATTTCTGCATATATCCCCTATCTCTGCTCCATTTCTCATCCCTCAAGCACATCAGTTGTTCTTTTCGAAATGGCCGGCAGACAAGCTCAACCTCACGCTTTTCTCGGATCACCCTTTCAATAAGTCAGAGTTCTTAAGCCTGACTTCCCTTCTTCTGATGAGATTTGGAGACTTGGAATTCAAACATCTGAAGTATCCCTGGCAGATACGAATGACGGAACTCTAGAGTTCGAACCATGCTACTTCAAACCGCACCCAGATAAATTGCTTGAAATTTATCCACTCCACCCCGAGCTTGGACCAAATGAATTACCGCGGACCATACTTCCCGTGCGCAGCGTACAGGATACTATGAACGAATGGCCAACTGAATATCCTCCTGGAGTCGCTCCAACATTTGAGAATCTCAGATGGACGGAGCTTAATAACTATGAATTGGACCACATTGCCTTTGACCAAGCTAATGACACAGAGAGTCGACTAGTTCAGTCTTGAGAAGCTCAGGGACCAAGGATGGCGGGAGCAAGCAGACAGCAAAGTGTGGTATGAACATAATACATGGAACTAACCTACTTATAGACCCGACCGGACGGAAGAAGACCCTGTTACCAGGGAAGACTTTCAAGACCCAAAAACGTGGCAAGTGGTTCATCATGATCGATACACGGGGCTCCCACATTCAGTTATGTCATGTCTTGGTCATGTCCATCCCACTGAGGCAAACCAGGGCCTCACAACACATGAGTTAAGAGCCATCGTAAACACAATGTTGCTTCGGATCAACCACACACCATTCCGCAGATGTCATATCCATCCAATAAGTGACTGAACATTACGTTGCACGGTTTAAGTGTGATGGTATCTAAATTTCATATAGCTTTTGGTTCTGTCTCTTATGGGCGATCAGAAAGGGAGAATATTTCAGGCTTCGTATGATGGAAAGGGACTAACCTTACAATACTCACGACTTTGGAGCCTTGCGAATCCGAGCACTGCACCGTTGGAATTGTTCGTTCGATATAGGTTGAGTGAGCCCATTGGCGGTATTCGCAACTTGTCTATCAGATAGCTTTCTTCTTCTCTTCTTCTGTTAGTCTAAATTAGCTAGTTTGTCAGACTCGAGAAACTAATAAAAGATATGTGCTGGAAAAACATATGCAAGGTCGCTTTTTATATCCGCCCCAAGTACCTTTCTGTCCGCCGTTCTGTCGGTAGACAAGTAATTTAGTTGATAGACATCAAAAATCACGCATATCGTCTTTGAAATTCAGGAACAGCTTATAAGTTTAACAGCATTAGAGCATAGTAAGCTATATATACACGATTGAACGGGGATTGGAGAGAAAACTCAAAAGTGTTAGAAGAAGTCTTCAAAAAAGACAGCAAGTCTGACTGAATATTGAAAGCGTAGAAAAACGACAACAGGGTGAGATTCTGGAGGGTAACTCCTATAGCCATACTGGCCAGCCCTCTTTCTGGCTCCACCCAATAGTGGACATCGCGGTGAATATTTCGGAAGTGTCTCATGGTGCAACTTCTAAAACCACTGAGGGTCTCTTAGAAGCTACACGGCTCTTTGTGGAGACAAAGCCTTGTCTGCATTCTTCCTTGTGCCATCTGTGGCAGTCAATGTTGCGGATCTCCATGCCTGAGTCGCTTTATGTAGGCCTACTGCCTCAAGGCCCATTCAAGCATACCGTCAAAAGCCGCTGCGGCTTGTTCGTGGGCTGGAATAGGCATCTTGATGAAAATGATGTATGCTTTCGGATTGAACGATACCTTGCCATGAAAAGGAATATCTCCTGAGTTAAGGAAATCGAGTGCGAATGTCAAAGGTTGAATTTCGAAGGTTGAATGTCGAAGAGGACGTAATCGCTCTGGGCGCCTTCTTCCCGGCCTGTCGCAGCATATTCAGATAGTCTTGCTGTCCTTCGCAGCTTCTACCAGTGGCCTGAGCTCTATTTCCGCGGAAAGAACTATAGAGATAATCACGTTCAAGTGAGACGACCCGGTAACTCAGTTTCGAGCGATGCGGATGGTTTGGATGGGCTCAACAGAAGTCCTGCGAGCTGTTTAGTCAAGTATCCATCGCTAGATACTGATGTTCTCCTTCTGAGTAATCTTAATTGTAAGAGCGACTTTGACCCCCTGCTCCGAGTTACGGAGCCAGAGCAGTACATCTTGCTGTAGTTTGGCCATTGATTTGGATCATTCTGCTTCAACGAGAATTGTTGGCCATTTCGCATCTCTTCCAGGTTCATGGAGAGGGGTCGTCCAGCAAAAGTCCGGGCATTTCGTTATATTAAAGCCCTCAAACGTTGCACTTTATCCGCTAGGGTCTTAATTATGCTGTTGGATGGGCAAAGGGCATCTTCGGATTTTGAAACCTCGCTGGTCTCGAGCTCGGTGAGATAGGTGCGATATTAGTCGATGACACTTGTGGACCCATATTGAGCTGAGCTGGCCGACCGGGGATGATTGTGGTGGTGGTGGTGGTGGTGGTGGATGGGATGGGGAAGTGCCAATCTGGCGTTCTGGGCTTATTGCATTCGATGTCGGCTTCAAGGATAATGCCTTGGGATGACGGCTTTTGGTAATGCCAGGATCGACCCTTGAAGGTTGGTTAGACATGATTTCATGAGCTTATTAGGGATGGAATGGAACCTTGATATTTTCCAGGCAGAGGATGAGATGAAAGTTCTCTCCAGAATCGTGGGGACCTGAAAAGTGTGCTCCTGTGATAACAGGAGCTATGAAGTAGGAATAGGGAGAGCCGTCATGGGCGAGAGAAGGGCGTGAAGAGGAAAATGGTGGAAAATTTGCAGGTCTTATAACGACTTCCATGATTATTGTTTTGTTAATCTTGCTGTATCATGGGTTCACTTCTCGATAGAAATTTAATCCACGCTGGCATTTCACTCCATATTCCTCTGTAATGACTGTAATAGCTTAGGGAGTAAGCTGGAATCCCCACCAGGGTAGTATATCTGCCTCTATATTTGTCGCCTAATTCACGACGTCCCCTTGGGACAAGGAAGATCACTCCGAATCTCTCGCCACCAGGAAGGAAACTTCCAGTTCCTCTTGGTACAATCCCCAGTCCACTCTCTCATGATGATCATATTGAAGAAACAAGGAGTGTATCCATTACCATCGGGTGACAGCTCCACCCCATTGCTCCAACCATCGTCAAAGGAGTTATCGCATGCGTCGACGTTCTGGTAAAGAGCCGCGGGGTCAATACCATATGTGAACTCCAGCTTGTTGAGTACGTCTGCATCAACCGGTTTCATGTGACCCCCATCCGGATAGTACAACATGAAGCAGTGACCATCAATATAGCGATTACCATATCCATTGCAATATCTATCGCCGTCATTCATTCTCTATATATGGCGGTTAGCAGAATGATGCTTTGGGGATAGAGAAGACGAACGGCTTTGTTGACAGCAACGTTCGATGTAGTAAAAAGTACACCAATGATTCGCTTTTTCTGTGTATCATTAGCTATGTCCAAGATGGTTGATTACATTTTGCAGGGTTGGAAGGAAGGGGGTGCTACCATCTGTTGGAAGCCGGCCTCGATGGCGTCTGTGATATCAGACTGTGTGACAGATTGCAAAAAGGCTCCACTTGAAAGACTACGTGTTTCACGTTCGTGTTAGCATAGGATCATATCATAATATGTCTAAATTCTCATTGACCTACACCTGTGAGATCTTCGATTGCTGCCCAGAGTTATCGAGCCCTAGGGCATGGAGTTGATCAAGGAAGCTGTCGAGAACATCGGTGTCGCTGTCGATCTCGTTGCCGCCAAACATTCGGTTTGTGATCTTAGTGAGATTGTCTCGCACTGCCCAGAAATACTTTTCTAACCATGCCTCCAACTTTTGTTTAATATCTGCCTGACTGGGCTGGTCTGGGGTGTTGTTTGCCGAGGTAAACTGGGATCAGATTAGTACGGCGATGAATGTCGGCGCAGATGTAATATCAAATTGCCTACCAAAAGGGCACCACCAAGTACCCCTAGTACGTCCGCAGTCCCAGCACTTGAATGCGCTGCCGCGACTCCTCCAATAGTAGTCACTGTTAAACTATCAGTCAGCCAAGTAATTTTCTTACCGGAGATGACATTTCACTCACAACTTATAAATGTTGACAAAAGGTTATCCATCCAGCCCTCGTTCCGGTTATAAACATCCAAGTCCGAGATCATTTGATCAAGCGAGAGGCTGTCACTGATTGTGTAATCTTGCAGCATCTCATGGGCCCAGGTCATGTACTGGTTAAACTGTGCGGCTATTTGACGGACGTAGAAGTCTAGAAAAAAACCATCATTCCATTAGTACCCATAATCTCTATCTTCAATTCAAAGGGGAAGAAATCTCACACTGCTCTGGGGTGAAATATTTGCATTGCACCTCTGGCCCCCCACAGGTACCTGAGGAATAGAGGCCTTTGCAGTCCAGGACGGAGTTTTGATCACCATCTCCTGTGGTTTCAGCATCCATCTTGTAAAGCCAATCATCTAAGCAGGAGATATTTTTGATCAGCCAGAATAAGCAATCATGTATTATAACCTAGGAATACAAACGTTCGTCATAGTCATGATCCTTGAACCAATTTTCTAACCAGTCGCTTGCTCCGCTGTTTGACCAAGTTGATGCCTCAAAAGGATTCAAAGAGCAGATATCATCATCCGCGACGGCAGGAGCAGGGGCAAAGAAGACCACCACAAGTAGGATCAATGACTGGGGCTGCATCTTGTATTTATGGGACCTCACTCGAGTGCCGACTTTTAATTGAATGAAGAATTTAGTGTAAAGGGTGACTTCTAACATTTTCATACTCGCATCCCGCTGAAAGTATTTATATGCCCAACATCCTACTGGCTACTCCACGACACGGAATTTTCAGTAGTCTATATCCGATATAGTATACTACTATCAGTCTAAAATACACAGAAAAATTCCATTTATAGAATGAGGCGTCCTATATTGGAGAGATTAGCGCGCCAAGTATTCTCTAAGCTCTAGGCACAAGCGGCTGATTGGATGCATTATAGGCTACTCCGGAATTCCGAGTAGTGTATTTCCCAGGAAGGCTGTAGGTTACCTAGATTCATGATTATCTAATATTATGCATATTCCAACCTTGGAGGGCCATGAGCTCGTATTGCGCGCTACTCCGGAATTCCGAGTTATGTTCATTTCAGCTATATTTAGTAGTAGACACTAAGACACTGGCAGTGAGAGCGGTGGGGAATGGTGCGCCACGTATCGAATAGAGGAAAATCTTAGGCCCTTCCTGGCCATCCAATGTACAATTCGTCAAGATCGACTGAGTGAGCTGGACAGACTGAGACATATTCTTCGTAAGGCGTACTCTTTGCAACAATATGAACCATTTTAAATATATATATAAAGCACTTGGGAACATTCTTCTATCTGTCCTTCATTACCACAATATCACGATTCACTTTCACGCAAGAATCACCGATTCCAAATACTTCAACCCAATTTCGTCTTCTTTGACCCAAAATCTCTTACCAAACCATCAAAATGAAGACTTCTTTCGTTACTATTGCAGTCTCTCTTGCTGGTGCCGCCTTCGCTGCTCCTGCCACCGAGTCCCGAGCCTACCCCTACAGCATTGGCGATATCTCCCTCAAGCACACTATTGAGGGCGACACCTGGGATTTGACATTCCACCTTACTTCGAGGAGCCCGACGGGAGCGGCCCTTGAGACCACTACCTGTCACACTGCTTGGTGGGTTATTACTATTCTGCACAAAGTTTAGAGGACTCCCATAGCAAGAGACTAATCGAAACAATTAGGACCAACGGCAAACTTCCTGTCGGTCCTAAGAGCCCTGAGCCATGCGCTGACCCTGCCTACTCCTTCTTTTTACCCACCGGTGCTTTCAATGTCGAGAAGTACGAAGTCGCCACCGAGGGCCCTGCTGGAGCAGCTGTGACCTTCATTGAGTCTGGTTACAAGTATCAGTGTAGCGCTTACACGGGGCCTGTTGGCAATGTTGATACCGAGTGCAAGACGATCAACGGCGGAGAATTCTACCTCAACCAGTAATTTAATTAGAGGTGCACCAGGGGACCGTAGTGTTGTTGCACATTGCGGGATATGGCCTTCGGGATTTCTCTTTGGGTATAGTCGCTAGTTATCATTGTATTTAGATCCCGCTCCTTAGCTCCCGCTCCTTTGATCTTTATAGAATACTTTTAGATTTGCACACCTCAAGTATATCATTTCTTCTGCCCCGACTCCGATGATGTAAACATATGCCCGTACGGAATATTCAGGTGGCCAGCCTGAGGCGGATAGGAAGTTTCCAAGGTTTGCACCTCACCTATATCTTTTGTTCCTCCCTTTCTCTCTCTCGGTCAGCAGCTAGATTCAATGCATCTTTTCTTTCTCATATTCCATTATCTACAGGCTGTGAGTCCTTGATCTAATCGGTTACTCAATGCGTATCGAAAAACAGAACTGGGGGAGTAAGATGCCGGGACTTACTACCTATGGAAGCGAAGAAACCTCGCTGTCGCACTTTTGACAAAAAAATCTTCTTTTCGCAAACCACCTACAATCTTCATCGATATAACGTGCCAGCGGTGTCCTTATCTTAGCGCGCATAATGGGCCATTCCAACATTTTTGACGTTACCACTCACCATGTCGCGCATTTTGCCGTCCTTCAACGTGACCACTTTCAACCCACTTTCGACGTCCTGATTCTCGACCAAATACCACTTTCAACAGAGCCGCACATTCAACTCCCCTTCGACCTCGAGCTAGAGGCAGATTTCTCGATAAGCTAAAGCGGGAGCCTAAGCGGGGCCCCGAGCGGGACCCAGAACGGGAGCTACGGGAGAACTAGAGTCGACCCTCTTTTAGGCCTCCGCAAAGCCCATAAGGCCCAAGGTCCAACCCATCCCAACCCACTAAACGGGTTGGGCTTTGGGCCTATCCTCGGGCCCACCGGTGGGCTATGGGCCCGGGGTGAAAGCCCACCGGGTCCACGATGGGGGCCCAAAGCCCATAATAAGCACCAAACAATACAAACATTCTAAGAAACGTGACTTTTTAATTACCTTATGTTTAGACCCCGTTTTTAGCCCTTAGATTAGGGTAATATTTTATTATTTTAATTAATACGTTATTAATAACTAGCTAAATTTATATATTACGTTTAAACACGCGAAAAAAACGCGTTCTTTAGATAAGTCTTAAATCATAGAAGTTCACGTAAAAAATGCTAGTACTCCCGCGCAAATCCTAAATATTAACCTTTTTTTTAACATCCACTAGTCGGATCTTGTTTAAAATTAGAGTATACACTTATACAGCTATTATAATTCCAAGTCTAAATTTAAACCCTATATAACTAGTAGAAAGGTCAGAATACAGCGATTACAAGATGCTATTTGAACCCCCTAAATGGGCTTTGCGGAGGTCTACCCTCTTTCAAACATTTTCATTACTGCAAACTTCATACTTTCGAAACCACAAGGTCTTTAAATCCGGATGTTTCAAATCATGCCAACATTTTGTCAATTGCAAACCACTAAAATTATACTGAATTATAGATCTCTCCGGGATAACTTTGCGAATACGAAGCGAGTACGAAGCGAGTACGAACCGCGGGATGGTGATGAAGCCGTTCTGCCTAAGGCGAATACGACGTTTTCTCCTCACCAGGATTGATTTCCCTTCTCCTGAGATCCCATTCTCTCTCTCAGTCAACAACTAAACACAATCCGTGATGTATTTCCCGTCTTGCCTTTTCTACAAATATCTTCGCAGTTCCGACGGTGCTGTTGGATCTTCAGGTCAAGCCCTGGCCTCGCCTGGAACCACAGATTAGTCTCACATTTTTCATTTCAGTATTCTCGCTGCTTACGAGCCAGAGCGATAAGACCCCGAGATCTTCCAGAAAGTCCAGCCGGGGTCCACCATAACATCCAATGTTCCATTTGATATCGTTCAAGATGTCTATCCAAAACACCCGTGAAAGGAGAAGTATATCAGTTACCGGAGAGCATGAATGTTTGCTGAAGCGAGGAAGAAGAACCAAAAGTATAATTTATTCTAATGATGGAAGGCACTATAACTGCATAGCTTCATGGGTAGAAAGAAACAAGAAAGACCACGATAGCTAAAAGAGAAACCTAACAAACTGGTCGAGCACGCAACAAGCCACCGAGCACAACCTCAACTCAATGGATAAGAGTTGAAATAGGTTTATATTCTCACCATCTAAGTGTGATATTAAGAAGGTCAGCCACTGGCTTCAAACAAAATCGCACTGAGACAGATACATGCCTCGATCATGAAATTCAGAATCCTCTCACGCCGTCAAGGTGTCAACCCATCCTTCCAAGTTCATGTTGAAAATGGAGACATCGCCCCTTGGAACGCCCATCATCGTAGTCAAGCGATGGTTGATCAACCATTTTGTAGTGTTTCCCTCAGTCACTTTGACGAGCTTATCGAAATACTTAGCTTCGGCGAAGAACGACTTGTCGCCAACGTAATGACTCGCGGAGCAATACGTCGTAGCCTCGGCTGTATCCTTGCCAGTGAGCCGTATAGCTTGCGTGCTCAATCCGTGAAAGGTAGTAACGTGCCCGATCGTATTCCGCAGTTGCTCAATAACAGTGTCGATGCCATTCATGAGACCAAGGGACCCCGTATAATCCGCCACACAATCTTCTGTGAAAGAACTTCGAAGCTCCGCGTAGGTGTTCGTGTCAAATGCAATTGCAATGTTTGCAATTGCATTTCTGATGAGCTCGTGATCGGATGTAGTTGGCTCCATTGTTTCGATGATTGCTCAAGTTCGGGCTTTTCATCCAGCGTGACTTGGTTGTTCTGGAATTGTCGTATGACTTGGAGCTTCGCAAATATAGGGGACGCAGTGAGAGATGGTATGGAATGTTAGAGGAAGTAAATTCTAATATAAGTTGACATGAGAAATCCATCCGCCTCTTATACTTCCAGCGTTCCGAATTGACAGTTCAATTTGCCCGACCTAGTATAGAGTCATTGCCTGTGACCAATTGATTATAAATGCGCGCAATAAGATCTCAAGCAATTTTCGCTTGACCACCGAATATCATGCTCACTTGTTGCAGCTAAGAACCTGAGTAGGTAGAATATACAAACTGAACCGGAACTCCGGGCTACGCCCTAGCTCCGGGGTGGGCTGCGTCCAGCATAGTAAAGATGCAGATCTTTACCAAATTCTTCCTTCGTTCCTCCAGCCTATGGCAGTTGGACCCTGGGGCTCCAGGGCTTGGCAAGTGAATTAGTAATCCGTGGATTTCAAATCGGGAGAACTCAGTGGTAAGCATGAGAATGTTCCTTTCCTAGGGGCATAGGATATCGTATTTAAAGCCTTGTATGATTCATTCTACGATTTATTATTAACTCACAATCCAAATAGCTCAAGTACAAAACTCGAAGCTCAAAATCGAAATGGCCTCCCCGTTCTACAATTACACTATCGCCACTTTCACCAGGGGTCTCAATACCCTCTCTACCCTCCTAAAAAAAGCCGAAGAGTACGCGAAAGAAAACAATATCCCGCTCGATGACCTCCTCAATGCCAGGCTTGTCGAGGATATGAAGCCTCTCTCCTTCCAAGTTGTGACCGCAACAAACACTGTCTTCAAGACCCTTTCCCGCGCAGCTTTCGTCGACCCTCCGCCGCAGCAAGAGCCCGATAAGACCTATGAAGATCTTTACAAGCGCCTTGATAGGACACTCGCGGAGCTCGAAAAGGTCGATCCGGCTCAGATCGCTGTGAAGGAAGGACAAACTTTCAAAGCTCCAATTGGGAAGAATGAGTTCGATTACACGATAGAGGATTATTCGGTGCGATTTGCGATCCCCAATTTTTACTTTCATGTTGTGACGGTGTATGAAATTTTGAGGGTGAAAGGTGTGCAGATAGGGAAGATGGATTATCTATCGGAATTTACGGCGTAGTTTTACCCCCGGGGCCGGTTTCAACCGATTTAGCCTCACTTGGCGATGTAAATTAGAGCACCCTAAGCACACTGGGCATTTGAGACCAATGTTACTTCCATCCAGGGGGAGGAAATATCCATTGGATCTGCTTTGAATTTGCTTTAGTACCTCGATCCTGTGGAACTCTAATTCTAGCCCTAAGAATAGAAGCTTACAACTATGGAATCCCTTATTACGTACAGTGGCGGCATCAGCGCGGTATTCATAGGTAATAAGGATAAACATAACTATTCTATTTGTTATATTTGTTATAGTAGGTTTGTCATTTCTCCTGATTCTGGGTGGTTGGAAGTACCTCCGTACGGAGTGCTCCGTAGTTAAGGCCAGTTTATCGTATTCGCCACGTTGGCCCCATTGAGATCAGCGGTCTCAATGTCGAGACCTCAATGCCAGCGATGAACTCAAACTTTTTAGCCTACTAGAGCCTGAGGAATATGCATCTTACAGTTCCTGAAACAGCCGTTAGGGGGAACAATGTCATTGATAAAATGGATGGAATATCAATTGGAAGAAATGGGGTTACATCGATGTGCACGGTCCCTGCCAAGCGGCTTGGCAAAAGGTAAGGTTACTTGGCAAGGAACGGATGATTTATAGGTTGTTTGCCCCCATTGTTTTCCCACAGGGGGATTTCCCCGAATGGGTATGACGGTTACATGTAAATTGCAAATCGCCTCATGACGCCATTATAAATAGATCATATTATGTAGTACCTCGACCAAATACGGTAAATTGACCAATTGTACTTCATTTGTATGGGACATTGTGGGGGTTCACTGCTGTCATAATGTGGCCCGTTGACCTAATATCCATATACCTAGCGCCTAAAATGACAGTTGATCGTCTCCAGTAGTTACTCAAAAACTATACACGGCCCGAAGCTCGTGGATGCGTACGGAGTCCGACAGGATTTTCCCGTGTTAGACCCATGTGATATGCGGTGTTGGCTTGGCCCTAAATGCCGATCAGAGATCCTGCGTAGATCCGTTTCGTATTTCGTATGGTTTGAAGTACATTATTATTGAAAAGTTGGTCATCTAGGGAGACTCGAAGATATTATGTGAAAGGTCCATATAGATATAGTATAGATGCGTATTTTAGAAAACGTAGAAAATCACGCGAGGTCGTTCGGAATGGCAATGTTAAGAGTAGCCCTGGAGCTGGGCTTATCTCTCCTCATAGCCATGCCGGTGATATTACTACATTCGTTTAAGGAAATTCCAACATATTAAACAAAAAGTTTAATAACCAAAACCTCTCTTGAAACAGGGGCCGGATTGTGATATTTGGCTCCGGGAAACTTCAATGTCTATCAAGTTCCTAGAGTTTTACCACCTCACGGCCCGTGTATGATGTACGCGATGATGGCTCTATCTCTGGCCAATACCATCCCATCTAGCTGCACGATGTTGCGCACTGAGGGTTGAGCTGATCTCTCCGATCATGAACGGAATTCCGTGGGACGAGCCGGCTCAGGGTTTGGAGATCTGGAAGCGGTGCGGATCTTTCTGCTTTAGACCCTGGCCCGGTCTGTCGCCGTGCTTTGTACGAAGAATTCACGATAACAATTGAGTGTATGTGATGTGATTTGCAAGCCGTTGGTGGATCGGGTGGATATTACTAGGGTATGAGTTGTGAAGGAGTTCTCCTTTTGGGTAGTACATCGATTTGGTATTGCTAGGATTTGGTGGCGGCATATGGCATGTGTTATGAAGCACTGCTCCTGATGGATGGTTCGCCAGATTGTTGTTAATAGCGTGTGGTGGTAGTATATAAGTTGTGAAGGACTTCCCCTTCTAGGTTGTATATCAGATCGAGTTGAAGAATTATTTGCACTGGACATACTACAGTATGGCGGAAATACTAGGATCTTCGTATGTTTTATCACATCTATCGTTTTCTTGTTCTTTGTTCTCTTTTGGTCGTTCAATTGAGTTTCGTCCAATTCTGACTGTCAGATAGACTTATAGATCAGCTTCTACATCTCCGCAGTGAGGCCTCTCACCCGGAATCTTCCCACCACCTCTCCGCTCTACTATCCTCGCACACCGGTTCTTGGCCCATTCGTCACCTGATTCCAACCTTTCAGGACATCTACAAGTCTGTCCCCGAATCTATCAAGGCCAATAATAATGAATCAATCACACGCCTCTGCGCACAAGTCAAAGCAGCCACACCAAACGTTGCAGAACTAATAGGGACAGACTTTCGCCCTGGTCTCATTGATGCTAATACCGGACGGCATCTGACACATAATGCTATCCGACAGTTCTTAGAGAGTTTCCAGATTCCTGTGGGACCTTCCCGTCATGGAAAGCCTCGCATCGCTGTCATCTTGCCTAACGGCCCTCTTATGGCAGTGGCTGTTCTTGCTTTCGTCAACAGGTATACCATTGTACCCATGACAACAAACACGGTGCCAGAGCAGCTGCAGGTGGATATAGAAAACGCACAGGCGGATGCTGTTGTCGCGCTGGACGCTGACATTGGCAAGTTGCAGCTGGATAATGGTAGTCGGCCAGTGTTTGGCATTGAGCAGCTTGAAAACATGACTTTCCGGGTGATCTCTGCACAAAATGCTTCTAGTGCATGTGACGTTCCCCCCAATTCTGGGGACGACATTGCCATTATCCTGTTCACCAGTGGTACCAGTGGTACCAAGAAGCTGGTTCCCATCACAACTTATAACCTCATCGCGGGTACTATGGCCACCATAGAGTCGGTGGAACTGTCCGAGACAGATACCTGTCTTAATATGATGCCGCTGAACCATGTGTACGTCCCCTGCCAAGTTATATGATAGGAAAGTACTAACATCATCAGTGGTGGCATCATGCGCAGTATATTCTCCCCAATCCTTGCCGGTGGTGCCACGATATGCTGCCCATCGTTTGACCCTAGCATGTTCTGGGATGCCGTGCAAAGCCCTCTTATGGCACCAACTTGGTATTATGCCACGCCCACGATGCACCAAATGATTCTTGCGGAAGCCGAGCACCGTCCCGATGCTGTGAAGCAAAGTGCCATCCAGTTTATCTGCAACGCTGGTGGTGGTCTTCCTCCAACGCTTGCTGTGCAGCTTCATGATACTTTCCACTGCTCTGTCCTCCCCAGTTACGGCATGACTGAATGTATGCCTATTGCTGCACCGCCGAGGAATTATAAGCTTGATCGCCACGGAACCTCTGGACGAATCGTTGGTCCTGAGGTTGCAATTCTGACCGAGAGTGGCAAGCCTGTCTCGCAATATGGGATGCTCGGACACATCTGCATTCGTGGATCGCCTGCTTTCGAGGGATATCTGACCCCCGAGGGCAATATTGATACCAGCGCGTTCAACGAATCAGGCTGGTTTGATACTGGCGATCTTGGACACCTCGATGCAGATAATTACCTATACATCACTGGCCGCAGCAAGGAGGTCATCAATCGTGGCGGCGAAATTATCTCTCCGGTCGAAGTGGAAAACGCTGTGCTGACCACGGCCAAGGATCCCGAATCCCCACTGTATGGGCGCGTCACTGAGACATTGGCCTTTTCCGTCCCAGACGATGTGCTACAGGAAGTCGTCGGTGTGGTTATCGTCACACCCCCGGGCCTCACTAGGCCAGATCTTCGCCAGATACACGAAGCGCTGCAGCCTATTATCCATCAGCCCAAGTGGCCCGCTCTGGTAGTATACATGAATGGTGTGCCGAAGGCAAACAACAAGATCCAACGCATCAAGCTCGCAGAGCGGTTGTCCTTGGAGACCTTAACCGCGGCCACGCCCCTGGCAAACCGGCACTACGAAGCTACCTGCCCCCCACTGGTGCTCCACTCAGTACATTGATCCCGAAAAAAGCGTGTGTGATTGATGATAAAATAATTCGCTCTGTTCTTACCAAGAAAACAAATGCCCCTGAGGTGCACGTGCAAATCAACCCGCGCGACGGGCTCGCACAGGTTGTTTTGTTTGTCCAGAACCCAGATGATGACCATGTGACACCTGGCGAGCTCCATAACCAGCTCGATGGCTACCTTATACCTAGTCGTATTATTCCCCTGAAGGGTCCCATGCCTGTTGATTTCTACGGAAACCCCGACCAGGCGGCTATCAGTGAGGCCATACACGCCCGCAACTCGGATGGTGATCTATCGTCCGTTCAGCGACGCGTGCGGGAGATCTTCGCTGCGGCTTTGTCTTGCGCACCAGATGAAGTCTCTGCACTTACCGACTTCTTTGCTGCCGGAGGTGATAGTCTTAGTGCTGGTCGTATGGTTTCGCAACTTCGTCGCGAATTCAATATTTTCCTTGCCGGTGACATTCTTTTCCACCACAGCACCATCGGAGCGATAGAGCACAAGATCACTGAAGCCGTTGAAGTCAAGGCAGCTAAGGGTGATGATGGGGAAGTTGATTTTCCCGGTTGCGAGAAGACATACAGCAGCACGAACCCAATCATATTAATCCTGCACCTGTTCCCGACTGTGCTCTTCTTCCCCATGAAGCGCGCCCTCCAGTGGATGATGTTCGCATATGTCGTCGCTGAGTGCTCAAATCGATTCCCCATTCGTGATAATCTCATCGGTCGCTTGATTCTGGTTGTTTTTGCCGTGATGTCTGCTCGTTTATGCTCACAAATTGTGTCTCCCATCTGTGCTATCGCCTTCAAGTGGCTCGTCATCGGTCGCTATAAGGAGGGCATGTCCCCTATGTGGGGCCCGTACCATACCCGCTGGTGGTTGACCCAGAAGGCATTACAGGTGTGCGGAAAGGGTCTCTTCAACAACTACAATTGGTCCCGTATCCTATTCTACCGCCTACTCGGCGCAAAGATTGGAAAGAATGTCACCATGTCCGCATCTGCTAAGCTTGGTGAATATGATCTGATTGAGATTGGTGACAATGTCATTTTGGATACCTGCCTTTGTCGCCCCTTCGGCGTTGAGCGCAATACCTCCATGCTTTTGAAGCGCATTCGCATTGGCAAGGACTCGTCTATCGGCATCAAGTCGATTGTAGCTCCTGGTGCCGATATCCCCGAGAGGACCTGTATTGGTCCCAACTCCTCGAGCTGGGAACTCCAGGACGCCGATGAGTCTAACCGCCAATTGCTCACCTCTCAGATCCCTCAGCCTCACTGGATTTGGATTCTCTTGATTGTTGAGCCAATCAAGCTGATTACTTGGATGGCTGCGCGTATTACCTGGATGGGTGGTCTTATCCCTATGGTTCTCGAGTTCCCTACCCCCGCGGCCGACATGTTCCGGTCTACCCTAGATTGGTACACCAGTGATCAACGGGTTGCATTCCATATCACTGCACGGATCTGTCGTGCTGTTGGTGGCCCAGTTGTGCTCTTTATTGCGGTCTTGATCATCAAGTCCCTGCTCGATCTCATCTGTGGAAAGCCCAAGCCTGGTCCTGCCTCAAGACAGACCACTCGCCAAAAGGTGCGGAGTGCTGTGCTTGCGCAGATTTTACCTGCAGGTGACATCCACGAGCTCACTCGCCTGACTGGTCGTCACTACGAATTTGTCTCGATGGCTGTCCGTGCCCTTGGTGGCAAGGTTGGCAAGCATGTCTACTGGCCCAGCGTTGGTCCCGTCACTGTCGACTTTGATCTCATTGAGGTTGGTAACGATGTTGTCTTTGGTTCTCGCTCAACCCTGGTCACATCTGATGGCTACGGTCGTGACCGCATCGTGATCGGTGATGGTACTATGGTCGGTGATCGTGTCGTCGCTTTACCCGGTGCTACCATCGGCCGTGAAGCCATGATCGGCTCTGGTGCTTTGCTCCGACGTAACGGTTACTACCCGGCAAACACTGTCTGGACTGGTAGCAAGGGTGGTGAAGCTATACAGTTCCCAAGTTCTACTTTCACCTCGACAACCAGTTCGACCGCTCCAACCATCATTGGAGACGGTAGTAGCAGTCCCAGCAGCGACAGCGAAGACGGGAACACGATTAGCGAGAAAACCATCAACGAGAAGGAGACCAATTTTGGTAGTAAGAATAAGACCGCCACTGTTACCGAGATTGTTGAGAAGGGTTCCGATACCTGCAAGCCTTTCGGTCGCGCCTTCTACCGTCGCGAGGCCAACTACTACGTCCTCCGCATGTGGCAAATTGTGATCTATTCTGTTTTTTCAGTTATTGTCACTACTGTATACTGGCTCCTTACTGTGCTGTTCTCCCTTTTCGCTCTCCGTGCTGTCCTAGACTACAGCGATGCCGCTGGTTTTAAGCAAGGTGCTTGGCGCCCATTCGCTCTTTACGGCCTTCTCGCCTCGATTCTATCTGTCATCACCGCCGCTCAAGTTTTCCTTGCCTTTGGCATTATTCTCTGCATTAAATGGACGGTCGTCGGCCGCCGCAAGGAAGGCGCCTATCACTGGGACAAGAGCAGCTACAACCAGCGCTGGCAATTCCTCCTTTCCTGCGAGACGCTGATTAAAGACTGCTATGATGGAGTGGGTCTCCAGCCAATGATATCTGGCTCTGCTTATATTTCCTGGTACTACCGCCTCTTGGGCGCGAACATTGGAAAGGACTGTGCTATCCACGCCAACGGTAGTCCCAGTATCTTCTTCACCGAGCCTGACCTCCTGACTCTTGGTGACCGCGTTGCTGTCGACGATGCCAGTTTGGTTTGTCACTTGAACTCGCGTGGTGGATTTGAGCTGCACACCTTAAACGTTGGAGACCGGAGTATCCTGCGGGCTGGATCGCGCTTGATGTCCGGTGCTTCGATGGGCCAGGATGCTTGTCTTTTGGAACATACTCTGGTTCTGTCGGGTGACCATGTTGAGAATGGGGACACGCTTCAGGGATGGCCCGCTGAGGGCTTTGAAGGGAAACGTGTTTAGAAGCTTCGTATTGCGTTTCTTTTTTTTGACCTTTTTCAGTGCTTTCTTGGTGCTTTTTCACGTTTGAAATTTGTTCTTGGAAAATATACATATTAGACTCTATCCTAGAATTGGTAGGCATGACTTGGGAAATTTTGATTACTGCTATATTGTTGAGAGAAGATCCTGGGTCGCTTGCACAACATTTATATGTAGGCTTTCTTCACACGTTATTGACGGCCAAACCCTCGACAACAATAATTTTCGTAACGAATTCAGCACCGAATCTGCTAGACCTTAACCTCAACTGCCGACACTCTGTTTGCCATTTTGTTAACATCATCCATCATCCCTGAGAATTTAGGCACTTTGTATCCCTCAAGATAAGGGATACGCTCCTCTTCTGTCAAAGAATAAGCATCGATGTCTTATAGTGTTGTGAATACCGAAGCAAAGTCTGGCAAATATACCAAACAAAGCCCGAACCCAAGATTTTGGAGCGGCACCTGCATTATCATCCCACAATGTTACCAAATAAAGAGCTGTGGTCCCAGGGTTGCCCATAACCTGTATGACTGAAGCATTAAAGCTGGGGTTGACTCTCTTGGCATCGGCCACGCGTGCTATGTAGGCTTGAAACGCGCTCTCGACAGTAATATATTGATTCATGGAAGAGCCTAGGGTGTCGTAAAGACCGAGGTTCTTAGCAACGGTTGCCCAGATGGCGTGGTCGAAGTGCACGTTGTCACTAAAGTAGATGTCATTCCGCGATAGTGAGCCGTCGAACTCGAACTCGTCGTGTCTTGCTAGATCGAAGAGTTTGATGGTCGATTGGTTCCCGGTGGTCAAGAGGTTGAAGTTCAATGCCAGCTAAAAAAAACTATAGTCGGACACTAGAAAATGAAACTCTGTCCTCCCCGCTATTTACTTGATCGCTGCAAGGGACCTTCTGAATCTTCACGGGTGTCTAACCTACCTCTTATTCATAGATGAAACTAGACATACCGCAGAAATAAATTCAGAATGCAAAAGCTGTCTATATATTTTTCGAGTTCCGTCAGTTAGCTGGTATTACTTTTTATTTACTCTCTTCGTTCTATCGATCTTATCAAACATGATAATATTTTCTATTGTTAATGCAGCCTTCAGCCTCATGCGCATTCTAGTATAGTTGATCAACCTCTCCATTGATTACCGGCGAATTATTATTACCAAAGAGCATTGTTATCTCCTCACTAAGGCGGAATCGCTGAGGCTAATACTTACCTGTGCTACAAGTGCATTTGAAAATATCTTGAGACACTCCCCCTCCTTTTCTGGGGGCAGCTGGCTATTTACCACTAGACCACAACAAAAACAAAGGTTCTTGTATCTTTAGCGTGACGAGCTCCACTAATTGAACAGTACACGTAATACGCAAGTTGAAATTATCTGTTCTCCAACGTAAGAAGAAAGTTGGTCCTATTTCGGCATAGCCCTGTGTACTCTGCTCTCTTACCAATTGCCATATTACTCTATAAACCTCTCATGCATTTAGTCTCATACATACGACCATAGGGTGTGGAAAACAGGGCTTCCCGTCCGCTCAGCCGTACTTAAGCCACACGCCGGTGAGTTAGTAGTTGGGTGGGTGACCACCAGCGAATCCTCACTGTTGTATGTTTTTATTCTTATTTTTTGTTTCGTTAGGAAATCCCCTCGTGCCGATGGCTGGGGACGTCGCTTAGGCATGGTGTTTAAATGCTGTAATTTTTTCTTAGATTCTAGTTCCCAGGAGCACGGCACCACATTTCTATTCACCATTTTTCGCACTGACCTCTCACAACATTTCTTCCACATAGTATGGACGCTTAATGCCGAGGCTACCCATCAGGAAGTTGGCAGCACTCGATAAAATTGACACCATAGGCCGTGAGACAAGGATGTAGTAGTGGCCCGTATCATTTTGGGTCTCGATGATCCATGATTATCAACAAATATACGAATGTCACTTTCGGGTTAATAACCGGTGTTATTGGCACTTCAATTCAATTATTCCCCACTTGCGTTCAGGCTTTCCACGAAAGCATTCGCCAGTCCGACAGGATGTATGCGATATGCGGGTCTACATTTGTTAAATGGGGAAAGGGGGCGGACTTTGCAAAGTGTAAGTGTCTGCAGCGACTGCAGCATGGAATAGCCAACCGAACTCAGCTCAACTGACTCGTGACGTGGCAGCCGCTAACGCATGGTACCTGCGGACAATGCAGTAACGTGGCGTCTAAGTGGGCGGAGCTCAGGCCCAGACATGTATGGGATATCCCAGATTATGCATACCTTGTTGGGAGAGTATTGGATTAAGTGTACTCTTACCCTTCGTAGTTACATTGTTAGGAGCGTATCTATCAACTATTCAGACCATCTTCCTTCCGATATGCAATTACGTTACACGTATGTACGGTATTGTACTGAGGGCAGATATCTGCAGAGTAGAAATTCCGAGGTCGCAGCTTCCCAGGGCGTTCGGGTAGAGAGTCCCACACGCCGCTCCATGTTTGCTAAATGATCGTATATTTCTCAACATCATGAGAATTAAATTCGAAATGCTAAACAATATATTACACTACATTAGTCATCATAATGGGAATGGTTCATCTATATCTGCAGGGTAGAACGAGAGAATTAGGTGGTCCGTGACCTTGGACCCTTCACCCGTTCCCCCGGCCCCCGCCCCCGCTAGCCAAGTCGCCAGCAGCAGGCAGGCGTCTAGCTAGTTATAGTTAGTTGACTAGTTATGGAGCCTCAATTATCTAATCAAAACAATGGACCTCGGGAGGATTCATAAATCCTCTGGTATGCCAATTGGTATGCTTGGCGTAGCCTATATTACCTGTGTATTGTACCTTGTATGCGGACTCGGTATTTGGCCTAATACATTATATTTTTCTTGCCATTCATTTTATCTTACCTAGTTAGTAGGCTTTAGGCTTTGTGGGCCGGTGCGGAGGTCTAAGCGTGCAGTTCTCCCGCCCCAATATAAAAGCTAAAAATGTCACTTCGGGGGTTTTATTACGTGGTCTAATGCCCGTTGCTTTTACCATGCGACCTCCTGATGAGCCACGGCTTAAATTCACGACACTAGAAAGGGTTAGGGAGAGGAATAATAAATATGCCCCGGACTATTTATAGTATGGGTGTGACACCCCTAGGGCTAGTACCTAGCTACTATCTACATGCATGAATACATAACATGAAGTTTATGTAGCCCCGGTGTATAACTAATAAATATGAATATCAATACCTGTCATATTCAGGACGACCTTGGAAAATTGGAAGCTGAGCAAACTGCCTCGATTGGTCAATATCAGACATGAGACCCATTTTGGCTGGCAATGTTGCAATTTCTTTTGTCCTTGGTAGGGTAAGCTCTAGTTCCTGGGCATTTTATTGGAGAAGTTCTTGGCACTGGTTTATCATCTCGATGGCAAAATCGATCTCGTATAGCGAAAGGTGATGAGCCGACTGACCAAGATCCAGATACTATAGTGAACAATTGAAGACATCCAAAATGTCGGTGTTTGATTTCTACAGTATTGAAAAACGGCCTTCAACCCTTTAATTCCTTCCATAAAACTTACCAAGCTATAATATTACCATTTCGGCCCCCATAACTCGTGTAGGATAATATGCATAGGTTCAAGGATATAGGGATAATCCCGGCGAATTCTCATCCGTATTCTAAACCGCCAAGATTGATCAACCTAGATAGTCTACTATTCGAGTGAAGGTATACAGTTCTATAAACCGTTTCCTTTTCAGCTTGGGGGCTGTGTTATATGGGCAGATTCCTACGATGTAACCTCTACCAAAGTACCAATGAATCCTAGCACCGCATAATGGTTCCCTAATGGGCATTCTCTTCTAAGGTTTTGCAATGTATCATAGCCAGGCAGCCTTGGCCTTTATTCCGAAGAAGTATAAGTACATCGAACTGTCCTCTAGAAACTCATCCTCCTAAATATCAAGCCTTCCTAAACAATCAACAACCTCAAATAAACCACAATATCCAACACCATCTTCACAATGAAGTTCACCGCTATGCTCTTCACCCTTATGGCTGCTACTGCCGTTAGTGCTTCGGTCTTGGAAACACGCGACGGCTGTGGAAGCACCTATGGTCCCGACCAACGACGCACAAACAGCCCATGCCAATCCTCTAACGGAAACAAACAATACTGCGGTTGCGATAGGAGCGGTATTGTAGGTTAACATATCCAATTTTCCTCAGATCATGTTTGCTAATGTTTCTTTCTATGAAAAGGTCCAGTGCAAAGGTGGAAAGTGGACAGAGGTTCGAGACTGTGGTAACAACCCGTGCCACGGCGGCACAGAGGGCGGAGCCTTGTGCTAGGTTGATACCAGCACCTGAGCTGACATCGGATTGGGGTGATATCTTGGCCCATCTTCCGCCGGACCTACTAGGCAACTTTGAAAGATTCAACATCAGACAATCTGCCAGATTCTAGAATTCAGTTTGAAAATATCAAATTTTGAACCAACATCTATCTTATCCACCGCTGATGCGTAGATTATTATGGTTACAGAATTTGGTCGAATGTTAACTTCATCCCTTATTAGGCCTATGATTGATAGGTAAACAAGTATCTTCTTTGATTCTTCCAAAATAAATGATCCTGGAAGAAAAATTGGGGTGAGTGCAGTTTCGTCCGAGACCAGTCTCTTCATTCCATTAGGCCTGGATAGAAGTACAACAAGGCGCCCCAGGTTATTATTGTGGGGTCTACGCTGTAGAGGCCCGAAAGTTATGAGGGAGAGAGTTGTATTGGAAAGGGAAGACGAAACTCCCAAACTATCTAGTTAGTTATCTATCCGAGGTTGATGCCTGAATCCTAAGGCACCAACCACAACAGTTATTAACTAGTTATCACTTAGTGCACGACACTCGGTGCTCTGGCATGTACATATTTTATGGTACTAGTAGGCTGAACGAGCAGGGCGGATTTCAGGATATGCACCGCTTGGCGTGTTGTTTTCTTTTGCTCGTCGGGGGTAGTTAAAGTGTTACCACCGTGATGTCACTAATTCGTATGCCAGCAATTCAGGCTGCGGAGAATTGGAGGCATCGATTTGAGATAATTGGAGTAGTTGACTCACGCGAGGTGTGATTGGATATGAACTGCTTGAGAATTTGTTGGTCTTCAGGCCCCATGGGGCCATGATCTACCAATTCGGATAGATTATTCTTCCCCTCTCTTTTTTCCTCTCAATATCCACTCAGTCTCATACTATATGCATACAGTTACTTCTTCATCAAGATGATCATTCGTCCAGTAGCATTCCCTAGAGAATTGCAGTTGATTATCATTAGCATAGGTTTGTTGTTTCAGCACTAACTCTAATCCGTGGTTCTGATAGCCCCAAAATCTTACACCCCCCGGGTGTCAAATTAGCCTGCCGATCAGTCTGATGGAGAGGATGGAGAGAGTTCTACTAGGAAAGTGGAGCGAGGCTCCGAACTAGCTAACTATCTAGCTACTGAGGGTTGATGCCCGAGGCACCCTACTGCCACAACACAGTCTGTTAGCGTTTATGCAGTCAGTTTCACATACAATAGATCGCGGTGCACCGTCAGAATAGAGGTTATTACTCTCCTGTCTCAGAATGATCAATAACATGAGAAATGCACACATTAGACGATAAGTCTAGACGGATAGAGCCTACCCGCCCTGGTCTTCCTATCTTCACACCCACTAACTTAAACTCGCTAAGGTTGTGCAACTACACCATCTCAGTCCACGTTTTGTTCACCTATCTCAAATGAATACTTCAATTCCGAGCGAATCTGGGAGTCAGTATGAGCTCGTGGAGTCATACTTTATATTCAGACGGCGAAGTGATCATAACATTGCGCAATGCGGAAAGTCCGTTTGCACAACTGGCTGAAACGCCATTTACTAGTAGGGAATCTGGCATCTTTCCATGAATTTTTTGGTAATACCAGAAGTTCTCGTGAGATAACCGAGGTTTCAAAATTTCGTTTCAAACTGCTAGAAATCTCAAGGAATAAAGCAGGAAAAAGAAGAAGAAGAAGGGAAGAAAAAAAGAGAGTCTGGCACAACTATAACTGCTCTTGAGTTCACTTAAATAAATGAAGAACCTGCTGCAGAAGAGGCTGCTGTCGAAGCAGGCTTCGCTGAGTTACCAGTTCACAATTGCTTACATATTCAAGTGCCTGCTAGTTAAGCATTTGACGTTTGTCTCTATTGACTGTAGGTTGGAAAGAAAGCATTACTTACTTTCAAAAAAGCTCAGTCGAGGTCACAGTCGAAAGCTGGGATACTGAAACGCCGATGATACTACTTCGGGCTATTCATGGGAAATATTGTCGTATACTTCGAAGGCTGGTCTGGAGATGCTCACCAATGTCATAGCGGACTACTATAAATGCAGGGAGGCTTTGTATCTTCTGACAGATATGTGGATCAAGGATGTAGTGGAAAAGGGTCCTACGGCAGTTCCTCAAACGAACTGTAAGAACACTGATGATTAAATCCTTCTGCGATCACCTGTCTGAAAAGCCCGGTTTATATGTACCATAGTACCTAGATAAGATAGCTGTTTTCCTCTAGGATGAATTCCGCACCTTAGTCACAACTTCTAGTATCAGACAAGTCCTTTCCTACCAGTTTCATATTATTGATTGAAGGGGGGCGGGCAAAGCATGGGGAGGCGAAGCCTTACACCTCGAAAGCGTTGCTCTACGCAAGGTAATGTTTTTTTTTACATAAAAAAGAGTTGATGGAAAACTGCAGTTTACCCAAGGTGGATTTTGATCAGACAATGATCTAGGATTGATATTGAATAACCTTTTAGATCTTGGATATATAACATTGCCCCAAAAAATTAAGACTGAGTCTCAACTTATTTCCCCGATTAGATGAAAATTGGGAACACCCGTAAAGGGACCACCATTGGCCGGACAGTTAGCCCGTCCGAAGGGGATAGATAGTACCGGTAACGGTATGGTATTGCCGCTCGGCGGTCAGAGACAGATCGCAGGCACTTAGGCATCAACCCCCACCTACATCCGTTCCGGCAACATAGACCGCCTGGGGTGTTCCTGGTAACTTTTTTATATTGCTCATACCATTCGTCAGACCAGTATTTCATTACCGATAATGGCAGCGGTGATGGAGAAGCAAAAGTCACTTCCCCTGGAGAGAGCCGATGCTGAAACATGGAATCGCGACCTGATGGAAGCCTTCCGCCAGGCGCTGGAGAAGGACCCCGCAGCAGACCTTCTATCTGTCGTCGGGAAGAGATATGTCGCTGCACATCGTGTTGGTCAATACACGGGTCTATCTGAGGCCGCTCGGTTAAACTTCAAAACCATTGATCGTCTTCAAGATAGGGCACTTTCCCGGCCCGAAATCAACTTGCGCGATATTTTCCCAACGGACTACGATCGCCTATACAGATGGGCCAAGCCCAAGGAAGAAGAAAAGGCCACATCTCTAGAAAATTCCCCACCAGCACCGCAGCTAAGACAGCCCCTCGACTGGCTTCGCAAAAGAATTGAACCTGTCAACACCACTAGAATCATCTACCCACTATCTGCCCAGGCGTCGGCGCTCCTCAATCAGCCCCTTACGGCGGATGGTTCTTCCGAGAAATCGTCCCTTACAGCAGCTTTGAAAGACCTGATCTTGAACTCCGACATAATTTTCGAACTTAGTATTAGATGTGGTGCTGTCATCAAGTGCAGTGACGACCTTGTCATCAAGACCTTTCCCGTCAGTCGGGATCTTACTGAATACCACAATCTCCAGTATCTCGCTGAAAATGCCCCCGACCTACCAGTTCCTAAGCCCCATGGTCTCATCATGCTTGGTAATATTGGTGCCATGTTCATGTCATATGTTCCGGGGACCGCCTTGGACAAGGTATGGTCGCGGTTATCCCATGAAGGAAAATTATCCATACAGAAACAGCTGGACGAGATATTCTCTCGTCTGAGAGGCCTACGGCAGCAGGACGGAGCTGAACTTGGGGGCGTACGCGGAGAAGGAGTCAAAGACCACCGCATTATGGAAACCCTCGCGTACAAAGGCATAACTACAGCCAGTGGCTTTGACGAGCTGCAGTTCTCGGCAAAGCATCGCGCCAGTCCTTCCTACGTCAAGCTACTTCGGTCTTTCTTAGAGGAGGACAACAAAACCCTACAGGGGTCCGTATTTACGCATGGCGACTTGAAGAAATCCAACATCATGGTGCAAGAAGATCCAGGAAATGCTGACATTTTTGTGGTCACCGGGATCATTGACTGGGAAGACGGCGGCTTCTACCCTGAGTACTACGAGTCCACGACGCTGTCGAATGGACAGAGCATCATATCTGACGACGATTGGTATCTGTATGCGCCACACTGCATCTCGGCCTTACGGTTCCCTGTACGCTGGCTAGTTGACCGACTTTGGGGCAATCTTTTATGGAGCTGGAGGACTGACATAGTGCGATGAAATTGCGGAACGCCTGTCTCAATGGATAACAGAGCCAGTAAGAAAATAGGCGACAACCATCTGAACAAACTTGCAACCCTTCTTCCCTTCCCCCTTCTCTCCGACTTCCAGTAACAATATTTGTTCTCGCCCATACTTCACGCCCATGACTCGCGTTTCGCAGCGACCGCCTCCCTTTTTATGATGTAATCGTTGTCCGTTGCATCAATCATGAATGCATCCTCAAGCCTTTCCAAGATATCGAGTACATAATCCTGGCAGCTCCAATCTGCCATCTCATTGTGGATGGGGGTATCATATGCGATGTTTTTGATGATCTCGATTTTGCTCGCATCAATTTGACAAAGGTACAGAAGCTCGATAAGGGAACTCGAATTGCGGGCGTCCGACGGTGTCCTTATATTAGGGAAATACTTCTGACGTGCACCGAGGACGTGAATGATCGTCTTGTCGTCATCGTTATCGGCTTCAAGGTAGAGGCTCCAGTGCATAATGCCAGGATTATCGTAGATGGCGACGAAAAGAGGAATAGTGGAAGCCATATCCTCGATTTCGGAGACTGGTTCAGGGATGCGGAAAGCGAAGGTAAGAAGACTCGGAAGGGTAATTATGGTAGGAGTATTTTGTTTTTGATAAATCAAGAGGAATGGTTCTAATAGGAGGGCTTGCTCTGATCCAGGTTGAAATATCTCGTTGTTTGTAGTGAAAAAGAAGAAGGTTGAGACAGCGTAGAGGTCGAATTTATACTTAGGCCGCACGGATAGCTCCTTCCTATCGCCAGCTCGGAATAACTCCAAGCTGTGGGCTTGGGGCCGTGGAGCGCCCTCGAAAGTCGATAGCCAGTCAAAATACTATATTGAGCGAAACGCTTCCCAGTTTGACGGCTGTATGGTTCTTGTTTCCGAATCCCCAATAGGGAGACGACCCAGGATATTGGTAACCAGTGCCTAGGTGTGATTTAAATAGTTGATGGTCTGAACCTGCAGGTTAGCTCCAAATATGACTATTTTGCCAGGCGCCCTTGGTGGTCTAAACTTGTGATCGCGTTTCGAGATAGCCGCCGGCATGAAAGGCTGAAACTATATGTTCGGATAGACCTCCGCAAAGCCCACAAAGCCCATTGGGCTTTGAATAGGGGCCCATTCGGGCCCATTAAGAGCTAAATAATGCAAACATACTAATTTTTCGCTGCTGCATAAGTAGTGCACATATCCCTAGTAATTTGGGTATTCTAATTACCTCTTCTACCCTAAATTTACCTCTTGAGCCCTACATTATAAGTTATATAATAACCAAGAAAGGAAAATAGATACTCATTTCTATAGACTGTTATATTAGAGATATCTTCAAGGTAAGGGTTAGCGTAGGTTTATAAGTAGTGGTGGGTATAGGTGAAGAAGAAGTTACGTGGAGGAGAGGAAAACAAATGACGTGTAGGAGATAATTGCTTACTACGTTTATCTACCTTGTCGGAGCATACAGACCGGCATACCGGGGATTTAATTAATCCAGGTTGTGCAGTAATTTTGAATTAGTAATCCGTAATCCATATAAATTGCTAGGAAAAGGGATACTGAAATACAGAGATTTTAACACCATTGATTGGACCCATACATTTCAGGATACCAGTGTATTCGACAGTTATGAGCCCGGTTCGCACCCAGTAAGGCCACGATCACCAAAGTATAGGGCCGAACACCCCCCAAAGCTATCCCCAATAGCCCCTGAAGCGGTACAGCAACCCCTGAAGCTATCCCTATAGCACCCAGCGCTGTATGGCAACCCTGAATCCATCAATGGAAGCAGCATCAATTCTCTCCGCCATGAAGGGCGATAAACTGAAGGACTCGCCGCAGTGGCTCACTTGGTATGCTCGGGTGCAGCTATATGCGACACAGAAGAATGTTTGGGACCACTGTGATCCCAATACCTCCCCTACTGAGAGACCGGAAGCTCTGAAAGAGCCAATTGAACCGGAATACCCAGAGGATGGGAGTGAAACTGATCGGAGATATTGGAGAGATCGTATGGATATATACAAATTGAGATATGCTCGATGGGAGAAACAGGCGAAAGGACTGAGCGATGTAAATGAATATATCCTCACCTACCTGGATTCAATGCACCATCTCAATCTGATAGGACATCATACACCGTATGACAGATTGGTATACCTGAAATCTCGCTTTGCTCGGTCGACGGCGTATGAGGAGGAGGTTCGAATGAAATGGAAGGTCTTCGCTATGCAAAAACCGACGGGGGATATTGAGCTGTGGCTACAGCAGTGGAATTCCCTAAGAGAGCAAGCGATCAGCCTTGGTATCAACGTTGGAGATGCCAATAGGGACTTCCTACACGCAGTGAAAGAAGTGCTTCCTATCTGGTGGCAGGGTAAATACCAAGAGATTGTCATCGACAAGAAGGTGTACGATACCCGAGATCTCATCGAATCTTTTCGCGCAATGAATAGAGAAATAGGGGTGCTAAAGGTATCATCAACCTCGCCCCCGAAGAGCGCCTTTTCCACCTGGCAAGGGCACCCAGAAGCTAAGCCTGAAGCCAAACCCCAGGCTTCACAGGCTTCACAAGAGAACCTACCCTTCGAAAAGAGGAAATGCCCCTGTGGTAACACCCATCCTAAGCATAGGGTCACCGAATGCTGGGTTTTAAACGAGGAAATTCGACCGGAAGGGCTGAAAATCAGCGAGAGGAAGCTAGAGAAAGCAACCCAGGTGTTAGCAAAGAACCAGGCCTGGAAGAAATGGGTGGAGAAAACCATAGCAGAGTCAAATCAGCTAAGGCAAGCCGAAGCCGCCAACCAAGTCAGCTTTGCGACCACCGTCCAGCACCAAAAGGATAAGCAGCAAGGTGCGGATCAGAAGAAGCAAGAAGTGATTAGCCAGCGTGCCCTATCCCTTGCTAAGGAAAGCGATCCTATCCTAAAGAACCGCTGGATTTTAGACACCGGTTCTAGCTCCCATGTGTGCAATAATCGAGATCTCTTCGTCCAATATACCCCAAAAACCACCTACCTCACCACTGGAGACAGCACCACCGAAGTGCTAGGGAAGGGTACGGTTAAATTGATTGGAAGACACCCAGTGAAAGGAAGAATGGAGATCACCCTAAGCGATGCCCTGTATTCGCCAGGATTCCACACAAACCTAGTATCGTACTCGATGCTGATGAAGAAAGGGGGGATATGGTGCCAACGTACAAACTGTATCCGGGACCCCAACGATAGGCCAGTCGTCTGTGTGAACCTATGGGATCAATTCAACCTTTGGATATTCGACGAACCCCGGGAAGCACCGCCTCAGCAAGCCTATTTCACACAGAGGAAGTCAGTGGAACCCCTAGAAACAAAGGCATCAAGCGAGCTATGGCACCGGCGATTGGGCCATATTGATCGTAAGAGGATGAAGAAACTCACCACTATGGTGGAAGGGGTTGTCCTCGATGATGAAGAGAAGAAGTCCACCGAGCAAGAATCCCTATGTCAAACCTGCCACTTAGGGCGAGCACCTAAGCAGATATCAAGACGACCAGTTGGACGCACCTTTGGCCGTTTTGGAAGGGTCCATTTTGATCTAATCCAGATACAACCAGCATACAATAAGCACCGCTGGATATCCCACTTCTATCTAGAAGGACCGAGGTTTCACTGGATTATGACCCACGAACTAAAGCCTGAGTGCCAGCTAGCAATCAATCGCTTTGTGGAACTAGCAAGGAACCAGTGGAAGCTGCCAATCAAGGCATTCCACTATGACAATGAGTCCTCCGCCGGAAACACCGCCGAGTATAGCCTCAGCTCAGATGGTATCCTGATATATCACACTCCCCCTGGGCACGCTGAGATGAATGGGTATGCTGAGAGATCTGGCGGGATGATTATAAGCAAAATGAGGATGCTTGCGCTAGAAGGGAAGCTGCCAAAGGACCTATGGCCGGAGTTTGCGAGAGCCGCAGTATGGATTTTGAACCGTACGCCGTCGTATATCACCGCCGAGAATCGCTGGGTCGTGCCGTGGGATGAGGTACGAAAGGAGTTTGCACCGCAAGCACCTAAAATCAACCTATCCAATGTTAGATTGTACGGGAGCTTGGCCTATTGTAGGATTGAGAAGCAAGTGAGAACCGACAAGATGAATCCACGGGCGGAGATTGGTTTCTTGGTGGGATATGTGGCATCAAATATCTGGAATATCTGGTTTCCACATAGTGGAAAAGTGAAGCCTATTAGGGACGCAGTCATCGACGAAACACGGAGATACACCCCTGATTATGAGAGATATCAGCCAATTCCTATGCCAATTGTACAAGAACCACAGGAACTCACCGCCGACGAGGTTGTCAAGGTGATAAATCAACTGCTTACTAGTCAGGAGACTAGGGAGCAAGAGGAAAGGGATCCACGGGATCTAGATGACTCCCAGCAACCAGATACCCAGCGGAATCAGCAGCAAAATCCCCAGCAAGAAGGGATAAATAGGGAGACTACCCCACTTCAGGGGGTGAATCGAGATATATCAATACCCTCACCGATAGTCTCACAAGCGATTCACCGAGTCCCCAAAATCCAGAAACCTCAAGCACCGCCAGGTGCTTTTCCAAGCGACGAAGACCTTCCTCCGCTGCCGATTACCCCGCCCCAAGAACGAGAATCCGAAGCCGATGCTGGCCCAGGTCAGGGGGTGGATATACCAGACGGAGACCTGACCCACCACGAAGCTATTTCTGAAGCTATTTCCGACGTGGAAGATGAGCTAGAAAGGCAGCTACAGGCAGAATTGCTAGCACCAAGCAGGGAGATCACCGGTGGAATTGACGCAAGCAATATTATCAGCGGCAAGCGAAGACGTCAGGCGAGACGAGACCAGGATTTCGCCTACTCCACTTTGGCTACAGAAGAAGACCCGCCAGGAGTACGACACGCCTTTGCAGCAGGCTTATACGCTGAGAAGCCAGAGATCCGGCGTCATCGAGATGATCTTCCACCAGTCCCTAAGCACTGGAAGGATGTTATGAATCATCCTTTCCAAGAAGGCTTCCTCGCAGCAATGAGAAAGGAGATCAATTCCTTAACCGAGAAGGATACCTACGAGGTTGCAGAAAGGCCAAAGGATAGAGGCAAGCAGATACTCCCCTTGCTATGGGTCTTTACGTACAAATTTGATGAAGATGGCTATCTTATCAAGCTAAAGGCTCGTATCTGTGTACGAGGAGATTTAGAAACCATTTCTCATGAAGAAAAGAGGGCTGCCACCCTAGCAGCAAGGACAGCAAGGATGATCTTCGCCTTAGTCGCTGCCTTTGACCTCGATTTAAGACAAAGAGATGCTGTGACGGCGTTCCTGAACAGCAAATTGGACAAGGATATATACACTTATATGCCTGAAGGTTTCCAGATTCCAGGCAAGTGTTGGAAGCTCCGCCGAGCTTTGTACGGTCTACGAGTCTCGCCTAGGCTATGGCAACAAGAAGCAGCCAGCGTACTCCGTAAATTAGGGTTACAGCAAGCACCTGAAGACCCATGTGTTTTTATAGGAGAAGGACTACTAGTCTTCTTCTATGTGGACGATATCTTGATCGCCAGCCACAGATCTGTACGGGAGAAAGCAAAGCAGCTTGAACGAGATCTAGAATCCCACTGGGAATTGACTGATCATGGAGAAGCAGCTTGGTTCCTAAATATCCGAATCATCAGGGATAGGGAGCAGAAGAAGCTATGGCTATGCCAAGATAGCTATGTGACAAGCATCGCGACTCGGTACAATCTGATAGATAGACCACCGGTTTATACCCCACTACCAGTCGTCGATTTGACCCCATTTCAGGGGGTGGCCACCCCGAAAGAGACCCTTCTTTACCAGCAAAAGGTGGGATCTGCTGGGTATGCCACCACTATCACGAGGCCCGACGCCGCAAAGGCCACCGCACGCCTAGCGCAATACCTAACAAACCCAGGTCCCCAGCACCAGCAAGCAGCTGATCGGGTGATATCCTACCTACATTCCACCCGGTGTCTTGCCATTGAATACGGTGTAGGTTCGGGGATAGACTCGGTGCAATTCGCAAGTGATGCTTCGTACGGGGATCATTCTGATAGAAAGAGCTCAGCTGGGTATATCTGCCAAGTGTACGGTGGCCCAGTGGACTGGAAGGCGAGCAAGCAACCCACAGTCACCACTTCCACCACCGAAGCCGAATTACTCGGGCTTTCCGAAGCAGCAAAGCAGCTTCAATGGTGGAGGAGACTACTTAATACCCTTGGTTTCAACCCCTCCCACGAATTGACCATCGATTGTGACAATGAGAGAACTATCAGCCTATTGAAGAGCGAGGATACAGCCTTCGAAACAAAGCTTAGGCACGTCGACATCCATCGCCACTGGCTGAGACAGGAAGTCAAAGAAGGGAGGATACAGGTGAAATGGGTGCCCACAGCAAGCATGGCAGCCGATGGACTCACGAAATTGCTTACTCGGCAAAAGCATGAAGCCTTCATTCAAATGCTTCATATGGTGGATATAGGCCACTTGATAGCATGAAGAAACAGAGATCAGTATGCCGAGGTGTGTGGGGTTCCAGCAATCCCATACTGGCATCGCTGAGGGGGTGTGTCGGAGCATACAGACCGGCATACCGGGGATTTAATTAATCCAGGTTGTGCAGTAATTTTGAATTAGTAATCCGTAATCCATATAAATTGCTAGGAAAAGGGATACTGAAATACAGAGATTTTAACACCATTGATTGGACCCATACATTTCAGGATACCAGTGTATTCGACATACCTTTACGGCCTTAGGCCGCCGAGATCCGTACCGAGTATATAGGCCGAGTTACACGTAACAAAACTAGCATTAATCAGCTATTTTATATATGCCAAGGCTTTGGTTATACACAAAATGGGCTTTGCGGAGGTCTAGGTTCGGGTGGTTATGGTAGTCTCCGACCGCGAGTGCGCCAACATATTCTCCCACTTGAACCTGTCGGCCAGCTCTCACTTGGGCAGACCGTTTAAGGCTAGCCATGCTTGCAGGTCTGAGAGTCGGACACGGGCTGGCGGTAGGATCTATTTATTTCCCGCATCCATCCCGGTTCAGCGTCCGGCACAAGCAACAAGGATGGCTTGTTGATTGTCGTCAACATGGTAAACAGTTGGACCGCGAGTAAGACCAGCTTAGAAGACCACTGAAGGCCGCATAAGCGCCCAAGTATTCTTCTAGGGTAGTAACTCAGGTATTTCTGTTTTTCTACCAGGCGAAATCCAGGCATTTAGACCCCATTAGTTATGCATCGTTGACCCCTGCCCAGGTGAGCGCTATACACCTTTGTAAGCATGTTTGCGTAGACCGAGGGACATCGTCCCAAGATTTTGCACTTCGTGTTGAAAAAAGATGAAAAATGAAGCGTGTAAATGTGATAGGTAGTCCTTTTCTCTCCGAGATACCAGAATAAGGGTATAAAAAATATAAAAACTTACAACAGCATGAGTATGACCGTGGTCACCTAGCGCCCACGGTTTAGGCGTGGGCGGCTCGCCGCTCTATTCAGGGCACTCAGGGCAGATATTCACCCGCCTGAATATTCCTTACCCGAATATTCAGCCCGTACAGCAAAAGGTACATTTTCATCATGACCAAAAAAGCTACAAGTATCCTTCTTTTTCCCGTCCATTTTCATCTCTCTAGCTTCGCTTTATCACTCCAACCCCGCTTAGTCACGAGCAAGATACGTACCAAGCACGACCCAACATTGAAATATGTAGCCAATGTGGTGGATTTCGGAGAGCATAGCAATAATAAAATCCAGCGGGTAGTGCTACCACGAACAGAATCTCGTTATAGTGACACGTTACGTATTTTCGACAAGTAAGTCTCAGGCGTGGGAGCAGAGAAGCAAGTCGCTAAACTATACCTCTATCGCTAGTTTTGTCACATTACATCCGTAGGCCGTTATTCCACCGGACATCAGAACTTATAGGGCTTTCCTCGAGTGGGTTACAAGAGGAATGAACGGTCGGATCGAAGAACGGCCTACAGTCGAGACGATTAAAGGGTTTTTTTAGGAAATTTGCCACTGGTATAAAGAGAAAACGCAACTTTGAATTCCCACCAGCAATAAGAACTACAATTAATAAGGTTTATACTAGTATCCTTCTAAATAAGTCAGGGCTAATAATCGTGCCAAGCGCCCAACACACACACCCTGTGTTGGTGCGCCCCACTAGATGCAAATTACCCACAAGATGCAAAATTCAAATTATCAACCTATGAAAAATGCTATTTACAGGTAACCCCCAGTAGTATCTATATACCAATTTCCACCACTACTATCTCTTGCTGCCATTGAAGCTTCATGCTCAGCTTCAGCTAAATCTCTAGCTAATTGGGCCTGCGATTGAGCTTCTAAGGCCTTGGCCTGCCTTGCTTGTAGACGAATCAACTTCTTAGCCTCAGCATCCTGCCTTTTTACCATCATCCTATTTGCGCATATAGGAGATAGAGCCGAGCCCCTAGTCCTAAGAAGCGATTTCCCATTTTTTGGCTGATTTACAGCTGATTTGTGGAATTGAGAGGTCTTGAGACTCTCCTTCACTAGATCAAGCTGTTGGGATAAAAAGGTATTTGCTTGCATACTTCGTCGAATATGCCTTTTGAAATCCTAAGATAGGTTCTCTAGCTTCTCAACGTCATCAAGAAGCTTAAGATTAAGCTTATTAACCCGCTGAATTGTATCTAGCGGGGAGTTAGTGACTAAGCTTGGGATATCCGGAGGGGGTGACGGTGTGAAAATCCTAAGGGGGGACCCTTCTGATTTAAGGGCTTTTTGACGTAAAGGACTAAGAACAACCTCCGGATCTAGCGGATAGATACCCCTAGATTTGAAAGAGGATCTGATAGTTCTTTGGGTAAAAGCTTGCTGCCGAACCCCTTCGATAATCCGGAAGAAATCTCGCTTTTTGCTAGCACTTCCACCCCACATAACAACCTCGTTATTTGTCGTACGAAAGTAATGCTTTAAGCATTGGAAAGCTTCACCATCGAGCGGTTGACAGATATATGTTGTATAGGGTAAGAAATATGCTGGGATAATATTTTCGGCGGTATAAAATTGGGTGAATTCGATAGTTGTATGGGATCTATGATTATCCATTAAAAGAAGCCGAGGCCTCCCCTTTTGCACCCGAGAAATTGTAGCTTCGTGGAAAGAGAAAAGCCATTGGAGAGCTATTTCATCGTCCGTATAACCACTAGGTGTAGGCTTAATTCGAAAATCAGGCGTAGTAATATTTTCATACCACTCCGCTATATGTAGACTACCCTTTGGTAGAAACCATGGTAGCATAACCTAACCATCAGCAGCAATACATTCAATGCCCGTAATCGACTCTGATTGACCACCGGTAGCGATATCATTTGTTGTATGAGACGTAATAACTTTACGTGGCTTTCCTTGGCTAATTCGATAGCCGGTTTCATCCCAATTGTAGATCTCGTGAGGTAGGAATTGGTGCTCTTCTATAACCCGGGATAGGTTATTATACTAAAGGAATAAAGAGCTAAAGTCCTCGCTTTCAATCCTTACTTTTTCCTTGGGTTTTCGAATAAGATATTTGAGCCGAGGGGGCAGCCTTTGGAGGAAGCGGTACGCCCAGTTATGACCAACAACTTAGTCCGAACCCGCGTTTTTTAGAAGACGATTGGCGGACTTTTCCACTAGTTCTGGGGTAGGGGAAGTATATGAATTATCTAGGGATTCGACCTAAGTAATCAATGCCTTTTCTTGAATTGGATTTAGGGTCTTCGTTGGTTTAGCGCGATCGGAATTAGACTGACGACCTCGAGTCCGACCGCGTAGCTAATGATACGGAACATCGAATTCCCGCGCCAATTTAGCGATATTGGGCTTATTTATTGCGTGGAAGGCTTTAAGTGCTGCCTGGATTCGCTCCTCCGTTTGTTTTTTTTGATCTGACATCATGGTGTGGTGTAAAAATGTATGAAATGATGATAAAAAGAGTAGAATTTTGCATCTTGTGGGTAATTTGCATCTAGTGGGGCGCACCAACACAGGGTGTGTGTGTTGGGGGCTTGGCACGATTACTCTAAATCTTAATTTAGTTTTTTCCTTTTAGTCAAATATCGGCATAATGCGTTGTGCTACCCTTTTTCCTTGCGAACCTAGGAGATCCTGTCCGACCCGAATATATTGCTATAGCATAAGAGCAACACGCGTGAAGAGCCCCCGTCTATATTGGTATCTAAGAATTATTAGTTAAATGCAAAGCGCTCGCTAGAAATAAACTTACGACTTGACCATGTTTTAATTGTCCCTTCACCTTTCGAACTCGAAGGATCTCTTATATTTTCTCCTTCAACTTGCTGCTTCCGTTTCCACAGAAAGTGTTTCCGTGAGCCACCCGATTCTTATCGAGATCATTGATCTAGTTTGGTAAGGTTATCAAATTTCTCTTCACAAATAGCTCCCGCCTCGGCCGCCTTGTGCAATTCAACGGCCTCGTTAAAGTTATCTATTGCGCTTGTTTCTTTATAGAGAAGTTCAAGCTTAGTCCCGAGGTTATAGTAGAGCTCCTTCATCAAAAAATAGTTAGGAGCGGTGGCCTTGATCGCTTGGCGAGCTAAGATAATCCCTTCCTAGAGGTTAGGAAGGCCCCCTAATAGTCTATATCGGGTTTCAAGGTGGCTTCCGAGGTAGCTTAGGCACTCTACCCGTAAGTGGTGATCATGATCAGAAGCCTTAAGAGCGTCTCTATATAGCAAAATTGCCTTTTAGAGATCTTCTATCTCTATCAATACTTCGTACCGTAGTCCGAACTTGCGAGCTAGGTTGCTCAAGCGCTCCGCAAGGAAACAGGAGTCTTTAGTAGTCACCTCAACCGCTTAGGCAGAGAGCTGAATTCCCTCGTCGATATCGGTGATATCTTCGGTATAGTCGTACCGTCTTTCAAGCATTCCCCTAAGGTTATCCTAACGCTCTATAAGAGGACGTTTATCGGTAGATATAGCCAGAATTGTAGTACGAGCGAGTTGAATAGCACTATAAAGGTTGGGCAAAAATGCACTACATTTGAATCGACATTCAAATATATCCCTAAAGCGGGAATAGCGCGCTGCAAGGTTAGGATAACGACGAGGTGTCTTTAGAGCTACACGAAAACAAACCTTAATCGCTCGATTAAGGTTATTAATGTCATTTTTCATTTGACCTCGATATTAAAGTAGTCCCGCTAGGCCGTCTAGGCGCGCTATATAGTCGGGATGATCATAAGGAGTATTCTAAACCGCAAGCTAGCAACAATTAATCGCTGCGTTAAGATCATCGACATTTTCAGCTTGCTCGTATCGATCTTTCAGCAGTTTCCAGACCCTATCTAAGCGTTCGGGAAGATTATTATCACCCGTCAGATCTGTAGGTTAATCTCCAGTATGGGAACTGACGTCGAAGGCGTCCAAGTGTGCAAAAAGCTAAGCGCGATTATAAACAGTAACCAGAAACTCATTACTCATTTTTGCCACGTGGGCTTTAGGCTGGGTATTATATAAAGATAAGCTAATGAATAATAGCGATCGAAGAGGGTACTTACAATAACAAGTCTTGGTTCTAAGAGTATTGATAGTAGGAAATTTAAGAACGTGAGATTTCTTTTTAGTCCACTCCCTATCGCGAAGAAGGCTTTAAATATATTGCTGATAGGGGCTAGATTTATAAAAGCATATAGAATAAGGTTTAGGCACTGATTCGATGAAGCCCAACTAAACACACAACAGAGCTAGTAGTCACCCAACCATTATCTTCCTAGTCCTACATATTTATGATCAACGACAGAAAAGTAAATCAATATACTAAAAGTACAAATCAAGTGCTATCTGAGCGGATGATTCACTGAGAACGCAACAAAGAACAAAAAATGAAATGACAACAAATATTAAATGGAGTAGTAAAGTGGCAGCCCATTGGAGTATTCACTTGATACTAGGGGGTAGTCGCTGAAACTACATGGGAGAGAAAATGTTGGCTCCAAATATAGATCTCCAATTCAGTGTGAATTATTACCAATGAAGCGTCCTTTCTTTTCTGACTTGCTTCCTACTCCCAAGCGAGTACTAAGGCATTAGTTCCTTCGCCTTGCAGATCTTCATATACAAGAAAATATGATGGTGTACAGACCGGTTTTCTAGGAATCTAAGAGCTGCAGCGACCAATTCCAAATAATCCATCAACGTCGTCGACTAGGAATAGCAAGCATGCAATATCGATTTAAAAATATCAAAAATTAACCTATACTCCGTGTCGAAGGGTCAAAGCTAGTGTTTATAAATGACGCTGCTCGTGGTTGGCAATGAACTTCTCCTTTGTCATATCCCCACTGTCCACGAGCGCCTTGCTCTTTTCCATCTCCTCTAAGGCTCCTTCATACATATCCATCTCTCTGACTTTCCGCGTCGCAAATTCCTCAAGCTCTTTTGGGCTGTCGAACTCCATCCCACGCCTTATCCACTCAGTAGCCCCCAGATGCGCACGCAGCTGCGTAAAAGGAAAGCTATGTTCGTCGTTAAATCCAGATGAGAGAAGCATATGCAACCACATAGCCCCGGAGGTTTGCGACCACTTGACGAGACTGGAGAGCTCTCTCTCTTCGTGCCCTTGCATCTTCAACTCTTCCTCCTCCAAGATACGTATATAAATCTCTAAGTATCTGAGGTACCGGGACCCAATCTTAGGCAGCTCTTCGCCCTCGCAATCCCACGTTCTGTTAACAGGCCTGTCTTGGAGAAGCCACCACGGTGCCGAGCCAAACAGTTGGGCGGGTCCAATATATGACCATTCAAGGTCCACTAATCCAACGATAGTGAGATCTTCCGTGCCACGGACAATCAGATTTGCCAAGCCGAGATCGTCGCAGATTAGTTTGAACTTGCAACGGTCATACTTTGCGTTGATAAATTCAGGTATCAGACTCTCTAGAACTTTAAACGCGACATATTTGTTTTGAGCATCATAGAAACCAACAGTTGAGTTTGGTTGATGAACAAGCTGCTTCCAATCCTGTCCTATGATATACCGAAAATACTCGGTTGTCGTAGCAAACCCTTTGGTTCGGTCACCTAGATATCATTCGGTTAGTTAGAGCACTATATGAGAGCAATAGGGATAAGAAGGGAAAGGGAGGATGATAATGCGTACCGAAAGTATCGACTCCTCCGTCTTGTAGGATAGTTTGTGCCTTGAATGTTAACGGCCGCGGTGGTGTAGGGCTTTGACTTTCAGTCTGTGGCGATGGCAGGCTGCCGATCCGGTCGAAATCAAGTTTGAAAAGTTGAAGTAGGAAATTCGCTAACTGCCTGTAGATAACCTCAATATCACTATCGCTGATATCGTCCCTCATGACTCTGCTAGGCTCGGCGTTGGGGTCCTGGAGAAGGCTGCTAAGGCTCACACCGTTTATGAAGTCCATTATGATAAAAGGACCTAGACCAAGTCTGTTACTGGCAGCGGGACCCCAAGCCCGGACTGTTGGGACGGGAATGGTAGTCGTGTTGCGGATGAGATTTAGGGCAGACACTTCCATAGCAACCTTCTCGTCTGTGTAGTCTTCACAGACCATCCCAAAACGAGGGAAGCGAACCATCCAGGTCGTGCTGTCACTGAAGACCATCTTCATGCCAGCGTTAAATGCGCCATGGTGAAAGGTACCGTCAAGTCCACAGGGAAGCTTCTCCGGATGAAAAGTTGACACCCACTGGCAAAGACGGCCTGTTATGTGGGCTTCATTCACCTTGTCAACCCAAAGCTGGCCCTGCGCCGTGTGGACGAGATTAAGAAGCGCGTTGGTGTCCATCGTTAAGGCAGGCTTTAATGGTGAGGGATGGGTGCTTGGTAGGTTCCGACTTCGATGAGTAAGCTGGTCGAGAGACAAGCGAGATGGGCGAGTGGGTTATGCCTGGTTTTTATGGTTGGTCGTAAATGAGTTCGCGTGCCTTAGGCGTTACCGCAGCATGTTCTTGGCGCGGCATTTATCGGCGCTGGCTACGAAGACGTTACTGGGCAATTATTAGATGGAATCAATCATAGGAACAACCTTTTGCCAAGACCATTGAGGCCGCCCCACAGCCACCACTCACAGCGTTTGAATGAAGCACTCAAAGCGGGTCGGAATTCATAGAATATATAACACTACGTAACTTCAAACTTTGTTTCAGGCGGCTACAATTCAAATTGAAGGACAACACAGTACATTCAGTAGTAAATATGATCAATTATTTAACTCTTCATTCTCACTATAAATCAAACAAGCTGTTTCTACCTACACCTATTTCTAATGACAGAGAAAATACGTACTAATTATGAGGTAAAATTGATAATAGTATTGTTGACATACCACTAAAAATAAAAAGAACACAAGGCAAATGGATACAAGAGTCCAGAGTCACCGTAGCAATACCCCCTTCACTAGTGGATCTGAATACCCCCAACCTGCGAGCGAAAAAGTCCAAACGGCAACGACGGTAATGACTGATGGGAAGGAAGACCGTAAGTGTAGCGATAGACAGCTTTCTATCCGGAGACGCCGCCCTTCTATTAATTGATAAACGTCAATACTTGGCAGGCTTGTAGACTTCAACTTCTTGGAGGTGAAGGGTTTGGGACCAACAGCAGCAGCAGCAGCATCTGCTTCCTGTTTAGCAGCTCTCGCAGCGGCCTCACATCTCTCTTTCTCCTCTTTGTTCCTTTGACGCTTCTGAACAGAGGAGTTGCCGGTGTCAACCATCTGTCCGACGGCAGCGCTGCCCGAGCTAATGAGCGCGTTGTTGACTTCGCTTCGGGCGTTGGGATCGATGTCAGACATTGTGTTTAAACGTAATGCGGTCGCAAAGCTAAGCTAATGTTGAAGAAAAATAGCTAAGATTTCAGTTGAGGAAGTTGAGATGGATATCTTGTTAAAATGTGCGTCGGTTTGGTGTCTTAAATAGGGTAGGGTCTGGGAAAATGGCAATATGGCAGCAGCTCAGACATGTCCAACAGACCTTGTTCGATGCAGGGACCATGCCCCTTTTCTCGACCTGTCGCGCCTATATGCTAAAGCACCTCGTATTTTGACAGGCATGGTCATAGCGTTGTTTTTCTTCTTCTCTGACTCTGAGTAGCCGACTTCTAAGGTGACAGTTGGCTTGTCGGGAAAGCCGGCCGGTGGGGTACAAAGCCCCCACCCATGGTCTCCAACTTTGCCTTTGCCATGACCTTTCTCATCTGTAACACGGACCAGGGCACCCATGAAGCGCTTGACATGATCAAGATGTCCTATATGATCAAGTGCCTTGTCGAGGGCGGTGTTGATCTCCCCGATGGCATTGGCGTGAATAGTAGAAGCCAGCTTCACTAAAATGAGTTGGTTTTTGATGTCAAAAGAATGGATATATGAATTAAGTGTCGGCGAATCAATGAACTCGGTTGGAATAGAATTGGCGTCAATTGTGAATAGCACAAGACCATCAGCCGATTGGTCACATTTGGATCCTCTGCCACTGCTATGTTTCTGATTTTCTGGGTAGTGGTCGGTGTCTTGTAGAATGTTGCTGTCAAGGTGTTGAATCTTCCTAGAATTCTTGGATTGATTAAAATCTTGAGACCCGCAAGTCAGAGAATCCAGAAGACGATCAAATTCAAGATTGATCATGTTGTGGAGTTGCTGTATTGCCGTATATCTATATCTTGGGATGGATGGAGGCAGACTCTCCAAGAAGTTGCTCCCGTAGAATGGGAGACGTGAAACATTTTCGAGAGACATATCTGTAGATAAAAAGATCCTTGAATGGGGCCAAAGGAGTATATAACAATGGAAAAGATGGAAATTCAGGTGCAGGGGGAGTTGGTGTGATAATGCACGTGTTTTTTCATCATGAGCGCATCAAATCCGGGGAGACCGCCCCCAAAACATCTTTAGGTACTTACCAGTTCAACTCAATTGCGGTTCTGTTTGACGGACATCCGACCCGGAGAGCTTCAGTGGAATATCAACAAGTGCTTGGCATCACCATGAGAGATGAATTCGTCGCTCTACGCCATGGAAAGTGTTCAATCAAGGAAGCTACTTTCTGCTAACTACTGGAAGAAACCCGAGTCATCTACTTGTCCTTCCACTTCGGGCAGAACGCTTCATATTCTCCTTTTACCCTGTCACCGTTCAGTTATCGTTAATGATTTACCGTGAAGCGTGCATTGTATCATCATAGAACTACATATGATAGTTCACCATGAAATCGTTCTTTCATATGATACACAGGAAGAGGGAAGTGAGAGAATTGCTGAATTGTATCGAATAGAAAGAGGAGAGAACTAGGTAAGGTAAACTAAGATTGTACGGATTGGTTTAGGTCTCGCAGTGGCAGTAGAGATATCATGTAACATCCGGCAGGGCATAGGCGAAGCCAAGGTTGTGTAGATTCCAAGGTTGCTCAAGTACGAAAATTAGCTCATTTCTTGGAGAACACGAGCACCCTCCACTGGGCCTGAGGCCATGAGTACGTCCTTAAAAACCGTCTCCCTTTGTAATTCCATCATCAAACTTCTCGCATGAGTTTCGTCTCTCGCTAGGAACGCGCATGTTGACCCCGAGCCACTCATGAGACTCGCAACCGCACCAGCAGCCTTTCCAGCGTGCAAGGCAATTTCAATATCTGGCAGGAGCTCTGTGGATGGGCCTTCGAGGTCATTGACAAGCTGAGATATCAGATGCTGTGGATGATGGGTCCCCCAAGGAACTTCAATGCAATTCTGGCGGTTTTCCAAGTAAACCTTCCCGGCAGACGGAGATCTAGCCAATATGTGATCGAATCTCTCAAACACCGATTTTGTCGACAGACCCGCAGCAGGCACACCTAGCACCCAGTTCCATGTATAATTACTCGTCTGCAGGCTCACGATTGGCTTCTTATGTCCCAGTCCCAGGGCCATCATGCCTTTTATGAAAAACGGTACATCTTCTCCTAGATTTGCGCCCAATGCCATAAGATCGTCGTCGCAAACATTCAGTTCCAAGAGCATATTACAGCCGACGAGGGCGGCCGCCGCGTCTGCACTTCCACCCCCCAACCCGGCTTGTGTGGGTATTGCCTTGATTAGGTCAAAATGCACATGCGGTTCAAAGCCAACATGGTGTGCGAGCGCTCGCGCTGCTCTGAGGACCAGGTTGCGACCGTCTGTTGGGATTCGCTCACTCTCCGTCCCGGTTACAGTAATTGTGGGACCTGCAGGGTTGTGTGAGATGTGCAAGGTGTCGTAGATCGATATCGCCTGGTAGACTAGTGTGATATCGTGATATCCATCTTCTCGGAGAGGCCCGACTCGGAGCTGCGGGTTGAGCTTTGCGGGGACTTGGAGGGAAATTGATCGTGGGGTGATAGTCATTGGCTCTTTGTGTTTAAATTTTCAAGGTTGAATATAGGATGACTGGGATAGCTTAGCAAAATAATTCATAAGAGTATGAGAAAGGGAAGGTGCTCACGCGACAGAGCGAAGGAATCGATCAGATCTCGGGGGAAGTGCAGATCGTGACGCGGGTGCAGATCTTGGAGGGGCATGTCGATAGCTATTTTTGCATCTACCTACGGACGCACCATTTGAAATTTTACATAATGACTACATTAGCAGAAAAACCAATGATCGGCATTGTTATACCAGCTGCTGGGCGTGGCACACGTGCAGGTCAAGGCTGCCAAAAGGCCTATCGCCGAATTGGGGGCGATACGGTGCTCAATCGTGTTCTGAAGCTGTTCCGATCATGGAATGCCAATTGCCCGATTGTCATTGTTCATCATTCGGATGATACATCTTTACTAGAAGCTTCCATAGACCGTGACTCTAACATTCACACCACCACGGGAGGCGTCGAACGACAAGCATCCGTCCTACAGGGCTTACGCTTCCTCTCTTCTCTCCCGAACACCCCTTCGCACGTCTTCATTCATGACGCAGCGCGTCCATTCGCATCCCATCGTCTACTCAATGATGTTTTGGAATCCCTTATCAAGGACCCCTCAACAGGCGTGATCCCCGCTATCGCAGTGTCCGACACGCTCAAAAGGATCGACTCAAACGGCCTGATTACAGCAACAGTTCCACGCGATGGCCTTTTCCGCGCCCAAACCCCACAGGCATTCAAATTACAGACAATCCTTCTTTTCCACGAAACGGCAGCTACTTCTGCTACATTGTACACGGATGACGCCTCACTCTTGGAGGAAGCGGGACTGCCTGTTCGCATCGTACAAGGCGATTCCCAGAATATTAAATTGACCTACTCTTCTGATTTCGAAGAAGGTGAAAGACTCCTACGATTCAACAACCCCAAACCCACCTCGGTACCCGACGTTCGAGTTGGTCACGGGTATGACACGCATCGTCTTGTCCCTGGAGAGGAGATCACACTCTGTGGTGTCAAGATCCCGCACACTTCCACACTCCTCGGGCACTCCGACGCAGATGTCGGACTACACGCTTTGACAAATGCATTTCTCGGAACGATTTCTGCCGCGGATATTGGAAGCCATTTCTCGCCGAAGGATGCTAGGTGGAAGGGAGCTTCGTCTGATCAGTTCCTTAGACATGCGGCTCAACTTGTCAGAGAGGCCAGTGGTGTTATTACGCATTGTGATGTGAGCTTCGTGTGTGAGAAGCCACGGATTAGTAATCACCGTGATGCTATGCGGGAATCTGTTGCTCGTATTGTGGGGTTGGATACGAGTCGCGTTTCGGTTAAGGCGGGGACGAATGAACGTAACGGGTTTGTGGGGCGTGAGGAAGGGATCGTTGCTTTCGCTACAGCTACGGCTGTTTTTCCTGTGTTGTGAAGAGAATTTTGATTTGGTTTGACTTAAATAAAGCTAGTGCCCATATACCATATCAAGTCAAAATACGTAAGCTGAAGAATCATGGCGTACAGCTGAGATCTACATCCCGGCGGTGTGGTACCTGTCCACTATCTTCAGATCACTTCCTTGTTTGATTGACTAGTAATATATGAACAGCTCTCATTGGACAAGAAAGAAAAGCTAATGGGTCTTATCAAGAACAGGATCGATTACGTGTCGATCTTGCAGCGAGGGGTCAATATCGACACGCGATCAAGGCTATCAGAATAAAAACACCAACCAGCATACCTTCAGACTCTCCCAGAATGAAGATCTGTGTCTTTCAATCATGTTTCGAAGAACTCCAAGCTTCAGTCGGCGAGTCACAAAAGCTACACATGAATCCTGGCCAACACATCACCCAGCACAAGATATCCCACAACACCATCCACAAAGCCACAGCGAAAGCCCAAATAGATGTCGCAGTCAGCGAAGGCCATGACTTTTATTTGAATTTCATGTGGGGAACACATGACGACTCACTAGCTGGCATCGACGCAATTCGATACTTTGAGTCGCTCAATCTGCCCAGTGCGGGTATCCAAAGCTCCGAGCGCGAACAGTCAAAATGGGACTTCTTTGCAGAGGCAAAACGCGCCGGAAGTCCTCTCATTCCAGGGACGACGAACTTCCCTTTATTCGTTAAGCCTGCGTCGAGCTATGGGAGTATGTTCATTGATGAGCATTCTTTGTGTCAGAATGAAGAGGAGTTGGATCGCTGTATTCAGAGATTGAATAAGTTGATGCGTTCGGTGCGCGTCTTACGTGCGCAAGCGCTTGGATACGCGGATCCAGACCAATATGCTGATGCTCGGGAGGCTGAAGGGAGGGATAGTTCGGATCTTGTCGTGCAGGAATTCATCGACGGAGAGGAATACTCTGTTGTGGTCATTGCTATGGGGAAGAATCCCTTTCCTCTCATTCCGCAACGTGCGAAATACAAAAAACTTTCCGGTGAGGGTCGGTTCTTGACTTTGGATTTGAAGTTTGACGAGGCGTCTGGATATGAGCTGCTGAACGAAAACGACGACCCGCGGCTCTGGGAGCACTTGCAAGCTACGGCCATTGAGGCTTTCACGACGAACAAAATGTATACGAATTACATGGGCTGTGATGTTGATATGCGCATTGGTCGGGATGGGAGGGCCTATGTCATTGAAGTTGATCCGCTTCCTGTTTTCTTTTATCCTATTGGATCCCAGCTTGAGGATACAGATATTCAGCGGGGATTTCCTGGGAGTTACCGGGCGGTTGTCAACACTTATATCACCAATTACTTCCTCGAGCATCCTGGCAAGCGCGGGGATCATTTTATTCAAGTGGCAAACTTCTATGATTCCCTGGCTCAATCTTATGCTGGCCGGGTTTCAAAGACCGACACTGCCAGTCATGTCATGACGAGGTCTTATCAAGGCACTGCCCTTGATCTTGGATGTGGACCTGGAACTGTCGGCTACTATCTGAAATCGCATGCCGAGAATAAGATCACGGAAATGGTGGGAGTGGATATATCCAAGAAATCGTTGAATATCTGCCACCACAACAATCTGTATACTGAACTTGTTCATAAACGGATGGAAGTATACCTGGCAGAAAGGACACAAATGGTAGACCACATATTCTGTATGTCGGCACTGCAGCATCTTTCCATGGAGGAGCTTGACTTTGTACTTGCCCGGTGTTTCCAACTTGCGAAGCAGTCTATCACATTGATGATTGGCGCAATCGGAGTGGGCCCCGATAGCCCCCTTGACCAGATGGACGAGACCAAAGCGTTCTTGACAGATCATTCCGAAAGCCTGAGAACTTTCAAAATTCCGCATGGATGGTCTGCCTTGCCAATTTGTTGTCCGGATAGTCAAGATTTGCACTTCCGGTTCCAGCGAAAGGGGTGATAGGATATGAATGATGCTCAAAGTTTTGTATTGTGTGTATTCTAAGAGGCAAATGAATGCCACCAATCTCAAGAGTCCAAATTTCAGCGGCATTAGGAACCCCAGAACTGCCACAGGGGATATCTCGTAAGGAGATATCGCAAAGAAAGCTTCAGAGATGTTGCCAAGCGCCCCCAAACGGGCTGCGCTACATTCCACTGTAGTTTGCCTAGATCTTACGTACAAAAGGAAAATGGATATTGGACTAGCGTCGGGCAGCGCAGCTAGTGGAGAAAGTGTTGAGTGACTCAAATATGGTAGTGATTCTATACAAAGCCAATACGACAGTTAGAAGTAGCGGGGCGTCATTCTAGCAGCAGCACGGAAGATGATACCCAGTATCTATTCACGCACCCGGTATAGATTCCAAATGGTCGTTGAAACCCTGGGCAGGAAGAGCAGATGCTCTCCTACCGTCTCGGTGGTTGAATAGTCAAACCGTGCAAGTCGCAGCTCCACCTTGTACATTTCCTTAGAGAAAAAGAGCGCTAATCTACGTATTTCACAGGGGATCCGCGCACGCAAGTGACCTGCGCTGAGCGTTATTACCCACTAATTTTACTTTTAGCCTCTTAGCCTTCATGTATTCATATTGATCACCTGCTACAATTATTCAGTCAAAACACTATACGGAGTACTCCGTAGTAAATTCGATATATGCTACACTTATATCTCCACAACCAAAGTTCTTTCATGAATATATTCATTGTCAATAGCCATTGATAAAGATGTTAAGTAGTATATATCACTTTCGAATAGTTTAAAATCTTACATTGTTATGGTATCGAAAATTCTTACATCTCTAAATCTTTATATACATCTCAGTTATGAGTTCCTGAAATTTCCTACAACTCCCAAAAGTCGCAAGATATCATATAAAAAGCATCAATGTATAGCAAAAAGTTCATATAGGCAAGCACTGTTGAGATATCTAGCTGTAATCTATCGCATTTACTATGGCTATCGGCCTGCACAGCTCGGATGTGAAATATGTTATAAAGAAAGAGGTTATCAGCTAGAGTAGAGCTGAGAGAGGATCTAGATCCATCCATTTGCAGCCCGACTAGCTCTCGTGTGGACGAATAAATTTACTGAGAGGCAGAGTGCTGAAGCCTCATATCCCACGGAATTTGTTAGATTCGGAAAATCTAGCCCAAATTATTGTGACCTGCGGCGAGACATAGGGTATAGTCTCGCGATATCGCTGAAGATCGAGATAAAAATTGTTACCTCATTTGTTATGAGCATAGATCGGCAGTGAAATCAATATCTCTGCTTCCTAGGCCTTGTGGTGATCTATCTGGTCACATCCGTTTTTGACTATTTCCAGCCACGACCTCTTTCGAGGGCCAATTACCGACAGGAACGTGTGGCGGCACGGCTATTGCTAATATTTGAACTCGGAATGTCAGGCTTACTACATTCCACTTTTTAGTCTTTACCTATCGTAGATTAATGTCATTCAAGGCTCGACCAGGCCACTAAGAAAAGAAGTGCATCGCTTCACGTAAATCTTATTTATCGATTAAAGTTCCATTTCAAACTAGAGTTATCCTCAAGGAGAATCATTTAAAAACGGTGATGCTCTAAATGTTCCTGCCGAGTCTAGACGTAGGCCGCCACCGCGGACACCGCACTCCCTCGGACACCGCTCACTTGGCCGTTCAGCAGCCTCGTTATTCTCTCACAACCTCGCCACGGGTCCATACACATTCCATTTGCCGTTATTATATATAAACGCCCTGTTCCACAAAATCTACTCTGGCAGTTGAAATTGATATGCAGCCGAATCCCTCACGCTTGGGCCGTGAAGTAGTGGATCGTCTAGATCAACAAGGGGCGAGTGGGAACTACAGGAGGATACGTACCATCGTCGACATCAGCCTATTTTGTATACAGGGACGTAGCAAGTTTAGATCTAGTTCAGAGTGCAGCAAAAGATAATAAACAAGATTTATATCAACTTCATTGAACAATTCTTCTATATCGACGGTCTAGATAGAGTGGCCCCAAACAAGTGGCTGATGGAAGGACCAATAGCCGACTGAGGTCGGATGCAGTGCATCGGTTCAGAATTCAAACTAAAAATGTACAAACTAGGGCACCGGAATGTGGAGGTCCCCCGCAATAGTTTCCCCAGAAAACTTTAGGGAAAAACTTTACTCGCGGGCAGATGATATAAAAGAGCGTCCCCTGGGTATCAGTGGCAAGCACAATCAGCTCCAATCTTTGAATCAAACACTACCCAACTATAATCGGAGCCCCTTCCCGTGATAGCATACAAGATGGGTCTAGGTATCATTCAAGTGAATGAGGACCATGCACCTGGAACTTTCCAGATGGATGGTTCCTCCTCAAACCTCACTACCCAGATGAAATATGGCACTGGAAAGGTAATTCTACAAACAGGAACCGTGAAAACAAACAAGTCGTGCTAACAGGAGTAGCATTCAACCGTTGTTCTAGTTCCCCAGCCTTCCAACAGCCCAAATGACCCTTTGGTAGGTGGCTCCTTGTAGTGTGATAGACCTACAAATCTCACACTTTGCATAGAACTGGCCACAATGGAAGAAGAACCTGATATATGTTGTCTTATTTTTTAACTCCATCATTTTCTCCTCCATTCCGCCGCCCGTGATTGCTCCATCTATGGTCTTGATGTCCATGGCCCTGAAGCGATCTATCAAGGATATCACAATGCTTACCGCATATCAACTGCTTGCGACTGCTTGTTACGGGTATGTCTCGCATGTATCTTGATATCAACGTTAAGCTAACACATATTTGTATATAGACCAGTCGGATCCGCTCTTGCACACAAATATGGGAAACGACCACAATTTATCTTTGCCGCCATCATGGGTTTTGTTGGAACACTTATCTGCTGCAATACCACAGAGAACTATGGTGCTCTGTTAGCAGGACGGATTATCCAGGGCTTTGGCTCCGCGGTGTTTGAGAGTTTAACTGTTGCAGTTATGGGTGATATGTGAGTCAATCCACCCTCTGTTTGTCTTGCGCCGCTGACTGGGAATATCATAGGTTCTTCGTCCACGAACGATCTCTCCGGACCGGTCTGCTTGTGATGACATGGACATGCATTATCTCTTTAGTCTCGATCCTCGGTGGTACGATCGCTGAGCATCTTGGCTGGAGATATGTGTTCATCATCCATCTGCCTTTGACTGTTATTGGATTGGTCTCAGTTGTCTTCCTTCTTCCAGAGACCCAATGGAAGGGTACCCGACCCGATATCTTTTCTCCCGAGGCAATGGCTCAGGCGGACGAAAAAGAGATGACAAAAACCAGTCATGGACACGAGGAAAATTTGACGGAGCAGTCGGAGCGCGAGTTTGCGGAGACGAAGAAGACATATTTCCAAGAACTTGCACTCTTTAGTGGAACGCACACGGATGCCAACGTGCTGCGACTGGTCTTCGCTCCATTCGCCGTTATCATCAACCCCGCGGTGATCTGGGTGGGTAATTCTTGCCTTCCTGGAGTGTGCCTTGCTAACCAGATTTATTAGTCAATTGCTGTGGGAGGTGCTTGCATTGTTAGTCCTTCTCCTTTCTTTACATATCTGCAAACATCTTGACTAACCAAATGATATAGGGTTTTTATGTGGCTGTCTCCTACATTCTCGCCCAAATTTGGTCAGCTCCTCCCTACTTGCTGAATGCCAGTCAAAATGGTACTTTCTATGTTGGTGGTAAGTTTTCGTCACTTTGTACAGTCCGGAAGAGTAGAGAAAGGTTTAGCTAATCTTAACCTGTAGCATTAATCGGAGGCGTGATCAGCAGCATAGGCGGCCCATGGCTAGGGGATTCGATCGCCAAGAAGCTGACAGAATGGAACAAAGGAACATATGAGCCTGAATTCCGCATTCCCATGATGGCCCTTTCTGCTTTGTTCTGTGGCATCGGATGGTTCGTCTTCATGTGGGATCTTGACAACCCGACTCCCAATGGTTATTATCTTGGTGCGTTCTGCCATGGTTGTTTGTGCTGTGGTACAACCATCGGTATGACATTTGCCAACCTTTACATTCTGTGAGTATACGCCTTTCTCCTATGAATCTCATGTACTTGACTGATAACGGTTGGGAACAGTGACGCCTTCCGGGAAAATTCCACAGAGATCTTCATTCTCTTGATGACAGCCAAGAACTTCATTTTCTATGGCTTCTCCCAAGTTATCAATACCTGGGCAGAGGAAAAGGGCCCCAGTGACGTCCTGAAGACTTTCGGAATTATTACAATGTGTCTGATTGGTACATCACCTATCTTGTGTAAGTTTGACCAGCCTTTCTCCACTTGCGACGAACAATTCACTAATAGTCGATATAGACATGTTTGGCAAGATCAACCGTTCTTTCATGTACAAGAGCGGATTAATGAGCATGTTGACAGGGTACAAACACTAATGATGGTGGATTGGCCTATTTGGATCATCTGAGGATGCGGACTAGTGACAAGGCTGTCATACAGATAATTCCACAGCATGCCTGTAGTATAGTGGAGGATTCGCCTCTATACACGAAATATATATGTTGAAATGAAGAATCTGAATTGCACTAATAATTGCTCTTATAAAAATACCGAGTTCATTATACTGCATAAATGTAGCTAATAGTTGCCTTTCAATTTGAAAGCCCGGAGATATACTGTATTGTTTGGCATTTCACTAACTTGGCTGTACCACCCACTTTGACTCTGATCAGAGTGAATCTATGACCATAACACACTGTCCAACACCAATTCACTACCGATTTAATGCAGTCCCAACAACGCGGAATTTATTAAAGGGGTATCCCTTCCAAGGCGACTTACTAACGGATCCCGTCTTCAGATCATCAGCGGGGCGTGGGGAGCATGTAGGGTAGCGGTCACCGAACATCTCCAGTGCGAACTCCGTGTTTACTTCCCCAATCCTGTGACATGAAGTCATCTATATATGTAAGTTAATCGTTAATGACTTATTTTTCATGATCTTCTTTTATTAGAGGTTGCATCCTTCCCCATCCTCCCCCTTTCTTTCTATCCGTGGAGCCGAATCATTTGTCTTAGTACTTTTGTTTTACCCCGGACTATGGATTCCTCTATGAAGAAACAGGCCCTGAGCCTGCTCTCCCTGCCTGTACTGGGATTCGCTTTGGCTGGGTTGATCGTCACCAAAATCATTTATGCATTCTTTTTCCACCCTCTACGCCACATTCCAGGCCCGGCGCTCGCAAAAGTAACTGATATCTGGCACCTATATCATTGCTGGGGTGGAAAACGGCACCATGTCTTGGTCGCACTTCACAAAAAATATGGTATGAACCTCACCTGATGCAAAGTCGAACTTTCTGGTAGCTGACGCAAAGAAAAGGTCCTTATGTTCGAGTCGGACCTAACATGGTTTCAACCAATTCCTCGAGTGCAATTCCCGCGATTTATGCTGCAGGAGCACCGGCCCTGAAGTCTCCTTTTTACGGAGCGTTTGCGCCGGGAATGCCCAGTAGCTTCACGACCAATGACAAGCTGTACAGAAATAAGAAGCAAATTTTGTCGGCAGCGTTTGCACCTCGCAAGTTGGAATCCATGGAACCTTTGATCCGTCAGCACATCGATACATTCTGTGAGACAATTGCAACAGCTGGAAAGGTTGATATTGCAGTGATGCTGGGCTCCCTTTCCATCGATGTTCTGTCTGATTTATGCTTCGGAAAATGTTTCAATACCATGAACAATGTGCAGGAGAGAGATCGCATTTTGGAGGCTATGGAAAAGTCCGTCGAATTGGTCATTAGAGTAAGCACACCACAGCTTCAGCCGCGAGCCCACAAGCTAACTTCTCTTCAGGAAGGAACTATGCACAAATGGCCACGTGCTGTTTGGAAGGTTCTTCACTCAAAAGAAAAGGTGATGAAGCGAGGCTACGTCTACCAGGTTTGTTTATCTTGCTCCCGTCTCCATTCGTTGATATTAACCATACCCCGAATAAAGAAAGCAGCCGAAGCCATGATGGAACAAATGAACAGAAAATCCGAACGGGAAGATTTCTTCACAAATATTCTTCAGGCTCGTCACCCGGAAACTGGACTGCCATACCCCAAGCCGGAACTGATGGGTGAAGCAATTCTTCTACTGTGAGTTCACCTTTCCCATGTCCCCAGCTCCGTTTTACTCAGACTAATGAACCCCATGTATAGTGTCGCCGGATCCGATACCACCTCTACCGCATTGACCGTCATCCTCTGGCACCTACTGGCGAACCCAAAGACGATGGAGAAGTTGACAGCTGAAATTCGTGGCAATTTCAAGTCCACAGACGAGATCAAGTACCAGACACTCCAGGGACTCCCATATTTGCACTCGGTCATTGAGGAAGGTTTGAGAATCTGCCCCCCCAATCCCGGTTTGATTCCACGCATGGTTGTCGACCGAGCCCCAGGCCATCTCGCCATTGACGGCCGTATTTTCCCTCCTGGCGTAAGAACATCCCCAGCCTCCCCCACCATTCTTGCAATACAAGCTTCATCTGCTAACATGCAATTTTCGATTTTAGACTGAAATTGGTGTTTGTAACATGTCACTTCACCACAACCCTCTGTACTTCGATGATCCGGATAACTTCATTCCGGAACGTTGGATGCCGGACTCCAATATCAAGTGTGACAAGGCTGCCTTCTCTCCATTTTCCTATGGTCCTCGTTCATGCCTTGGCCGAAAGTAAGTTTTTGAAACTTTTCCATTCCTCCTTCTGTTTTTCTTTTGATGCTAATATTGTTCGAATTTAGCATGGCATACATGGAAATGAGCTTGACCCTGGCTCTCCTCGTTTTCCGTGTGAAGCTATCGTTCGGAGACCATGCTAAGGAGATGAACGCTGGATTTGATGTCGAAGATGCTTTTGTTGCTATCAAGCCATCAGTTCCAGTTCGGGTTACCAGAGCCTAAAGCGCCGAGACTCTGTGGTGTCCTTTTGGAAGTTATTATTTGTCTATTTTCCCGGGGTGGGTAGTGTATTCGCAAGGGTAGGGACGCCCCAAGTCCACTGCCAAACATATCGTTGGAGCTCCCGCATCGTGTTGTCAGTCTGTCACAGGCTACAGCTGTGTTGGAACCCAATCTGTACATAAATACTGGACCTACGACTCATACGAACTCAGAGCAACATGATATCGGGCGTTCTGTTATGGCTTTTTTGGTCGATTCAGCGCGATCTAGTGTGTTCAGAAACTGCTTGCTTTGTGAAATAACCGTTGCGTTTTTCTTTCTCCTTTTATCCTTTCTTTTGAGATATGTATATTAACAAATGAATACACATCACCCCAACTTCATGGCTAAGAGTTCCCACGACATGTAGGCTAACTTCGACTAACTTCGCCACTATCTACATTTTTCTCCAAATTCAAATTGTATCTCCGCTCAAACTTTCACACATTGACATCAGGGAATTGGAGAATACCTAGTTGTATTCATAGTATTCATATAAGAAACCAAGACCTTATCATATTGGATACATAACTAGAACCGTCCACAGGGTCCCCCCAAATTTGTAATCACTTCCTATCGAAGAGGGGAAATAAACTATTTCCCCAGGCGGACCCCGATGCGGAGGATTTCCGAATGTCCAAACATAATTTGAATAATTGAATGCTGAGGAATCATGGATATAACGGAAGTTCGGTGTTAAGCGCGGACCCCGCGAAACCCGCCTCTCCCAAGCCGAGACATTCTGTTAGCGGAGTCCGAAATAGTTTGGCATTCTATATATCATAATGTCTATTTCTCTGCCAAAATCATCGCAGTTTAATTAGACAATTTGAATATTTACAATGGCTTCTACTACTTTCGTGGACGGCAAGCCGACCAACATCGAGACTCGTCTCTTTATCAATGGAGAGGTACGTTGGTTATCGTTGCACATTAAAAGAATATGTCTCACACATACCTAGTTCGTCGAGTCGTCGGATAAGAAGACCTTTAGTATTTACACTCCCTCAACTCATGAGCTGGTCGCAGAAGGTGAGAATTTGATTAGAAACCCACCTCTAACCCTATATGGAAAACCGTATTTCTGACACACACAAAAGTCTACGAGGCCACTGTCGAGGACACCAACAGAGCAGTAGCTATCGCCAAAGAAGTGCAGCCAGCATGGGCCGCATTGTCCCCAGCTCAACGTGCTGCACCCCTGAAGAAGCTGGCCGCCCTCCTGCGTCAGAACAAGGATGAGTTTGCTTATCTCGAGGCTGTTTCTATGGGCCGACCCGTTGGTGGCTACATCGATAACATCATTGCTGCTAACAAGTTCGAATCTTTCGCTGAAGCTGGATATACTGGCAAGGGTGTCTCAAGCTTGAATACCCCCGGGTTTGTGAACATGACACTCCGTCAGCCCTTTGGTGTGGTAGCGGCAATCATTCCCTGGAATGTGCCCCTGGTCACTCTTGCTGGCAAGGTTGCTCCTGCTCTTATTACCGGAAACACTGTTGTTCTCAAGAGCAGTGAAAAGGCCCCTTTGACCGTAAGTTCATCACCAGAACCGATAACCCCGGTTTCAAACCCCTGATTTCATAATAACATGTTATAGTCTCTCAAACTTGCTCAGCTCTCGATCGAAGCCGGCTTCCCTCCCGGAGTACTCAATATCATTTCCGGACACGGCCAAATCAGTGGTGCAACCCTATCGGCACACATGGATGTCCGCGCAATCTCCTTCACCGGCTCCACCAGAGCTGGTAGCATGATTCAGACTGCTGCCGCACAATCGAACATGAAGAACGTCATTTTGGAGCTTGGTGGCAAGTCACCCGCTGTTATCTTCGAGGATGCCGATTTGGAATCAGCAGCGGCCAAGACTGCCAACAGTATTCAGTGGAACAGTGGTCAGGTTTGCATGGCCAACTCACGAATTTACGTCCAAGACACTATCGCCGAAAAGTTCCTCAAGCTTTTCAACACCGCCTTCAGTTCGATTCACCAAGGTGACCCCCTCAACCCTACCACAAACCACGGCCCAATGGCCGATAAGATTCAGTTCGAGGCTGTTCGGAGATATATTGCTTTGGGTAAAGAGTCTGGCACTCTCGCTCTTGGTGGTGGTTCAAAGGACGGATTCGTGGAGCCTACCATCTTCACCAACGTCGCACAGGATGCCAAGATCATGCAGGAGGAGATCTTCGGCCCTGTCGTGAACATCTGTATCTTCCACACCGAGGAAGAGGCACTTACCAAGGCCAACGATACCGAATACGGTCTCTACGCCGCAGTTTTCACAAAGGATATTAACCGGGCCATGCGATTCGCCAAGGGACTGGAAGCTGGAACTGTCGGTGTCAACTGCACATCCCCAGTTACTGGCCACGATCTCTCCTTCGGAGGATGGAAGTCCAGTGGAGTAGGCCGAGAGGGTCTACTTGAGAGCATCAACGCCTTCTTAGAACACAAGTCAGTCCTCATCCAGATAGAATAGTTTATTTGAATGACAAAGCCCAGTGCTGTTATTCAAAGCCTTGTTTGTTATTCTACAGTAGCAAATATAATGGCTATTGAAAATTCATAATTCCCTTTCCTAATTCTTGCTCATCCGATAATCTCGTCTCGCCCATTTTATTACAACATACGCATCCTGCAGAATTCGTACAACTATATATCGGCGCATACGGGCCCCGATTTCCCCCTACCTCTTTTCCGGCAATCTAGGCCATCAGTCGACTCCGTTTGCTACACTACTCCGTACTATTTCGACGTATATGCTCTCATGCCTCTCGTCCCTACGCCACTTGATCTCACACGGACCACATTCCTTTCGGAAAACACGGCAACAATAAGCTTCTCGCGCGTTTCATCTGACATTTACGCCTCTTGATCTCTCTCATTCAGCCCCCATCGTTTTCGGCAAAAACGGCAAAAAATAAGTCTCCCATGCCTTTCATCTCATGCCTACGCTTGAATTCACATAGCCCCCATCACGTTCGGCAAACACGGCACGAAATAATCTACCTGCGGTTTCCGTCCTTCGGTATTCACCCACTCCTACACTACCGGCTTCCGCACTTCCATACTATTCATTCGAATTTCGATACCAGTAACTACCCCGCTACCCCGCTATCATCAAATCAAGATAAGATCATTTGGGGGTTTCAAAGTTTATAGCCCGGCTAGAATATGTGTGAGACTTGCCGAAAAAACCAAAACTGGTATAGGCTGAGAGCCCAGTTTTAAATCTTCACGAATTACTCCGTAGAAGTTTCAATCGGCTTGATGATCCCGTTTGTAATTGATGGGGAAATGTTTACTTGGAGTAGGCCTGGATAAATCGCCTGTCTCATTTTCGGAGACCGCACCCGCAGTTTATTTTTGTGGGGTACAAGAACTAACCATATCCCAACTAACCGTCTTAGGGGTCGGGATCACGGAGTTTTAAAGCCGATATCTCTTAGCTAAGGATTCATTATAACTATTTAATGTTTGGCATTCCATTAGTTTTGGTCTTGACTATCCTATCCCTATCCAACTACAACATACTGCCATTGCTCTATTCACATCATGACTTTCAAAGGTACCGTCGCTGTAGAGGAGGCGGTCATTGACCCGGCCACCACTTGGATTCTCAGTGAATCTCAGCACGTCCTGACCCCAGGCGATGGTGGTGACGCCGCAGTGGAAGCCCACAAGCACCGCTTGCTGGATATCGACGGACGACTGGCTTCCATGGACGCTGAAGGTGTCCAGTATATGCTGCTCTCATTGACCGCACCTGGAACCCAGGGAATCGCGGACCAGCAGCTATCAGAGAAGACTGCCACTGGATTCAACAACTGGCTCGCTGGCGAGGTCGCCAAGAAGCCCACTCGTTTTGGTGGAATGGCAGCTGTCTCAATGCACGACCCTGTCCAGGCCGCCGGCGAATTGAAGAGAGCCGTTAAGGAACTCGGATTCTTTGGAGGACTGATCAACGATTTCCAAAGCACCACTAAGGCCGAGAAGCAACTATACTATGATTCGCCCGCCTACGATCCTTTCTGGAAGATGGCCGAGGAGCTCGACGTCCCGATTTACTTGCACCCCCGTTACCCGGAACTCGCTGATCTGCAGCCCGATACGAAATACGGATCCCGTCTACACATGCTTGGCGCAGGCGTTCAATTCCACTTGGATCTGTCTTTCCACATCTACGCCCTATGCTCGTCTGGTGTCTTTGACCGCTTCCCTAAATTGAAGGTTGTTGCCGGTCACCTCGGTGAAAACATTCCTTTCAACCTGTGGAGAGCCTCGCACTGGTACAATAAGCCTAGCAAGAAGGCCACCCGGCCTTCGCTGCACGATTACAGCTACTACTTCCACAACAATGTCTTCATCACTACATCTGGCAACTTCAACACTCGTGGATTGGAATTCTGCATCAATGAGCTTGGAGTTGAGAGATGCTTGTACTCGATCGGTACGTAATTTATTCAAGTCTTCCGCGCAAACATGCTAACCATTGTTTAGATACCCCATATGATCAGGTCAAGGAGGCCCAGGAATGGTGGCGCACGGTAGAATTGAAGGACAACCAGAAGGAATTGGTTGGCAGAGAGAATGCCATTCGTCTGTTCAAGCTGCCGATCGAGATCTAAAGCTAGAATCTTTTTTTATTCAAATGAAAGTTTCTTTACACATTTGATCTTATTGTTCCGGCTGGGAGATCTAAGCTTAGTAATTCTTGAGATCCAGGATCCCGTTATGCATGCGCGATGCATGAAAGCACCTATATAAACAATATTAAATTGTCAACTAGTCTGGATATGCAGGCCTTTACCCGAATCACTGCAGACCAGTAGGATACTATTTCCTTCTGAATTTACCTGTGTGTGGCATCGACAGTTTGATATATAACTCTGTATTCCATATTTTTCAAGGCAGAGGAGATCTCCTACTTTATCGTCAATGGCAATGTTTCTATGTTAAAGGCTGGGAAGTTTGAATTGGAAGTGAATGTAAATTTCTATATGTTTGGATAAGCTCAAAGCTTAGCGCTTTGCGTGGGCGATCAAGAAATCAAGACCAGCACGAATAGGAGCAAACTCGGGCTCATCAACCTCAACTCCAACATCAAAGCCGTGAGACTTGCCCTCGGGGAGTAAAATTCCAGTCTCAACACCGAGGCTTTCAAGCTTCTCCTTGGCTTGGATACTAAACTTGGGGATGACCATACCATCTGCATCTCCGTGGATGAAGAATGTAGGGGGGAACTTCTCGGTGAAGGAGTTGACGGGATCAATACGCTTGTAATCACCATCCTTGACGATGGCCTTGAGCTGTGTGCCATCCTTCAAACTAACGAACAACCATGCGTTTCTCGGGATGGAAAGGTCAGGACGAGGCAAACCTTTACTCTTGGGCTTATCACTGGTGTTGGTCGCGCGTTCGAGGGAAAGCATCGTGGTGGAGCATACTGGCTCGTCAAAAACCTGGTTGATGAATTGCTCGGGAAGTGCTGGGATCATGGCAAGAGCGGGCAAAGGCTCGAACCAGAAAGGATCAGTTGTGTACTTGACACCGTAGAAATCAAGAATGGCAAGTGGGGGATCAGCGAGAGCACCCTACAAATAATAGTTGAGTTAGGACAATGAATCTGATATCAAGAAAAAGAAATTAAAAGATTTTAAACTTACCGTGTGCAAAGCCAAGTTACCACCGGCAGAGTGTCCGAATACGACGGTGCGGGAAGGATCCACTTCAAGTGCCGCATCATTCTTCAACAGACCGGGAAGAGCCTCCTTGCACCATGCGTAAACATCCTTCGCATCTTGGATAGGTCCATCGTACAAAGAGACCTGGGGGCATAGTCGGTAATCGGCCGAGACAACAACGAACCCGGCGTTGGCCAAATATTCTATTTGCTCCATGGGCAACATAAGTCTGGAGCCGACGACGAAGCCACCACCGTGAAAGGCGAGAGCGATGCCGAGTGGCGCATCGGCCTTTGACTTAGCCCAATGGGCTGTAGCGTAGACCTTTTCAGCCTCGCCGAAGGTCTTGAATGCGTAGTCTCGTGAATCCATGATATAAAGAGTAAAATATGTAAAATATGTAAAAATGAAAGTATGAATGTCTAATTTAAATTGTACTTCTGGGTTTCATACCAATAAGTACTAGGTGTGAATTCCCAAAATGGAAGTTGAAGCACGGTGTCCGCCATGTAGAAAGCCGTTGACGCGGTGTCCGCGTAGAACGGACGAACTCACTCCCCCCACCTTGGTCAGCAGTATGGAAATACTCCGCGCGGAGTTGGTTTGAAACTGTCCTTTCAATTGAATTCAAACTGATTGGCGGTTTCCGCAATATATGGGATGTCATGAATAGAATCTACCGTGGTGGCACGATGTTTCAATTGGCTTCATTTGGGCGGGCCCCGGGACTCCCACCCACTGTTTATATAGATGCATGAAGTCCTCTTCCTCCATTCATCTGATTCCTCAGTATCGCTCTTGACAACATCTTCCATTCAAGATAACCATCAAAATGTCTGATATTGCCGCAATTACCGCGAAGCTCGCGCCCCAGGCCGAAGCTGCCTACCCCCGGGTCCATTCTACGAGGGATCAGAGGCACCTTGCCGATTCGAAGGTGAGGTGTACAACTGCATCGTCAAGGGAACAATCCCCAAGGAAGTGCAGGGTACCTACTATCGTTGCATGCCCGACGCTCTCTGGGCCCCCAAGTACCAGGACGATGTCTTCATCAACGGTGATGGTGCAATTGATGCCATCCGTATTAAGGATGGACATGCCGATTTCAAGCAGCGTTACGTCCGCACCTCCAAGTTCGTGATCGAGCGTGCCGCCCGCCAGGCAGTCTTCGGAAAGTACCGCAACCGCTACACCGATGATCCCCGCGTCAAGCACGAGATTCACTCGACCGCCAACACGCACATCATCTACTTCGAGAAGCAGCTCCTGGCTCTCAAGGAGGATTCCCCCCCATACGCCATGGATCCTCACACTCTGGAGACCAAGGGTAGGCCCCCGGAGTTCAGCTCAACATTGTGTGCCCATTGACTAACTGAGAATAGGACCTTATGACTTCAAGGGTCAATACACTGCCCCCACCTTCACTGCCCACCCTAAGATTTGCCCTAACACCGGTGAGATGTTGACCATGGGTTACGAGGCCAAGGGAGACGGTACCACCGACGTTGCCTACTACCTCTTCAGCAAGGAGGGTGAGAAGTTGGAAGAATGCTGGTTCAACGCTCCCTACACTGGAATGATGCACGATATGGCCTGCACCGAGAAGTACGTCATCTTCACTCTTCCTCCTCTTGAGGCCCAGCCTCTCGATGAGATGAAGAAGGGATCCAAGCACTTCGCCTGGGCCGAGGACAAGCCCTTGACCTTCGGTATTCTGCCCCGTCGCAACCCCAAGCCCGAGGATATCAAATGGTTCACCTACAAGAACGCCTTCTACGGACACACCGGAAATGCTTTCGATGGTGAGGATGGATGCGTCTACTTGGACGCCCCCCTCACTAACTTCAACAAGGTTCGATCAACTGTGCTTGGAATTACTTCTCAATGGCTCACTAACTTTGCTTTAGTTCTGGTTCTTCCCTCCCGTTGGTCAGGACCCCATGCAGGCCCCCAGCGGCAAGCCCCCTGCTTCCGGAAACGTCAGCCAGTACGTCCGCTGGAAGTTGGACCCCAAAGCCACCGACTTCCACGTCGAGCCTACCGTCCTGGTTGATGTCGATGGTGAGATGCCTAAGGTTGATGACCGCTTCGTTGGCAAGCCTTACAACACCCTATTCTACGCCATGCACGACCCTACCAAGGGCAACGGCCCCGTCGGTGGTGTGTACAACGCCGTTGCCAAGTGCGATGTCAACACTGGCAAGCTGATCTACTGGTCTGCTGGAGACCACACCGCCATCCACGAGGTTGCCTTCATTCCCCGCACCCCTGAGTGTACGTATTTTATTACCAAATTTGATCCTCACAAGATACACGGCTAACCCATGGAACTATAGCGGCCGAGGCTGACGGATACCTCATCACTCTCGCCAACCGACGCGATACTGGTCTTTCTTGCATCCTGATTCTGGATGCCCAGAAGGTCCCCGAGGGTCCCGTTGCTGTCATTGAGCTTCCCTTCCGCCTTCGCAACGGAATCCACGGAAGCTGGGTCTCCGCTGACGAGCTAGATAACTCCATTGACCTCTGTGACATGCACGGTGTCACTGACAAGATTCGTGCTGAGTTCAGTGGCAAGCCCGTTACCTTCCCTACTCTTTGAGTGGAAACAGCGCCAAGAGCCTGCTCTACGGAAGGATTTCTTATCAATGTCGAGACTCTAGAATGTTGCAGAAGACTAGCCCTTGTGATTGTCAGGTTGTCAATTGTGATTATAGTTTGAAGTTGATTTTGAAATTCAGTATATGCTTTATGATATTTTCACCAAATTTGATTCTTGCATCTCGTTTGATAGGATCTTTTGTATCAACTCATACAAAAGATACGTAGATTTTGTGTTTAAAAGTCACAGTATAGTGTTTCATGTGGCGTTGTGCACGACCTCGGGAGTAGCTTGAGACGGCTATCAATGTCAACGCATGTACCGTGCTGACAGGACATGCAGATTGGGATCACTCCGCACCTTGACGGGATACGGGGTAAGATATTCTGTAGATTCTAATAGAACTTGACTCAGATGGTCAAACATACTGGTAAATGGCAAGAAGTGCCACCTTAAATCGATCTATTCCAGACAGTTCGGGAATTGTATCTGTTCAAACCATGGAAGTTTGCAATACCAGGCCCCCACAACATCTAATTACTACCTAGGTACAACCATTATGGAAGATTCCAGGTTTAAATCAGCATAGGGAGGCTCCGAGCTTAACCTCTCGCATTACTAAAGAAAGTTTACCTTTTTCAAATCTAAACGATAAGAAACAGCATGAACATACGGGGTGATTTCTATAAACATTACTTGTCTAATAAACACCATAACAAGGGATAGTCTTATCTCATGAACCATTGAGCAAGGGCCCTATTCTTCTACAGGAATCATGCGATAGCGGATTCCGAAGGTAGACCAGATGACGGAGAGCGGGCCGGACACCGCGTTGACCCCTCGAGACTACTCCGCAGTATTTATATAAGGCTTATACTAACTATATACCCCTACTCTTCATTATACCAATTATCATCTCGAACAGTATTTACTGTCGAATTCATCAAAATGACTAACAGCTATGTCATCCCGGAGGAGTGTAGGGCAGCCGTCGTTGTCAACGAGGGTCCCGACTTTACCATCAAGACCCAAATGGTCAAGGTGCCAACCCCAGGTAATACAATCTAAACAATCATCTACCATGAAGAGCATAATCTTACAAGTTACAGGTCCCGATGAGGTTCTGATCAAACTCAATGCTACCGGTATTTGCTACTCAGACATCCACTACATGCTTAACGACACTGGCGGTCCAAAGATGTCAGTACGGGGTATCTGCTCCGCTGGCCACGAGGGAGCAGGTGTGGTTGTTAAACTAGGTGAAAACGTGAAGACATTCCAGATTGGTGATCGCGCCGGCGTAAAGCCTATCTTTTACACGTGCGGATCTTGCGAGCTTTGCTGGACAGGCAAGGAATCTCACTGCTCAAAGAAGATCCTCACTGGAGTGGGTGCTACTGGTAAGACAGCTTTTGGAACATTGCGGTTTTCAATTTCTCATCTCGCCTAGGAACCTTCCAACAATATATTGTTTCCCCGGCCCGATACACCACTGTGATTCCCGAGGGCGTTCCCGATCACGTTGCCGGTCCCGCTATGTGCAGTGCTGCCACCGCATACCGTTCCGTCAGAGAGTCTGGACTCGCTGTTGGTTCGTTTGCCACGATCATCGGTGGTGGTGGTGGTGTTGGTATTCAAGCTGTGCAGATTGCCAAGGCTTTCGGACTACGACCTATTGTTGTTGATGCCGGAAGCGAGAAGCGTGATCTGTCATTGAAGATGGGCGCGGAGCATTTCGTTGATTTCAAGGAATTCCCCGATACCGTTACAGAGGTTATTCGTCTCACCGGAGGTATTGGATCACACGGTGTATTTGTCACAGCCCCCCCAGCATACCCCACAGCTGTGAATTATATCGGTGCCCGAATTGGTGGTGTTGTTATGTGCATTGGGCTACCTTCAGCAGGATCTGGTCACACCATCAATGTGAACCCCACTATGATGATCTTGAAGAGTCTGTCAGTCAAGGGAACATTGGTGGGTACGATGCAGGATACAGAGGCAGTGTTGAAGCTTGTTGAGCGGGGCTTGGTGCGGGAGGTCTGCGAGGTCTTGCCCTTTGAAAAGTTCCCTGAGGCGGTCGATCGACTCCGCAAGGGACAGGTTGCTGGAAAACTTGTGATTGACTACAATGCTTGAGGTATGAACGTGAAAAATATACAATTGAGAAACATGCAGCGCCATCTAAACGGTCAAAAGTTGAATACAATATTTGAAACATGCATTTGCATTCAAAACACAAAGCTATTGTACTATATTACAACCCTGATTCCAATGTGTTCCAAGCTCCACATAAGTCCAGGTCGAAATCTTCTCCAAAGCCGAAGCACTCAGAGCCAAGAGCGTTGAGATCGCCCAGCTCATTGAAGTTTATTCCTTGACAATTACTACCACTCGCATGACTGATCCTTGATTGTTGAGAAAAAGGATCTGCGACATTGATAGTAGGTCTTTCCGTTATACCATTTTCCAAATTGTGGATAAACTTTTCGATACTTTCAGCAGCGTATTTTGCAACCTGGCTTCGTTCGCACATTCTCAAAACAGGCAGGAAAGCTTTTAACTCGTTCTTCACACTCGGTGTTTCAACAGCCCGAAGGAATAGGACTATTGCTGTTGCCAAGATGAAGTATGTATCGAGCCAAAGACATCTTGACAAAAGACCTCGGCGGTAAAATTCCGTCAAGATCTCGATCGACTCCCGATTTGCAGCTTTACAGGTCTCCGCTCGGGATTTGAAAACAGCGTCGTGGGTGTTGCCGCAAAGTATCGAATGGGCCATGTATGGCCTCCCGATCAGCATACGGGCGTAATTATATTTGAGGTTTAAATATAACGTGGCACGTGCAAAGCAGGAGGCGAATGCCGAATTTGGACGAAGGTGATCGGGCAGTTCGCTGTTCCATATTTCAACTTTCTGGATCAGCTCACTAGTCACCTGCTCTTTGCTTCTCAGGTTGCCGCTTTGAATATACAGCTTTTGGGAAATCTGGCCGATCAGAGTACCGAGAGATGCTGAGCTTGTGGCGTATCCAGGGGGAGTGTAGGGTGTAGTATTGAATTCCTGCTACAGTTAGTCGTCATGATATTGTATAGCAGACGGAGCTTTCTTACCTGTGATGGAAGAGAGACACTGCTATTCGTGCGACCAAGGCCGGAAGTTTGTCCCAGCATGCAAGAGCTCCAGTTGTCAAACTCGCAGAGTGACCACCAAAGGCGTCGCTTAACTTCGGATCCATATATTGAAGTGTCCTGCACATAGCCTATATTTTGGTGAAGTCCAAGCGACAGTGAGATTCGGATTGCCACGCCCAGCATGGCCCAGGCGACACTGCGCTCATCTTCTCTTTGGCGGTACAAGCTCTGAGAACAGGTCAGCATTCGTAAACGAAAACAGGATGTCCACGTGGAATGGCGCCAACCGTACCATTAACATAATTGCCCGGACACTCTCCAAGCTCGACTCCTCTATCACATCATCCATGTAGGATCGAGCGATGTGGAAACTGGGATCTTCCTCGCCACAGAGGGCCATGACCAGATATAATATGACCAGCACGGATGCACGCACCCCTTTCCCACCATATATGTCATCAATCCAATGGTGGAATCTATCCTGATCCAGTATATATATGACGCTATTAATCTCTGCGAAAAACCTCACGGCGGCTTGATCAAGCGCCTTGCGGTCGGGCAGATAGTCTGCATTTCGATAAGAGATCACCTGTCCATCCATCAATGGGGCAGGTTCACTGTCGTCAAAGGGCGACAGACCGCCGCTATCTTTGGACATATGTGATATTATCTTGGCGTTGAGATTGCTGCAGCTAGATGAGCCACTGAATCCTGTGACACAAGTTAGTTTACGGCAGATAAGAGGAATATAGAGGATTTCCTTACGAGGAATATTCATAGCATCCACCATTAACGTATTTTCCAAGTCCTCGATCGCACATTCCTCACTGGGAGGATAGGGAGAACCTGAGGAAGCTGGGGGAGTATTCATTTGGGTGATAGTATCCGACAGCCATGGGCCATCATTTGAGCTCTCTGTAACAGTCGGTGCTGAGGGGGCAGGAGAGACCTCCCCTCGGGATGGCAGGCTGTCTAATAATTGTCGTAGATCTTCGGTTCCGAAAGACGCGTCGGGAACGAAATGACGAACCACGGCGACCAGGAGCTCATATCGTTCTTTTGAAGTGTGATAGTACGGTCGGGAAGTTGATCCCCCTAGTTGACATTGCTTTCCGAGCCTACTACACCGCTGACAAGGACCAGAAGAGGGTTTTTCGCACTGTTTGGTTAGCATATCGATAAATAAAATATTTTTCCATGCCTACCTTCACTTTCCGTTGTCTGCAACCATTGCAACTGAGTGCATTCTTTCGTCGTCTATCGTCAGGCATTATGAGATATGGTAAATGGATCAAAAAAAAAGTAAAACGCGTTCCCCAAAATATATGTAGTTAACCGGGCCCCTTTAGCCTCCGCAAAAGAAGTTTGGGGTTGATCGAATTGTGGGGTCGGGTGCGGGGGATTAAGCGATCATAGCCGGCACGGCACGTAGGCTAATTCCTTATGCCGGTCTGTAATAAAGTTGGTAAGGTGACTGTAAATACTTATCCGCTATGTAGCTAACATAGAAAAATAACCATAGAGCTACATAATCATCCCGTCTTCTGTTTGAAATATACACCGAGGTTCTGCTGTTGACGCTATATCCAACTAACCAAATGCAGCAAGCCTATGCTACATTATTTCAATCAGATCCACTTCAAACGGGGTATGCGGGTTCATGCTAGTCTGGCATTTCTCCCAATCAGCGAGTCATGATTTTCAATTATCTGCCGTCCACGCATATAAAAACGTGGAGATTCTGTAGGGCTTTGGCCTTGTTTGTTAAGCCTTCTAACGTTGTTTGCACCAACATTAACTATAACTATCACTTATTTATATCAATCTTTTCCTTGATATTGCACTTATTATTTGATCTACAACCAATTACTCGAAGCATCTCCGGGGCAATCAGACGTCTTGCATTGCTTGGCGAGTTCCTCCGATTCGGGACACCGGAAGTTCCAGATGAGACATGGCGGACACCGCACCCCAAGTGCGGACACCGCGTTCTCCATACTTCATACTCCACGGGATCTAGACCTAATCCACTGCCAAACTATATCAAAATATCTAGAATATAGTGTTAAGCTAGACTTTTATTATATACTATTCTTTCTCGTTCTTTAGTTTCGAGTGTTGAAAAATTCATACACAAGTATCATTTGTATGAGTAAGCCATTCAAAAAATACCTAATTTCTAGATTTTGTGTCTAATCAAAGTTTGTGCTTACTAACTAGGGCGCGCACTGACGCGTCTAGTGCCTTTGACATACTTGGCACGGTTATGGAAGGTGATGAACGAGGCGATCTAACGTACCAAGAGAATTGGCAGGTACTAACCTCATTGTTGGGCCAATTAAACGGGCACTCCGCATCTAACTGACTAGCACAGAGGGAGTTAGTTTGAGTCAGAAAATAGCTTCAATATTGTAGCACTAAATTACGTCTCCAAACTATATGCTTTTTACGTCTCAATGTTGTTTCCTACCCCTATTTTCAAGTTGATATATACGTCGCGAAATTACTCCTACACAAAGCCCGAACGTAGTGTGATCATCTAATAAAAGATTATAGTAGGGCAAGATAATTAGTATAGCAGTTCTATCGCTAGAAAGCATCCCCGTAACTCGTAGCGAACTTATCACAAGACGCAGAAAGCGGTCCTAAGGAGCATCATTCTTATTTAGGGAGCTAGAGAAGATTGTAAGAATATTCTATATCATGTTTGCGCTTACATTTAAGAAGATTTAGCAATTATCTCACATCTCGAGGCAATATATATGTGTGTCCTTACCCTGTCACAGTAGAGAACTCGCATTGCTCACAATTCTGTAGTGGATGTCCAAAGTCCCTCTCGGTCTCGCCATCCCAGCCCATCCCTGGCAGGTTTCTGGCGAACGTATGGTATCACTTCTTGTTTCAGAAGTGCGGCGTACTCGGGCGACTCCGGCGGAGGAAGCTTCTCGCTTTGTAGCACTAGTTCGTCGGGGGTGTATCGCCATTGCTTTCTGTTAATATGGAGGAGGTCTGGGAGTTCGGAGAGAATGTCCGTGTCTTTGTCAGACTTGAAAACGCCTAGAGTAGAGAGGCCAGTGAGACTAGGTCCAGAGGAACCCTTTTGGGGGCTTGACGTCCGGAGCCCCTACCGACGCATTCTGCAGTACAGGTTGGCTCACCGAGAGGGAGAGGGATCAATGAGAGGGAAGTGAGTTGTTGATGAAGATGGAAGATGGGCTGGGAAGAAGGAAAGGGTGGTGGTGAGAGCTGCCGTGGAAACTTCCAGATTTCTGTACCTCGCAATTGTCCCAGGAGCGTGACATTCCATTTTCTCAGTAGCACATCAAAACGATCACGAGGCAAAGTCTCCCCTAATTACTAGATTATAGTGCCTTCCATGTGTACAACCAACCACCTCATCATCTGGGAACAAGGGAAATCTAGTACTGCAGATCAAGAACTCAGTTTGCTACAAATGTGGTACAATATAGTATGAAGTAGATGACCAGATATAACAGCAAGACATTGGAGGTGCAATCTGCCTATTGACATAAAAGTAGCCTTCAGCAGCAAGACAACCATTACAAACTACTGTACTCTGTACGCCTTGTGCAGAAAAGATAAATGTGGGAGGGCAGACTATACCGACTCAGATACTAATCGTGTTCAATGCTTCATCATACGATCAAAAGCGTATCTTTACTGTCGCTTGATATCAATATCACTCCTTTAAGCGTCTTATTATGGTTCCTCGTCGTCCGAAAAGCTCGATCTGGGGTTTGACGTTATATCAAAGGACCAAATGTGGCATTGTTTCATCGTCAGGCCAGTGGGAGGTTAGAATCCATGATGGATGGAGCCATCGCATCCAAGTGGCTTGCATGGGGTGACGGCGGCGGTTAAACGGGCGATCATCACCTTTTATCGGTTAATCCGGTAGAATATTCCAAGGCTGTTCCATCGAGGCTATAGGTTCAAAAAAAGAACAATCTAAAACACTGTGGGTTGCAGGAGTAGACGCGCGCGTAGATCGCACTATGTAGGGCAATCCCCGCTTTTATGAGATCGTACGATATGTGTACATTGTAGATATACTTGTATCCCAAACTTGAATATATTATTTACCAAATCTCTTTTTTTTTTTTTTTCATTTTTCGCTTGATTGTCTTCATCATGGCTTCACCTGTCCATCTACGTCTTGCGTCCCTTGAACGCGATGACCCATGGATTGTTGAGCAGGAATATTTCACGATCCTGAATGACTGCTTGCAGCCAACGAGCCAGATTTCAGCCGCTGAAGCTGCTGCTAGAATTAATGAGCTTACTCCGATGAAGCGTGAGGCAAAGGGCAAAGAAGCAGAACATCCAGAAAACTGGTGCCTCGAATTTCGGGGAACGATCAGCGAGACTGTGAAGCAAATTCCTCATGCCCATCCATCACAAGATAAAATGGTTGGGATCATAAAAGAGCTCAAAGCCTTGCCGGGAGTGAAAGTTACGTTTTACGAAACGGTATTAGGTCTCTAGCTGTTATGTTCAGATCCACAACTAATTTGTTTATCTTTTTATGCAGGCAAAACCGCGAATTTGGACAGATCTTCCCTGTTTAATGGAAGTATGGAGCGAGGCATATATCAGTAGGTGTGAATTTGCTGCTCGATATCCATCTGCATATAAACTAACTAACTGTTTACTCAACAGTCCCCAGCCCCAAGGACGACGCTGCTGAGGCTGAGAAATGGGTAAATTGGCACGCATTTTCAGCCCGTGTCCTTCAAGCTGGCTTAGCAGATTGGTTTCATTTGACGACCTGGTGCTTCCGTGACGCGCTCGAAGAGGAAAATCTTCAAACAAAGGAATTCAATGAGTGTCAAATCCGGGCTGCCGTGCAGTGGATCGAGTATTAGAGAGATATCATCTTTCATTCCCTCAACAAATTACCTGACTTGAGGGATTTGAAACCTAGCCCATTATACACAAGCAAAGGGGGCCTGTCTCATGAGAGATGGGACTTTTGGGGAAGCAAGATTCCGCGAGTTAGCCGAAAACGGGATGTTCGCAGAGGAAACTGCTTTGATTTGTGGCAAGGCTGCAGAGCAGATGGCTGCAATTAACGTTGTCAGTGAGGGACATGATTCTGCAGAGACAGCAAAATCGGAGGGCTCCCATTAAGCGTGTCGAAGGTATACTTTAGGAAATGATGGAAGAGATAGAGGATTGAAGGAAGGACATCTTCACGGTTATAATCTGCTATTTACGGCACAGCAATGCACCCAACAAACAAGACATCATTGTTCACACCCTTCATAGTCAGTTCCTCTAGATAACACTGCGATTACCCATACGGCACCTGCAGCATCCCGTGGCCGGCCTATTTTGATCACTCTATAGCCGCTCTCAGCCCACACCCCTCAGTGGTCAACCAATTGGTCAACATGACCATCGGCAAGCTCCATGTTGGTGCCATCATCACCTTCCTTTCAGGTGGTGTGTCGGTCCTGTCCAATATACGCGGATAGAATCTAGCGCTGCGTTGAAGAAATTTTGCCTATTGGGGTGTTGCTACTTCAATCTCACTTTGAGTCCTGCCACGATCTCCCTCTGTCCACTCCACCGAAGATATATTATCCAATTTTGGGGAACTGTGCCCGCGATATTCTCAGTCAATTGTATTTGAAGACTACCCAGAGACGATCGATATCTCATATTTCAATCTGATGGAGAACCACAGAAGCTGATGGGTGGTGGCTAGCAGGGATTTGGTACGTCATCTTCATGTCATTGTGGTCAACTTCTGTTATTTGAAGCATATAAAACCCGGAAATGTTGCAGGTTTCTATTCCAATGATTTGTGACAATTCCAGTTCCTGAAGTTCCTGACCCACCCTACATCCTGCCACAATGCATTCCAAGAAAGTTCTCATTATCCTCAGCGATGCGCACTCCTTCCCGCTGAAAAGGACTAGCGGACAGGATGCTGGCAAGGTTGTCGATCAGCCTTCAGGAGTCTTCCTCCAAGAGCTTGCAAAGCCGTTAAACAAAATACTCAGTGCAGGCCACGAGGTCACATTCGCCTCACCAAAAGGCCATGAACCTGGCTTGGACCCAAGCAGCGAATCACTCATCGCAAATGCGGGCAATTTCTACGAACGTCAACGCGGAAATAACCTTATCGACCGTATGAAGCGTGAAAACGGGTTCAATAGCCCGCGACCATTTAGCACTATCAGCAACAATGAGTTGACCACTTTCGCGGCTGTCTTCATCCCGGGCGGACACGCACCACTTCAAGATCTGGGAGGAGATGCAGAGCTCGGGCGAATTCTACGTTATTTCCACGAGGAGAATAAGCCCACGGCTGTGATTTGCCATGGGCCTTATGCGCTGTTGAGTACGAAGAAGGCAGGAGATGGGTCGTTTGTTTACGATGGATATAAAATTACGTCCTGGAGCGATGCGGAGGAGAATCTTATGGAGACATTATGGGGTGGCGAGGTTGAGAAAGTTGAGTCGACGTTGAGAAAGGAAGGAGCAATAATGGTTGAAGGTGTACGTGAAAAGACTGGTGGTACCACATTGCATCGGGAGCTGGTGTCTGCAGGTAATCCTTTGGCGGCAAACGCCCTTGGTGATCGGTTTGTGAGAATGATCAGTGTGTAAAAAATAATTTCATCCGATCTAGAGTCGAGTGTACTTAGAATGCCTTTCTTCACCCAGCAGAGATCAACAAATGCAAACTATTGTAGTCGCGATCTGCATTTCTTCATTTCGAGACATATGAGACCGACTTATAGAGATCCTTGATTTCCATAAACAGATGTCATACTGACGAGATTGTGGCTCATACAACAAAGACATCTCTATTCATGGGACCAAAATATGTAAACTAGCTAGGAGGATTAAAGAATGCATTCATCGAAGAGTTTCTGGAAAGTAAACAAAATCGACCTACTAGATGGCGAGCTATAACAGTTTACACCCGCTGTTTCTCCGGAGACGTCACCATTAAGCTTTGGCGTATAATCAGGTTCCAAGGGTTACTTTAAGCATAGAAGTAAGCTTGGTACAATTGTTTGGAAACAACTCCGAGAAGTAGAATGATGTAATAATGAAAGCACTCCAAAGCTTTGCTCATATACTGCTCTAGTTCACAAATTCCAAATTTAGTTCGTAGTCCTCATATACCTCGTTTTATAGTGCTATTGACTATCTACGAGTTTCATCAAACCACAAGCATGACCTTTATCCGTCATTCATTGCCACATGCAGCATTGAGACAGCATCTCCGCCCATCTATTGGACTTCGATCACGTCGACCAACGTTTAGCCAAAGATACTTCGCCACTGAAAAGCCGAGTGGCCAGGCAAAGAACTCCCGGTGGTTAGTCTCCGTCTTGACATATATTACACTAGTTGCACACTAGTTGCATCTGACTTATACTTCATTCCTTTCGATAGGTTGTTGGTATCAATTGGTCTAGGACTACCAATAACATTCTACCTGTGGCAGAAAGGCGATATAAAGAAGCCTGGCACCATGGCTCTGGCTAGAGAGCCACGCGGAGCGAATCAAGAGTATATTCTAGGAGCAGAGGGCAATGAGGAGCCCGGAGAGCATGGTAACCCGTCAACCTTTGATCGTGATGCGGTTCGTTCTTTCTTCTCGTACCTTGTCTTTGGGCCTTGGCTCCCATTCTCATCATTTGACCAGGGTGTTGAGAGAATCATATCTAACTTTCATACAGCCTCGAGGCATGGGCCCACCCGATGGACCTGGAAGCATTTCACTGAAGCAGGAAGGCCTCGACAATGGGGATACCATGAACCCATTTGTGAACGACCCTGGCAAGAGTAAAAAGGGCGAGGGCGAGACGGACAGTGTGAAAGTAAAGGGAACCGTTAGAACGGATCGACCTCAAGTGTGAGCTGGAGTTCAACCCTTTTTTATCGGCAAACCAACAGCGTAAGTGGCAATTCGATACTATGTTCATAGCGGACGTCGGTAGTCTTGGAGATTTACCAAGTGGATAAGTCCTTGACAACAAGAGGTGGTGGAGCTTGAATGGCAGTTGAACACCTGAAACCTCTTGGTGGTAGAGAAGACATTGTGGGACCGAAAAGAATGCCTGTCTCCAAAATCCAGACAAAGAGCTTTGCAACCTCCAACAATGGTGTCACAGTTTTTGTAGGCTAATAAAAACGGAGATGAAATCACTTCTCAGCAAATATCGCGCAAGCACGCGTAAATGGTCTTATCATTGCAGATTTTTGCCTTGCTGAATTTGCCAAATCTTTAATAAAAACACTATTATCACTTATACAAGCTACTAACTAATATATAATCAAAACCATGCTGATTATCCTCGAAAATCCCACAATACGAGTCACAATAAAAAGGGGGGGGATGCAAAAAGTCGTGTTCCTACCACGCATTCGGGAATGCCTTGAGGTAAATATATTCCCCCTTTTGTCGCTGATAGAAACCCATTGCCTCATCACAGATTTCCATATTCACCACATTCATTCGAATATCGTACTGTCTGATGCGCTTCTCCATCGGCTCTGCAATGGCCATATACTCAGTCCTGATAACAGCAGTTTGAGCCAGGTCTGCAGTCTGATGCAGTGCAAGCTGACCGCTTCGCAAGATGGAATAAAGCAGACTCATGTTCTCAATTTCACTTTCATATGCCTCCAAAATATGGATCACAGATAGGAGGGTCGAAAGAGACAGACCCTGGAAAAGTTTCAGCGAAGCAATACCGTTGTTTGTCTCGCTTCGAAGAAAATGACGCCGGAGAACTTGAAGCTCGCCAACTCGGTATGTGCGAGTCAAGCCGGCTCCAAGGGAAAGGGCTTCGAGTCTTTCGACATGATATCGATCCTCGTTGTCATCGATCTGATAAAGGCCCAACCAGACTTTCTTCCAGAGTTTCACAATGCGACGCTCCAGTTGGCTGCGGGTTGAAACCGGCTTTTCAAGAGCCGCACCGCCAAAGGTGGTATACTGAGGAGGCTCATCAACTTGACCGTCCACTTCGGCCTGGTTGCATTCTCGGGCAGAGCAAATGCTGTAGAGAGGAGGTGCAGTGGTAGCAGCACACCACAGCTTAGCACTGAAGCGCTCGTTAATCTTCCACGGTAAATCCTACTGAGAGTTGGAGACCTACTTGCTGCGAGTTTTGACACGTTTGGATGAGGGAGAAGATAAATGGAAAAATTCCAATACCTTCCGGAGGAATCTCTGAGTACGATGGGGCTTCATTGCTATCAGAGTCGCAGCAGGAGTACTGCACAAGATACCTAACTGGGTTGTAGGCTGAGAGGTACATCTACCCTACTTTCAGACTGGAATCTAGTGCTTTATCACTACTAGACCTGAGAGTAGGATGTTGTAATCATGGCGTGCTGCCGCGTTGCTGATCAGGGAATGATGGTCCGTTCATACTTCCTTACTATCCAACTCGGTGAACCCCAATAAGCTCTCTAACTAGTGAGCAAGAGCTGACTAAATAGCTTTCTATTACATGTCCCAAAACTACTAGATTATTCTGTGGGGTATTACATTAACAAACAATTTATCCCAGCGCTAGTCTGATAATCATAGTCAATATTTGTCTGATTGTGATATACATGATTAACTGCCATTTCCCAGAATGACGAGATCATGATAATAAGATTACTCTCATCGAGACTTTTTGGTAAACAGAAACAACTAGAGTTTTGTCGTGCCGTAGTAAACAATGTCGCCGGGAATAAGTTCCGTGGATGTTTATATTTTCCTAGGTAGGTAATGCTGACAGCACCCATTCTGTCTTCAACCATGAGCTGATTTATCTCAATAAAAGTGATGAAGCTTACACGACCGATTTGAAAGTAAAATAGTCGAAAGGATTAACCTTCGTGGGTTGAAAGCAGGTGACCTCACACGCTTATCAACTCGAATATAATTGCGTCGATATCAGGGGGCCCGAGAACACTTTGTCTTACAATTCGTGTGAAATTATGTGAACTTCACGTTGTACATGAAAGATGCAATGAATTCCTGATCGGGGATAGAAAACTTGAAATGCGGGGGAATTTATATGCATCGCGTGTATATGGCGACTGGAAATTGACTAGATGCGAAGATATCCCTGTAATTGTTTACGTTTAGTACAACATAGAGCTTCATAACTTCGAATAGGCCTAGAAGGAGATTAAAAGCACAACATAACAGAGCGATGGTCTAGACAGGGGTATACCTCCTTGCAGGTGTGCAGCTGCAGCTACCAAAATAAGCAAATAACAAGAGATCCAGATAATATTCTCGGCTCGATCACGTCCCGGGCCTTAAGATCTTGTTTTCGCAATGATGCTTGACGTAATTGCTACATTCTTGAGCGCTTTCATTCTCATTCCCTTGACATTTATGAAATCCACACGGAGTTCTGTTTGCATTTCTTGTCACTAGCCGTGTCGCGCTCAGCTGCATATGCACCCATGGTCATCCGGTATCACCTTGTTTCATAATCGCGTGCCACAATCCTGGCGATATTTAGGTTGAGCTTTTGCATTCTAAAAGCTCTCAGCTCAACCTGAAAATACGGATGATGGCGAACGACCATTCTGTCGAAAACGGGTCCACGTCAGCTGCAAACCAAGAACACATTCCTCGCGACTCCGTTTCTTCCTCTGAGAGTTCACCTTCGCCAGTCAATTCGCTTCCACCTGGAGATTTCGCGCCAATCCGCACCACCCCATCAGACTCCCACGCAGATTCCACAGGTCGAAAGCTAGACGAGGATGGTGTCGCGCGTACTATATCTCGTCGACGCAGTTATGCTTCAGGTCATGATACCAAGGGAGAGGAATGGGCACAGATAGAAAGGCTGGTCTCACGGATGTTCGGCCGTGAGCGCAAAGCAAATTCCGAAGAAGAGAAAACACGTCATGTTGGAGTTGTATGGAAAAACCTCACCGTGAAGGGCGTGGGCCTTGGTGCCGCTCTCCAACCTACCAACGGGGACATTTTTCTCGGGTTGCCACGACTCATCAAGCAACTATTCACTGGGGGCAGGAAAGATGCTGGGGCTGGAAAAGCACCGATACGAACCATCTTGGACGATTTTACTGTATGTTTATCCTTCGCTCCCAGAGATCGGCTTGGCTAATCCAACATCAAGGGCTGTGTTCGTCCAGGGGAGATGCTTCTTGTTCTGGGCCGCCCTGGCTCTGGCTGCTCCACTTTCTTGAAAGTTCTCGGCAATCAACGAGCTGGCTACGAAAGCATTGAAGGCGATGTACGGTATGACGGCACTGATTCAGAAACGATGAAAAAGCAGTATAGGTCTGAAGGTGTGTACTTCTCTATACGATTGTAATTCTTAGCTAAAACTATCAGTCTTGTACAACCCCGAGGATGATCTCCATTACGCAACTTTGTCCGTGCGAGATACACTGCTTTTTGCCCTGAAAACTCGAACTCCCGACAAAGCCTCGCGCATTCCAGGAGAAAGCAGAAAGGAGTATCAGCAGACCTTTTTGACGGCCATAGCTAAGTTGTTTTGGATTGAACACGCGCTGGGAACCAAAGTTGGCAACGAACTCATTCGTGGAGTATCCGGAGGCGAGAAGAAACGAACCTCAATTGCTGAAGCCATGGTTACAAAGGCTAGCACCCAGTGCTGGGACAACTCTACCAAGGGCTTGGACGCCAGTACGGCACTTGAGTATGTTCAAAGTTTGCGAAGTCTAACAAACACTGCCAACGTTTCAACGGTGGTAGCTCTCTACCAGGCCTCGGAGAATCTATTCGATCTTTTTGACAAGGTGATTCTGATTGAAGATGGAAAGTGCTCTTTCTTCGGACCTAGCCAGGATGCCAAGGCATATTTCGAACAACTGGGCTTTCAATGTCCGCCACGTTGGACAACTCCCGACTTTTTGACTTCTGTCAGTGACCCTCATGCAAGACGTGTCAAAGATGGCTGGGATGACCGAATCCCTCGTAATGCAGTTGAATTTCAAGCTGCATATCGCAAGAGTGATACTTACAAACGCAACTTGGCGGATATTGAACGCTTGGAGGGCGAGATCGAAGCCCAGAGGCAGGAGAGGGAGGCTGCAAGAAGTAGCAACAGACGGAAAAACTTCACAGTCTCATTCTACAAACAAGTTATGATTCTCACACATCGTCAGTTTCTAGTTATGTTTGGTGACAGAAAGTCATTGATTGGAAAGTGGAGTGTGATAACTTTCCAAGCCCTCATTGTCGGTAGCTTGTTTTACAATCTCCCTGATAATAGGTAAGCAATTGCCTCTCCAAATATGATGAGACTCCGTATAGCTAACCGTTTCAAGCAATGGTGTTTTTACGAGGGGCGGTGTGATGTTCTTTATACTGCTTTTCAATGCATTACTTGCCATGGCAGAGCTGACCGCAACATTTGAAAGTCGACCAATCTTGCTGAAACATAAAAGCTTGTGAGGACCACAAGTAACATAAGGGGAAATGACAGTACTAATATTCTATAGTTCTTTCTATCGTCCTTCGGCATATGCGCTCGCCCAGGTTGTGGTTGATGTGCCTCTTGTGTTTATACAAGTCGTTATATTTGATGTCATAGTATACTTGTGAGTTCCATTTGATGCTTTACATGAATTGAACTGATTAGTTATGTAGCATGGCAAACCTTGCACGAACAGCTTCACAGTTCTTCATCAATCTACTATTTATCTTCATCCTCACAATGACCATGTACTCGTTCTTTCGTGCCCTTGGGGCTCTGTGTGCCTCGTTGGATGTTGGTAGGTGAAACAATCCCCCTCCATCAAGAAGTTGTTAATAACATCATTTAGCCACACGTCTCACTGGTGTTTCCATACAGGCGTTGGTTGTGTACACAGGTGAGTCCGTCCTAAGGGAACATATTACTGGAGTTTGATAGCCAACATAATATAGGTTATCTCATTCCTCCGTGGAAAATGCACCCGTGGTTAAAATGGCTTATTTGGATAAACCCTGTCCAATACGCATTCGAGGGATTGATGGCTAATGAGTTCCACAATCTCCAGATAAAATGTGTTCCACCCTGGATTGTGCCCGATGGGCCAAATGCGGTGCCTGGTCATCAAACCTGTGCAATCCAAGGTAGTGACCCTGACCAGTTGATTGTTCATGGCCCCAGGTATATCCAAACGGCCTACACTTACAGCAGAGCTCACCTGTGGCGGAATTTTGGAATCATAGTTGGATGGCTGATACTTTTTGTCTGTTTGACAATGCTGGGAATGGAATTGCAGAGGCCTAATAAGGGTGGCAGCTCGGTCACCGTGTTCAAAAGAGGTGAAGCCCCAAAAGAAGTTCAAGATGGCAACAAACGATCCGGCCCGCTAGAAGATGAGGAATCCGCGGAGAAAAATGGCATGGCTTCCACCAAAAACGAGGGCCACTCGAGTGAATCCAGTGACAAGGTCCAGAACATTGCTAAAAACACGGCAATCTTTACATGGCAAGACGTCAATTACACCATTCCATATAAGGGTAGACAGAGACAACTGTTGCAAAATGTTCAGGGGTATGTCAAGCCTGGTCGGCTGACTGCATTGATGGGTGCTTCTGGCTCAGGGTAAGACTTAAAACAAGTTTGACTCAGTTCTCGATGCTGATATCTGACCAGGAAAACCACTTTGCTCAATGCGCTCGCACAGCGAATCAACTTTGGCGTGGTCACTGGCAATTTCTTAGTTGATGGAAGGTAGGGAGTCTTGAACGTATCTCATTAATTATGCATGCTAATATTTTCAGTCCTCTACCAAAGAGCTTCCAGCGAGCGACTGGATTCGCCGAACAAATGGACATTCACGAACCCACCGCTACTGTGCGGGAGTCCCTTCGGTTCTCTGCTCTGTTACGGCAACCAAAAGAAGTCCCATTACAGGAAAAGTATGATTATTGTGAGACGATCATTGACTTGTTAGAAATGCGGCCCATTGCTGGCGCAACAGTAGGATCTACGGGCTCAGGTCTCAACCAGGAGCAGCGCAAACGACTTACCATTGCAGTTGAACTTGCAAGTAAGCCCGAGCTGTTGCTTTTTCTAGACGAGCCGACGTCTGGCCTCGATTCTCTGGCAGCGTTCAACATCGTACGCTTCCTTCGCCAACTTGCAGATGCCGGCCAGGCCGTGCTATGTACAATACATCAACCCTCTGCTGTGTTGTTTGAGAACTTCGATGAGCTCTTGCTGCTGAAAAGCGGTGGAAGCGTTGTTTACAATGGGCCCCTTGGGAACGACTCCAAGACGCTGATTGATTACTTTGAACGAAATGGCGGGAAGCAATGCTCGCCACATGAGAACCCAGCAGAGGTGCGTACCCTGAAGCCGGAGCGATTGTTCCTCGCTCACCTCCTTTCTAGTATATGTTGGAAGTCATTGGAGCTGGAAACCCTGATTATAAGGGGCAGGACTGGGGCAACGTGTGGGCCAACTCGCCAGAATCCAGACAGCTTTCTGAGGACCTAGAGAGTATCATAGCCTCCCGTCGCAATACTCAAAACGACGAGAAAATCAACGACGATCGCGAGTACGCAATGCCACTTTACGTTCAAGTAGTCACAGTCACCAAGCGCGCATTTGTGGCTTACTGGAGGGCCCCGGACTACATTATTGTAAGTCATTAGGTTCGAAACATTAAACCTGAATGGCCTGACTGATTGTTACCCAGGGTAAATTTATGCTTCATATCTTCACCGGTCTTTTCAACACGTTCACATTCTGGCATCTGAGAAATGGCAACATCGACATGCAGTCACGACTCTTCTCTGTCTTCATGACATTGACAATAGCTCCGCCACTGATACAGCAACTCCAACCGCGGTATCTCCATTTCCGAGGTCTCTATGAATCTCGCGAAGCTAACTCCAAGATCTACTCTTGGGCTGCCTTTGTGACGAGCACAATTATCCCAGAACTGCCATACTCAATCGTTGCCGGGTCAATTTACTTCAACTGCTGGTAAGTCCCTTTCCAAATGGAGTTCTATCTCTCATCTCTAACGGAAATACCAAAGGTACTGGGGGACTTGGTTTCCGCGCGACTCGTTCACTTCCGGTTACGTTTGGATGTGCATGATGCTGTTTGAACTATACTATGTTGGGCTTGGTCAATTCATAGCCGCACTTGCACCTAACGCGTTATTTGCAAGCTTGCTTGTGCCAACTTTCTTTACCTTTATTGTTTCCTTCTGCGGTGTGGTCGTCCCCTATGCCGCAATGCCGCATTTTTGGCAGTCGTGGATGTACTGGCTTACGCCGTTCAAATATCTGCTTGAGGGACTTGTTGGAGCCATCACTCACAATGTCCCTATACGCTGTATTGAGCGTGAGGAGTCACACTTTAGCCCTCCGGCTGGTATGACCTGCCAACAATATGCTGGCTCTTTTGCCGAAAAAGCGGGTGGATATGTCCGAGACGCTGGGAATGGAATGTGCTCATACTGCCAATACTCGGACGGTAGTCAATATGTAAGTCGCAAATTATCATGCTCTTTGCTTGGATTCGTTGATTAGCAGAGTTGGAGTATGGCTGACTAGAACTTTGTTACACTTTCCAGGCCAAGAGCATCAATGTGTTCTACTCGCACAAGTGGAGAGACTATGTGAGTGTCGTGATATATGCCTCTTCGGCTAACCTTGGAGCTCAGATCAAGTCTAACATCCATTAGGGAATCCTCTGGGGATATATCATCTTCAACTTTGCTCTTGTTTTCGCCTTCTCCTGGTTGTATCTGCATGGTGCTCGCAATATGAAACGCTGGTTCAGTGCGCGTAAGACGAGACAGGGCAAAGACCGTTCTTGAACGTGGTTACACCGTGTCTTCCATGCAGCGCAATGGTGCATCTTGTGCTAATTTTTCTAACCTCCTGTGTTCATCTACTCCCTCTCTCTCCGCGTGTTAACTTAACATAACGTCCGAGTCTTGATAGGGTAGAGGATATTTAGGCTCTATACTCATAACAGATACATAATCATTGCGGTTCTCTTCGGAAGAATAAACTATTTCCTTGCTTTTGATTTGCTGAAGTACTATATGCACCTAGACAGTCACATCGATTCTGCTTTGTCCATTGGTTGAGGGCTTTAGTTACATTGCAGAGACTATTTAGTACTTGCATAGGTAGCATTCAAAAGTTACACATATATGATTCCCTAGAGATCAAAAAGTCCGACATATAATTGTTAAAATATATCTCCATGTGTCTTGGCCAACAAAATTGCTCATCGCGCAGCTCCGCGCCCAAAAGCTTGGCATTTTTCCGTCTTCCCTCTCTCTCATCCTGGCGCGTTGAATTTTGCCTATACCAACTTGTTGCTTCTGGCCTTCATATGCCATGACTTTTTAAGTCCACTCTCTATCTATTCAATTCACTTCCCTTTTCTACTTCCCCGACCATGAAGGAAGAAACAGAACCCAGAGATACCCCCGAAGGCTCGACTGCCGGTGACGAGTCGAAGGCCAGTCTGGCTGCAAAGGATCGCAAATGCCAGTACTGCCAACAGGCGTTTACATCCTCATCATTGGGTCGACACCTCGACCAATTCCTTTTAAGAAGAAACCCGACGGAATCCACGATGTCGAAGAGATCAGACGAATTCGCAGTGGGATCACCCGGCGCCAAGCCCGAACATCCACAGGGAAGAACGAGGGGAGTCCTGAACGAAGCCAGAAAAAGGGTACATCAGAGCCGTCTACGGCCGCTGATTCGGGGTCGAAGTCGCGCGAGGCTCCGGTGCGCATGATGTTTAACACACCTACCTGGCACGCGACTGGAGTGATCAATGATATCCCCAACCCCAGTCGCGTCCCGGATGGGCCTCGAATTGCGCCATCGCAGTCTCGGACAGGCTCATTACAACTGCCGGACTATGCCAGTAGAGGTGCTAGTTCCAGCAACCCAGACACAATGCGGGCGCTAGAGCTAGCACTACGCGAGGTGCTTGATAATATCAAAGCTGCGAGGTACGTCGGCTCATTCATCGTTATATCTAACCGCCAAGCTCATAAAACATAAGCTCTCGTATCCGACCTCGGCTCTCTCCGTTCGACTTCGAGATGCAAGCTCAGACTTTTCCCTCCATGTGTCTACAGCTGCTCCCTCCTCCGCCAAGCCTGTTCGCGACACATCCGTTTCCCTCCTCTACCTCGTTTCCCCTCCAGCCCCCCGGCGCCGAGCACCTCGATATAGTCCGCCAAGCCCTTCGCTCCAAGGTCGCGCAATGGCAGACCGACCAACTCGCAGCAGAGTCTACTGGTGCGGCTCATGCTAGACATGGGAATAGCGGGGTGGATCCAAACATGATATACCGAAGCGCACAACAACACGAAGATATCAGTTTTCGACACTTAGAATTGGCCTTCAATCATTGGAACTCTCTGCCCCACGAGACCCGTCGCGACGCGTGGCAATTGGAGATTACACGCGCATTTGCGCGGGAAGTAGGGAAGCGGAAGTCCTCGGACGAGCAACTCGCTCGAGTGCAACAGGAAGCAAACCAGTTGCGTGCACAGGTCGAGCGTCTCGGATCATGCCAGTGGCCTCGTGAGTTCGCATTGTTTCCCCCGGACACGCTCCCCCTCCCACGAGAGGTCGCGCGCGAATTAGACGCACAGGACAGCCACATCAGCGCCGACTCAACGCGATGGGACTACGACAGCGTGGTCGCCAAATGGAGACGTGTTGTTATGCATGATAAGGGCATGGGTCGGATTGGGGTTGGTTATGGAAATGCCAGTCAGTTGGGGGATCCAGAACAAAGTCAGTCTCAGCAAAGCCCTGATGTCAGGCCTCCACGCCCAGGCGAAGACACCACTTCTCACCCGAATCGCTTGCGCCCCTTGCAATCTGCTACGGCTTTGAGCCCAGACGCTGGAGCTGCCTCCACCCCTGCTTCATCTACACACTACGCTTCACCCCACTCCTATGCAGATCCTCGCAGCCCGCCCAGCGGTTTACCCAGTGGTATGGCCCAGGTGGGTGGGCTGCCTCCAGCTAAGCGACAGCGACTCATGAATGGCTCAGAAGACCCGTCTGGTGCTTCGTCCGAGTCTGGCCATGCTCCGCCTTCTGCCGCTGGTAAACACTGGGGATCTTCCACTCCCCATTTATCCAATCTTGCTGCACCCTCCGGACAGACGCCTCCGTCGTCGTCTAGGAATTGATTAGGTTTGGAATATAATATCTGCAGAAAAGCATTGGACAAGGCGTTTGGGGGTTATTATCTAATACTTTGCATTGGCTTAAGACAGTAGGTGGTTTGATCTACTCCGTCGTTTTCATCTACCCCCAGATCTACTCTTTTTGCTAGAGAATATCATGATCATATGAAATGCTAAATATTCGTCTTGATCGTAATTGGTGGGTAGTTTTTCTGCTACAGTGACCTGATGTTGATAGTAGAAAAGCACTACCCGCTAGATACAGTCTGGTGTTGTTGCAGTCAGACTCTCGCCTTCGCATCTTGAGCAATCTCTTCGCCCAGATACTCAGCTAGAGTCAACATCTTCTCTTCCTGCAGTCTCCTGCCTACCAACTGTACTCCCACCGGGGCCCCATCATAGGTCTCGGCATCATCTAGACAGCGATTAATATGATTTCATGAGAGGAAATCCATGGGGGAGACTCACAATCCCACTCAATGTCTTCAGAATCATTCACAGACCCGTCAGACGATTGCACATCGACCTTCTTGTCCGCAAACGTGACTGGAATCGCAAGACTAGTATAGTCAAGCAGATTCACAAATCCAGTATATCCCACAGCCTTGTATTCGTTGGGAATGACTGCCGCATGAGGCGCCAATGGACAAAAGAGCCCATCAACAGGGCGTCCTGTGCCTGTCACCTCGGCTGTGCTATTCCAGTAATCCATGTATTGTTTCTGGTACTGCCGCTTTGTAACATTGAGCGCGGCAATCTCAGATGCTGTCATTTCAGCACCATTCTTGGTACTGATGACTTGCGGAGCTGGAGATTCTCCAGATAGACTGAAATGATACTTCAAGTCTACACCGCCGTCCATGTTGAATACTTTACCCTGTCAGAAGTTAGCGCCGTGCTGAATCCCACGCAAACCCAAAGCCCCAGGTACATACAACTAGTTCAGCAGCAATAGCGTGAGAAGGAGGCTTCCACTCAATAACCCGATGTCCCAACCGCTTGAGCGTTTTCTCAACAATCTTGAGCCCCCGCGCAATAGGCGGATGAACAAGGGCCACACCATCGTATTTCATAATGCCGAACGCAAGCGTTGACGACCCACTCCGAGCCTTCTCGATCAACGCCCTGGTCTCCTGAACGACCTCGTCACGCCACGGCAGCTCCAACGCAAGCGGATCATATAGCCAAGGCTTCTGACTAAGAACGGCCTTAAACAAGAGCGTCAAAGACCTCGCAGTTGGCGCAATCGGCCCAATAACAGACAAGATGGTCCCTTGGCCATCCATCGAGTTCGCAGCACCCTGGTAAGGAATTCTACCCGCCGAAGGACGAAGCCCATAGAGGAAATTGAACCCAGCAGGGATACGCACACTGCCTCCGATATCAGTGCCGAAGCCAGCAGGCGAGCCGCGGAGCGCCATCAGGGCACCCTCGCCGCCAGAGCTGCCGCCGCAGGACAGCAGACGATTCTTGGGGTTCCAAGTGTAGCCGATGATGTGGTTAATGGTTTCGCCGGCCATTAGGGTGGCTGGCACACTGGTCTTGCAGTAGAGGACTGCGCCGAGACTGCGTAGTTCGCGGACGAGTTCACTTTCTTCTATGCCGCTGCGTGGGTCGTTCTGTTGGCCTTGGAAGGTGTTTATCCAGCCTACGTAGCCCATTGTGGTTTCGACGCCTTTCACGTGAAACTGGTCTTTTAGACTCACTGGTAGGCCATGCAGGGGTCCTATTGGGGTTTTGTGCTTTGCGAAGTATTCGTCTTGCTGTTTGGCATCTTCAATTGCTGCTTCAAAGAATACTTCGTGGAGACAGCCGACCTAGAGTTTGGTTCATGGTTAGCCTTTGTTTAGGTATCTCATGTTGGTGCATTTTTGTTCACTGTGACTATGTATACGTACGAGTTGGTGAGCCAGTGCGGCTCGGTGGCAGAAGGCCGCTGTCACTTCCACGGCTGACCATCGGCCTGTAGATGTCTCATCCACAATACCTACGGCATCTGTTTCTGTAATCTCAATCTCACGTTCGGTGAGGTATTGTCGGATATAATCCCCTGTGACATCACGTAGTTCTGTAGCTGGAGGGACAGCGGATTTCAGTCGCCATTTCTCGGGGATGGCATTTAGAATTGACTGGCGTTTGGCTTCGCCCTTCAGTTCCCAGGATGTACCAGTCATTGTGAGTTGTAGTTGAAAATTGTGAGAGACTTCCTCGAAAGCAGAGTATTTATGCACCAATGCGGGGTTATTGGAGTCGTGACACAGTTGGGGGCGTCCTTATTGACGCGGTTTCCGCACTACTTCGGAATTGATTTGGAGTACAGACATAGCCATATTATTCGTTCTATTAAGTGCACTTGGTTCATCTAGGGGGTGGCTGCTTATTATCTTCAACGTGGACTTGGCGGAAATACAATTCGCATTCGTCTCCAACAAAAAGATAAGAGTGCTTTGTGAATGATAGCAACGCTATTGGATATTGGATTGCGATATTTGACCGGACTCATTATAATAGCACAACTGTCTCTGTGCTTGAGTAGCTCATGATAGAATGCGGTCCACGTATCCACGTATGGACTAAGGAAAGAACCTTTCTGAGGACGTTACTAACATCTGGTTTTCCCATTTTCAAATACGATCTGCTCTCTCTTCGGTGGCCTGAGTGGTCGTCATTTGCCGAACGTTCAGGTTGACCCGTTTGCTGGACATCCAACCCTTCCACATCTCGTATGGACCAGGCGGCATCCCCGGAGCAGATTCTCGAGATGATGGCCAGTTGGCCAACCATTTCGGGCAGGTAGAGGGTAGAATCTTCGGAACTCCATGCCAGGCGAACCGCGATTTACCGTTCATGTAGACAGTATCGCCTGACCGAAGCCGAATGATCTCGCAACCATTCCCATCGTCGTGGCTAGCCAAAAACAATCCATCACATCCAAAACTCACGCTGATCAAACCTACGTCACACTCCTCACTCACGTCCCGGTGCACGCTCAATGTATCCCCGGCGGAATAGAGATTCAAAATGGCAGCCTGGGCTGAGGTTGCTGGGAAGGCTGCACGTAACACCTTTGCGATATCCGGCGGGAACTCCGGCGGAGGTCCAGAGGGGTATACTTTGGCAGTCCAGTCGTACTGTCCACCTAATGTCACCCAGCGCAGCTTTTTCTCCAAGAGATTTTGAACCGTTACAGGCTTGTGCACTTGAGGATCCTTAGGCTGGAAAGCACGAGTAGGATCATCTGCGAAGAAAGACTTGGGCATGTGGGTGTCTTCTGATTCTTCGGGGTACGTCACATCGTAGTGCAGGTGTAGGTTCGTCTGATGCTCGGGGTTCGGCAAATCTCGGTGGAATAGGCGGGAGAGCAATTCGATCTGGATAGTAGGGGGGAATAAGGCGGGAATCATCAGGAGACCTGTCAGGAGGTCAGGCATGGCTCTTTCTCCTGCTGGGTCAGTTCCAAATTGAGGCGATACAATGCTAACCGGAAATCGATTTGTGAGCGTATACTGGAATATCCTCAGTCAGAGAAGCATCTTCTTCTGTTGTAGCATGGCCTCCACGGAAAAAATCATCAAATGCCAATCGCAAGTCCTGGCTGGACATATACTGCTCAATCGTCACATCGTCGGGCAGTTGGTCGGGATCGATCCGTTGTAGGTCGAGGATCCCCGGATCATTGTCAATCTCGGACAAGGCAATCTTGGAATATTTCTTGTAGCAAAGTCTCACAGGATCAGGAGGGCGATCATAAGCACTAAGACCCTTAATTTGGGCCATGGCGAGAAGATGAAGTCAGAGAGAAAGTTGAACATGGAATGAAAAGGTACGCGCTTCACCGCCCTATGATAGGCGCGGGGGTTGTTTGTTTTGTGTCTTTCTCTCCCCACCATTGAAATACTGTCTTGTCAATTATCTCTTCAACAAATTACTTTTTTTCGATCTCCAGGTGGAATTTGGAGAGCGTGCTGCTCCAGCTGTTCTCAGAGATCAATATCCTCGGAGTAAGTAGTGACTACCTCCTCTCCTTGCTTCCCCTACAAATTCTTCTTGGCAACATCCTCCAATCTTTGTCAAATTCCCATTCCGGCCTTTCTAGTTTGAAATTGTTAATCTCGTTAATAGCAGAAAAGGATCGGATGTCGGCCACCATGGATAATTATCAGAAAATTGAGAAAATTGGCGAAGGTATGTACCCTTGACGCGACTGTTGTCACCCACAGCCCAACTCACGCGTTGATGCTCCATAGGCACCTACGGTGTGGTCTACAAGGCCCGTGAACTCAGCCATCCCAATCGTATCGTTGCCCTGAAGAAGATTCGCCTCGAAGCCGAAGATGAGGGTGTCCCTAGCACTGCAATCCGCGAGATTTCCCTCCTTAAGGAGATGAAGGACCCCAATATTGTCCAGCTGTTTAACATTGTCCACGCCGATGGTCACAAGCTCTACCTTGTCTTCGAATTCCTCGATTGCGATCTTAAGAAATACATGGAGGCTCTGCCTGTTAGTGACGGTGGCCGAGGGAAGCCTTTGCCCGATGGATTGGGAGGTGTCACCCTGGGGCTGGGCGATGCAATGGTCAAGAAATTCATGGCCCAGCTTGTTGAGGGTATCCGATACTGCCATAGCCACCGAATTCTGCACCGTGACCTGAAGCCCCAGAACTTGTTGATTAACCGTGAAGGCAACCTAAAGTTGGCCGATTTCGGTCTTGCCAGAGCGTTCGGTGTTCCCCTTCGCACCTACACCCACGAGGTATGCATTGCATTTTCGATTACATCGATTGCAATTTTCCATTTACTAACTCAATCTACAGGTTGTCACATTGTGGTACCGTTCTCCAGAGATTCTGCTGGGTGGACGTCAGTACTCCACGGGTGTTGATATGTGGTCGGTGGGCGCCATTTTCGCCGAGATGTGCACACGCAAGCCTCTCTTCCCCGGTGACTCTGAAATTGACGAGATCTTCAAGATCTTCCGGTAAGAGTGGTTTCGTTCTATTCCATGTTCAACTGTATTAACGGATTACAGCATCCTTGGTACCCCCGGTGAAGACATCTGGCCCGGTGTGACCTCGTTCCCCGACTATAAATCCACTTTCCCAAAGTGGAAGCGCCCTGATGTTGAGATTGTTCCCGGGCTGGAGGAGGCTGGATGTCAACTCTTGGAGTCTCTGCTCGAGTTTGACCCTGCACACCGATTGTCGGCCAAGCAGGCCTGCCTCCACCCGTACTTCCGTCACGGCACCGCACACTACTCCGGACGTGGCCCAAGTAACGGCTACCAATAGTGTAACGATTCCTCACATTTTCTGTGTAATATTATTCACAGTGGGGAATGATATGGGGTTTTCTTTCTCCTCTTTCGGCGTTCAATGGGGAGTGATATGGAGGGCGGACTTACAGGATACGAAGTGCTTTAGTGAATAACAGGCGTACATACCCTTTCTACCCTGTAACCAGTGAAAAAATGATGTCACTATTGTAGCTTTCTCAGCCTCAGGTTAATAGCTGCAGCTTGCAGGGCGGCATGTCAGCTGAACTTCGCCCCGGGGCCCCACACATTGGAATGCTAAGCATTTCCAAGTTTACTTGCAACCTTCCTGTCTCACATCTCTACGGAGTGCTTTGAGGCCAATTGTAATCCAGTCTAAGTATGACTCGGAATTCATGCTTATTCGTTCTGTGATTTCTAGCAGGGAGCTGAGAAGCGAGGTGGGGGCCGAAAGCACGATGTGTTGTCAGATTCGCTCATTCGTACACTAGTCCAATGCACATGCAGCCTTACGAACCCTGTTACGGACACCCAGCGAATCAATACGAGGGAATGAAGGCTGAGGCTATGTTTATGGCTCGGAGTGGCCGTCTGAGGGGAAAATTGGGGAAAGTCTCCCCAATCTCTTATTTCGAAGAGCAATCCCATTCTATTTCCATTCGTGATCCCCATGTTGGTTCATTAGTGTGCTATAAGAGAAATAGCCGCCCAAGGGTTCCCACCGTGCTTCCCCTCAAACAAAAACAACAGAAAAGAACCTGAAAGCTTAACGAAGCAAAGAAAACCAGCCCAGACACATCCGAAACCATGGAGTTCGACGACGAGATGGGCTATGCCGTCGCAGGACCAGGCTCCTCGCGCTCAAACAGCCGACCGCCCCGTCCACGCTGTCAAGCACCCCAGGAATCCGTCAAGCAGTTCTGGGAACAATTCAACACCAAGTACCCGGGCAAAGTATACACGGTGCTGCCGGACAATCCGTACGCACGGACTCGGGCCAAGCGTGTACCCAGCGGCCGTATCCAAGGCCACGAGGCCGTCAAATCCTACGAGCAGGCGCGCCAGGAATGTCAAAAATCCGTCGACCGTATCGTCAAGGAATGCGAGCGTGTGAATCAGAAATATACCGACCCCCACTTCGATATCGAGCTGGATCTAAAGTCTGGTCGGAGACACTATCTCGATGGGTTGGATAAACCGAATACGTATTTTAGACCCCGGGGCGTGAAGAGAGTGACCGTTAGTTCGAAAGCGATCTGCCATGAAGTGATTGGATTATGGGTTGCTAATGACATTGGTATAGGAAATCTTTGAGAATCCGCAATTCTTCGTTAATGGGCCTACCGCGTCAGATGTGCGGCAGGGATATGATGGGGATTGCTGGCTCATGGCTGCGCTTTGTACTATGGGCAACAAGGAGGAGCTGATCCGGAAAATTTGTGTTGCTCGCAATGAAGATGTTGGGATTTACGGATTTGTTTTCCATCGAGGTAAGCGTGTGCGCGGAGTCCGATCAGACTTGGAATCATGCTGACTTTTCAATCAGACGGCGAGTGGCAACAGTGCATTGTAGATGACAAGCTATATCTCCGCGCAGCTGACTACGATGAATCTGTGGATGAGCGACCCCTCTGGGACGACATAACTCGAACTGATACGGAGGAAGAGTACCGGCGCGTCTGGCAGACGGGCTCGCGGGCCCTGTACTTCGCTCAGTGTGTCGACGACAACGAGATCTGGCTACCTCTTTTGGAGAAAGCCTTTGCAAAGGCCCATGGAGACTATTCCGCGATCGAGGGTGGTTTTGTTGGGGAGGCTCTCGAGGATCTCACCGGAGGCGTCACGTCTGAGGTCTTATCCAGCAATATCCTAAACAAGGACCGCTTTTGGACCGATGAACTAATGAAGGTCAACAAGGAATTCCTGTTTGGTTGCGGGACGGGCATGTTTTCAAACTGGTTAGATCCTAAGTACCAGGGTCCACCTAGGGATCGCAAGGGCATCGCGGAGGGCCACTCCTATTCCATCATGGAAGCCCGAGAGATTGATGGGCATCGTCTGTTGCGACTCAGGTATGTGCATCAATGTGCTTGTTAAAAGGCACATGAACGAAAAGCTCACATCACCTAGGAACCCATGGGGCCGCAAAGAATGGCATGGTGCCTGGGGTGATGGATCCAAAGAATGGACACCCGAGTGGATGAAAGTTCTTGGCCACCAATTTGGCAACGATGGTGTAGGTATTAATCCATCGCTTTCACTGAATACGCTGACCTAGCCCAGTTCTTCTGGATCTCTTATAAAGACCTCCTCAGGAAATACCAGCACTTCGACCGGACTCGCCTTTTTGGTCTTGAATGGACCATTACCCAGCAATGGACTACCTTGAATGTTCCCTGGTCTGCTGATTACCACGGCACCAAATTCATGATGGATGTGACCAAGAGTGGTCCGGTAGTCATTGTCCTATCGCAAGTTCGTTATGCGCTATTTACTCCTGCTCTTGCACAGTGGCTGACAGACACAGCTTGATACGCGTTATTTCAAAGGACTAGCCGGCGAGTACAGCTTCGTGCTCAAGTTCCGCCTGCAAAAGAAAGGAGAAGAAGATTATCTCGTCCGCAGCCATAGCAGCCACTTCATGGGCCGATCTGTCAACGCCGAGATTAACCTTGACCCGGGTCAATACCACGTCCTGATGAAAATCACAGCCTTCCGCCACGAAGGCGTAGACTCGACCGATGAAATTGTCCGCCAGGTTGCCTCGACCAGAAGAGAGAAATTGGTGCAAGTAGGCCTTTCATATGACCTCGCGCATGCGAAGGGAATGGTGGGCGAGACAGAGGAAGAAAAGGCAGAGCAGGAGCGTTTTAAGGAACTCGAGCGGAGAAAGCTTCGCGACGAGATCAAGAAAAAGATGCAGAAGGCTTGGATCTTCAACCAGAAGATGAATGCCCGACAAGAGCGCATGGAAGCAAGGCGCGTGACCCGCACCCCCAGCGGCAGCTCCTACGATCACAATCCCGAACGTGATTCTATCCCCAGCCAAATTCTGGCAGGAAAGTCAGTAGAAGATTCTCCCGTTGATGCTGCAAGCATCTCAAGTGAAATCGGTGACCGCCGTATCAACGGCTCTGTCCCGATCATCCACGTCAACGGCGGCCAGGGCCTGCACGCAAGACATGCAAGCAGTGGCTGGCGACGCGGGGCCGAGTCTCCACGTCCCAGTCTAGACACTCGCTTTGCTACAGAGACTCTGGACTCGAGTGACCTTGAGATACTAGAAGGGTTCGAATTCGACAGCGATATCGATATGCCTCCTGGCGAGGCGGATGTGAAGAATCACCCTCCGTCGATGGACCATGATGGGCCTCCTGTTGACCCGTGGAATGCTGTCTGTGTGGTTGGGTTGCGGGTTTACTCCAAGGATCCGGAGTTGGTTTTGCAGGTTGTGCGTCCTGTGCCAGAGGATTATATTGAAGCTCCTCTGGACCGAGACGACCCTGCGGCGTCGGCAACTACATCTCAGCGAGACCCTTATTTGTGAAGAGACTATTGGAGCAACTGGCTATCTGTTTAGTGCATGGCCCATAGCCGGTATTTTCGGTTTATTCAAATTGGAGAGCAATACAAAATTGTCATTCGTGCATGATTGGCTTGCATATGTGGTCCTTTGCTGTTGGATTGAGGAATGATGTAGAGAATATAATGTCATTAGAATCCAGATTGCATTGAACTTTACCGAGATTAATATTATCTTCGAACAAGCGTCATTACCATTCGAGTGTTTTAATGTTGAGATCTTTATCAATGGCCAGATTATTCAGGCATCCGCAGGCACCCACTACTCGGATCGCAAGGCCAACAGCTAGATTCTTGACAAGTTTTAACAAACATCAACGGCATGTTTAATAGTGCTATGCGGGATGTTATCTGCTCGTCCCGCGGCATAGCCCTTTTCCTGCGTCGCAGCAGAGGAGCTACGCGCATTTCCGTCGCGTGTTTCCAGAGCTCGCGATATTCGACCGTTTCATCCGATTGCACAGATGAGACAGTTTCTCTTCCTATTGGAAATAATGGGTCTATATATCTCCAGTAATAGATGCCCTTGATTATCAGCCCTAGTCATACATGCTAACTTTGTCCCCAGAATTACGCGACCGAGCGCGTTGAGCCGGCCTCAGCAGGGGCAGTCTCCAGAAGGCCCAAATATAATCCTCTACCTTCCCCCTGGACCTTTGTTACAGGGCAATGGCGAGAGCGGATCTCAAAAACATGAAAACTCTGAAATTGATCACCAAAAGACTGGCGATACCAACATTTGGGACTCTGCAGTAGGTTCGCCCCAGCATGTCCTAGCATCTACCGCATCTGCATTAGTAGTCACAGTCAACTACCGCCTCGGGGATATACCAACACCTATTTCCCCATCTTCAGATAAAAGCTCTATCCCACAAGAGCCAATTGAAGCCCCAAACCAAACACTGGAACCCAGCAACCCAGTCACCTCTTACAAATACCCAACCCCAGTCCACGATACCCTGGCCGGATTCGACTGGATCCGAACAAACCTCCGACCATCCCAACTAGCCATCTTCGGCACACACGTCGGAGGCTCCCTAGCGCTTATGCTAGCTCTAACAGAAGCGCAATCCATCCAAGCCGTCGCCGCCGTAGAACCTATCTGCGACTGGCCCGGCTTAGATGAATACTGCACGCGCGAGAGCACCACCACAACGCCCAGAACAGGAGCGGACAATACCACCTCAAGCTCAACATCCAAACACAAGCGCCAATCAAGAAAAAAGGCCCCCGCACCGCCAGATCTACTCCCCCTCCTCGAAGCCCGCTCAAAATTCTTCTCAACACCTGAGCGCTGCTTCGACTCCTTCTCCTCACCAATCCTCTTCCTCCGCTCTGCAGGCCGGGACGTGCCACGCGTATTCCCGCAGTATCTCACGGGACCGAAATACCCCGTCCCCGTGCTGAAGGAGACGCGAAGCACAACAGCCGAGCAATACGCTGCCGCGGATGGGTCGATCTGGGATCGGGATGTGTATCCCGATATGGATGCCGACGATGTCGAGGATATTAGTGGTACTGTTACGCGGCGTCGGAAGGCGCTTTCGCGCTGGCCGCCGTATGGACTGGATTATGGGCTTAGTGGGGATACGTGGTCTGGGCCTGGGGATGGGATTGGGCGGTTGGAGATGGCTTTGCCTTGGGTTCGGATTTTATTGAGAGAGGATGGCGATGCTTTTGCTTCGGGTTCTCTGTCTTCGTCTGCGATTGAGATGAAGAAGAAGAGTAGAGAAGGGGGTTCTGGGTCTACGGTTCTTGCGAGACAGGCTGATGAGATGGTTTCTGCTATGCGGCGGGCTTGCTTTTGGGGGCGGGAGAAGGGGGTTGGGGAGCGGAGGGTTACTTTAGCCCGGGTGAGGAGGACTGATGAGAATGAGGGAGAAGAAGTGGGTGATTGGTTTGAGGGTGTGTTTCAGGGAAGGATGGATGATATAGATTAAAACTGGTTGCAATGAATATATGATCGGATTGAGATATGGTATTGTGTGCAGAAGGAATGCATAAAGGTCCCAGGTTTGAAATGTGGAAATGTGAAAATAATGGTACATTTATGTGATCGCCTTCCAGTGGAGTGATATATATCAATCGATTATGGCATGTTCATCCAGGTAACAGGGTGTGAAAAATTCGACGACTCGGTGGAATAAGTACTCTTGACAATGCTGTGAATAATCAGACGAGCAAAGCAAAGAACAGCGTGACTATTCAGTCACCCAATATGAATTCATGGCGGCATTGAGTTCCTATAGTTTTCCGATGCCCACCATCCATCAATCGCCGCAATGTCTGATAGCATGCTGGGGTCCTCGGGGAAAGGAGGAGAAGGAATCTGGCCAATGCCATTTAATGCGTTGCCATTTTGAGTCTCTGACAAAAGACGCATGTCCGAGTTAGGGATCCAGTCTAGATCGCCTAGCTGGGAGTCGGGAACTGGGACGGGGAATGGGGCTTGCTGTTGATAGGAGTTTTGCTGGTGATATTGGTGATGAGGAGGCATGGTTTGCTGAGAAAGACGGGGGTATTGGTTGCTTGTCACAGGTGCTGTTGGCTGCATATGGGGACGGGCCTCAGAAATAGATAAACGGGATTTCTTCCGCGAGCCGTCTACGCCGTGAGCATTGGCAGCACGGGGATTCTGTATGGATGGCTTCTGTAAGCTCAGCGACGCTAAGTTACCACTGCTGTTTTGACGTTTCGTCGCGGAGCCGGATCGGCGCATGTTTGCTTGCCAACGTCGCTGGAGGGTAACAAGGTAGTCGCGGGTACGCTTCGCATTGTCGAATGATTGGCCCAGTTCATCGAGAGCGCGGAAGCATAGATTAAGATATGCTACCATTTCCGCGTTTCGGGGATAGGTCGGACTGTCACCCTGTTTGACTGGACTCATTGGGGAACTGGATACTGTGACGAAAAGAAGCATGAGCGCTGCGCTGAAGATTATCGCTACGACTTGGTTGTTCATGCGGCGGAATGTGTAGTGTTTTTCGAAGAGTTGGAGTAGTCGTGCGATGGCAGTGGCCGACTCTACGCACATGCGCCGCGCGTGGTGATACCCGGGACCTTGACGAGGACTGCGGGGCTGGATATAGCTTTTTGAGAGCCATGGACGGTGGAAGAAGATGATGATCTGGTGGTATTGCATGCTGCAAGATACTGTTAGTATGATTCCGGGTGGCTATTGTATTGGAACAAACTTACTGGAGCATCATCAAATGAGGCAATATTGGTGATTTATCATCGTCCAGATTAATCTGAAGGCTAGAGGGAAGATTTGCTTTCCAGGCGAACAAATCTTCCGTCACTTGATAGCAGATCCTTTGCAAGTCGTGCCGTGAGATATCGGAACATCCATACCTAAAGACATGTTAGCATTGCCCTGAATGGCATGCAAAAATCACATACAAAATATGACCAACTGGGGAGATCATCTCCCATAGAACGACAAATTGCCTGCATATTAGCTCCATAGGGTTCCTCAGGCCGTTCTCAGATAGCGCATGACTAGCTTTATGGCCGTATGGATGCCAATTTTCTTCCTTTTCAGGACAAAGAGCAGAGCCAGGTTTTGGAACCCCTATGTCCCCAGCGTTCATGCGGAATGGGCGGCCCAAGTAGAAGCCCCAAAAACTAGTGATCATTAGAGATATTCATAGTATAAAAAGTACGAAAACTCACTGGTCTGCGACATAGCTTCCCCAAAAGGTTGCACGGCGTACATCAGCCTCGAACTGGGTGATATCGCCCTTATTGATGTACGCCGTCATATCTAGGTGCAAACCAAGATCGAAAGCGAGCCGCATAGACATTCCTGTACAGCCATTGGGCAATGAGCGTTGATCATTTCGCATCTCCAGAAGATTTACTTGCCGCTATACAGCCAACCTCGAGCATCGCGATTCGATGCACCCTCGTGGCAGCTCATAATGACAAGGGCCTGAACAGTAGCAACACAAGGAGAGTCGAGTTCAATCTCCAGAAGGGCCTTGGCACGATCTGCGAAGAATTCGGAGAGAGACTTGGGGAAAGTGATGAACGTAGGGTGGTAGCGTGCCTCAAAGGCACTCCCGATCGCACACCTGCAACAAGTCAGTATATCACTTAAGCGCCGGAAAATGAAGGTGGACTCACATTGCATTGGTCAAAACCTCCGAGTAAAATGGAGTATCATCCAATTCATTGCGCCATTTAGTTCGTGCTATCATGAACATCTCTTTGTCGACGATGTATGTACTGGGATTTTGCCAGGTGAAATACAACTCCACAAGATGATCCTCTAAGGCTTGATCAACAGGCTGACCAACCCGGAGGTGATTCAGAATATCCTGGCCATCGTGGCGCACAGTGCGTGCGTCTGGTCGTTGCCGCTGCTGTGTCGCAGACACGTCCACCAGATTGAGGTTGGACGTGGCACCGTAGAAGCGCAGATGGCCATCTCCCGCAATTTTCAACGTGCCAATTCGGTGCGACAACTGTTCTATAACGTCATTTTCTGCCTCGTCCTCTTCGCCACTGTCCGAATCATTTTCTCCGTCATTGGGTAGCTGGCCTAGCAAGACTCCCGGCTGCTGGGCCATGTCCATGCCAAGCTGGTAGCTATCTGGGCTCAGTTCCGTGTTGATGGGGATTTTAGGCATTGTAGCGACCCCCGGTCCTCCGTTGAGATTGGCGTAAATCGTGTCCAGACTTTCAGCAGTTGGCAAAGTGAAGCCCCAATGGACGAAGTTTTGATTTTCGGAGGCGCCTTGTACCATTCCAAATGGATTCCAGCCCTCGGGCGATGGGACCTTTCCACTAGATGGAGTATCTTGCGTTGGGGATGCACCAGAAACTGCCAAATTGGTGGTCGGGGTTTGTCCCTTGGGATTCAAGGCAGGCGGATCTTGCGGCGGGGATTTGCTTAAGACCCTAGAGGCCGTTGGCTCATCCGGTGGTGGCTTTTCATCGGCCACTGCTGAAACTTGAGGGAATGCGCGCGGGATCTGGAGGGTATCCAATACTCTGTTCATCCCAGCCTCATCCTCTGGGTTCATTGGCGGTGGCTCTAGCCCCTGCTCCCGGATAAAATGACAAAGCTGGTCAATTCGGGCCGAGAACAACTCCGTTGATGCTCGAAGAGACACTCTGGTTTAGATTAGTCTTTGGACATTCAGTGATGTATGCCTATGAGGGCTGCTTCGACATTTAGACACCTTCGAACTGCGAAGAAGTACTTACTTGCGCTTATCGTCTCCATGTTGGTATTTGCATTCTTTCCCCTTGCGCTGACAATTTTGGCAGTGCGGAGTAGCTCCATCACACTGGCAGCACGTTAGATTCTTTCAACTCCCATTTAGGCTTTTTGCAGGCTCAGAGCACTCACCCTGATTTTGCTCTCCCGACATGGCACACAGGCGGTAGTGACATGTTTACGGGGTGTCTTTTTTGTTTTTTCTGGATCAGGCGACATGATTTATATAAGTTCGAGGCCCGATTCTTTCAAGGGCTGAAGCTGGTTGTGGAGTGTGTGGCGATGAATCCCCGCAGATAGGAAATTATGATCACTGTTTAATCCATCCCGGCTGAAATTCTCAAAATTCTCATTGTCAAGCCATTGGAAAAGGAAATTTATAAATCGCAAAAGGGTCTCTTCAGAGATCAAAATGTTCTGGGGGCGGGGTGGAAGAGGATCCACCGCAGCCTATGAAATGGTGGGGGATAAGCAGAAGGCTTTGGTCAAGTGACATCCAATCTAAAAAAAAGAGTATACGAGGAGTTATACATGTATTGGCTAGAGTAGTTGTACATGTATTGGCTAGAATATATGTAACTACCAGTCTCCAGTGCGCTTGATCCCCTCGTTCTGTACTACCTCAATCCAATATCCATCGGGATCCAAAATAAATGCAATGTTGTGCATCCGCCCGTCAGTCAGGCGCTTCTTAAAGTTCACATTCAGAGACTCGAAGCGCTCACAAGCAGCCGGGAGGTCGTCAACAGAGATACCTGATTCAAATTAGAAACCTTGGGAAAAGAATTAGAAGTCGTGTGATCATCCACTTACAGATATGACCGAAACCTTGGGGCTCAGTGTTACCGTTATGGTAGACAGGGCCCTCCTGCTTCTCGGTGCCGTAGTTCCAGGTCAACTCTAGGAGACCTTCCCATTCCGCCACTCCATTGCTGTTGCCCTCCTTAATCTCTGGGTTGGACGCCGGGTACCCCAGGAAATACAAGTTGAACTTGTTCTCTGGGTTCTCAATGGTGCGGACTAAAGTCATGCCCATGGATTCCTGGTAGAACTTCAAGCTGGCTTCGGCATCTTTCACGCGCAGCATGGTGTGGTTCAGTCGGTAGCTGCCCGGGTCGGTGGTGGTGCTGAGATTCTCATCGGAGCGACGAATAATCTCAACCCAGTATCCATCGGGATCCTTGGCGAAGGCGATGTGTCGCATACGGCCTTCGCTCAACTTCTTCTGGAAGGGGTAGCCAGCATCTTCAATCCGCTTGCAGGCGGCTTCAATGTTATCAACCGAGATGGCAATGTGGCCGAAACCACGGTGCGGCTCGGTGTTTCCGTTCACCACACTGTAGTTGGGGTCGTTCTCAGTGCCATAGTTGTGAGTCAATTCTAGAACGGCATTACGATCGGTCCAGTGACGGGTACCCTGGAGAGAGGCGGGGCCGTCATATGCCAGGAAGTAGTTGCAGAACTTCCACTCAGGCATGTCAATCTTATTGACCAGATTCAGGCCAAGGAACTTATAAAATTCCACGGATCGCTGCGGGTCCTTGACCCGCATCATCGTGTCTATAATGTCCCTATGTCAGTGATTGTGTCGAAAGAAATTGAATGGTCCACGAACGGTTGAGCTTATAGGTGGAGGTATCGGAAGCCATGGTTGCTAGAGATCCTGATAACGTCAGTAATTAAGCCATCTGAATATGAATTATGCTTACTGATTGGTACAAATCTTTGTTGGACGGCAGAAAGACGAGCGAGCATTTTAGAGAGGATGGAGGGGCGAAAGAGCTTTTTGTCAGCCGTGAGGAGAGTGTGGGGCACATGACGCTATATCCGGTATGAGATAGCTCTTATAGCTTATAGAATTTATTGTACAGATGTGTAGATACATAGATGTATAGATGTATAAGATCTGAGATCATATTCTATAGATTATCATGTGTACTTTTAAGCTATATCTAGTATGGTCTGAAATAGAATTGAAAGCTTAGAGCTATATAATATAACATAAACATTCGATAATATAGGTAATATAGACAAGGATAATATAGTAATAACCTGATTTTGAGCTAAACAATATTACAGGATAGCACAGAAGCTGAGATGCAATAGCTCAACGTGTTAAAACGTCATGCGGGAACTCCCCACGGGACCTCCAATTCCTCTTCTCTCCTACCTAAACACCTCGAACATTGAAACTCACACCATCGAACCCTCCCGAATTCATCCAATCCGACCCCAGTTTCACATAGGCCAGGTTCGTGGAAATCCTCTTGCATGTTCCTTCACACTCTCTCCCCCGCTCCCGGTTGATCCCTTTCCTACCATTGGCCTCATCCTCCCCCGGGCTTCGTGTCGCATTCCGAACGGTCTCTCAATTTTCGACTTTCTCATACTGCCGCGCTTAGCTCTCGCTTTCCACGTATCCTCCCCCTCTTCCTCTCCCAATCATGTCTCTGCTCATGTACACACTTCGCCCATATTTGCCCGATCGCTAGGGTGCTCCCATTGCGGAGCCACCTCTCACACCTATCTCATGACATCCTTGTCGTACCGGGGCTAATAAAGCTCTCTTTCCCTGGCTTTTTTTTTCTCTGTGCCACCGGAGGCGATTGGAATTATCGTGACTTTCCATTTGGACCAGAAAGCCCGGATGCGCATTGAGTCAACGGTTCTAAACCGCTGCCTGTTCCCCTCATTCCCTGTCATCTAGCTGGCCAGACCCCAGCTATGAGAACAATACCTGCTTCCATCGTGCCCTCTATTCATTGATTTTACTTTTTTTGTGGGGAATGAACAGTCGCGCTATAATCTCTGCGGAGTCTATCAATGGGTGTGAAGATGGCTGAATGCGAATCTCCTCCAGTTCCCGGCTTCTTTGATTCGATCTCCGATTGCTCCTCGACAACTACACCTACATCTACCTCCCAACCTCCCTTCGAACCAAACTTCCTACCTTACTGGGCCCGTTACGAGACAAAGTGTGCTCAAAACCTACTGGACTACTCTGACGAGCCGATCGAATACGACCACGACGACGAGGACTATCACGACAACTGCTTCTTTTTCCCGGAAGACTGCTCGTGGACACCACAAAAAGATCGCATAGCAGAGGAAGATCCCGTATTACAGCAGGAGGAACCCGAGATTCAGGAGGAATACACGCCTTCGGTAGGCCAGGACACCGACACCGACACCATGATTCCCGGCCTCCCCGATATAAAGATGCTGGACGCAGAGGCGCTAAGCGACCTCTTGGAAGACAACCTGTCCCCGCCGGAGATCACAACGATCATGTATGCCCGCCGTGCATCCATCGCAAGAAACACCTAATAACCATATCTCTCTAGTGTCTTCGCAACAAACGGCGCCGTCTTCGCCCACGGCTCCTCCCTCTCCTCACGCCAACTACGCAACCTCAGCGCAACCTACGGCGCCGCCTACACATGCTACGCCAAGACAGCCTCAACCGGGAACCTAACGGGCGTCAACCCAGCCAGCCATCCCTCATCCTACGTGACCGCTAAGTCAATGTCACTAGGCGACGTAGGCTCGATCGTCTTCGAACTAGACGACTCTGTCGCCGTGGTAACGCGGATCGCGGATAAAGTTCTCGTCGCCGCCGTCGGTCCATCCAGACTAGATACACCGGAGCCAAACGGTGCCACGAACGCCGACTCCCTCGCGGACAACGGTGTCCTTGATGCTGGGAATGGAACTTTGACACCTGAGGGCTCACAGGGTGATATCTCGCGCACACTGGCATCTGTACCTGCATCTCCGACCCCGGCTCAAAACGGCCACCGAGACCCGCAGCTTGAGATCGACCGTAGCGCTGATCTTGCGCGTCTAGCTAGCTTGAATCTCGCCGCTTCGCCGGCCGTCTTACTTGCGCTGGAGTCTAAATGCGCCGCGCTAGGACGTTTTCTTGGGGAGAAATTGGATGATCTCGAAAGTCCTGAGGATTTCTGATGGGAAATGAAAATGTCCGCAGCTATGGATACTGGGACCTAGCTAGCCCATGCCTGTGTGTGATTTCAGCATAGGCTATGATATGATTCGACGACACATTTCTGCCCGCTTTGTGTATTTGATAGTTAAAGGATCTTCGATCCGATTAGCGTTGATATTTGATTGCATTTGTGAAAAGAAATTCATTAAGAGGTATATATCAAGTTGAGGGTTGTTTCGCTCTCCGGATGGAATGAAACGCTACACCCTAATAAACAGATGAGATGCACATGCGTTATATAAGTATGTTGGGAGGTTAATGCAAGTCCAAAAAAAACCAAAAGAGCTTAAGAATTTATGACTAAACAACGAGGAAATCCATCTCATGACTTCTCCACAGCGGAGCCGCCGGGCGAGGTGTGGAAGTGGCTAGCCGTGCTGGCCGTGCGGGTAATTCCCGCAGTCGGGCTAGCAGAAACAGGGGAAGCAGCAGTAGCCTGAGCAGCCTGGGTCTTCTCCATTTCCTCCTCGGCGTAGCTGGGCGGCAGTGCCTGGCCGGACACGTTGCGGGAGGGGCTAGTAGAGCCGGCAGGCGAGGTGGCCGTGGGAGAAGCGAGGGTCGTTGCAGCAGCAGCCAGCGCCGGGCCACGGGTAGCCTCCTTAATAACGGACCACCACTTCTCAGCGTCGTTGGGGGTGTGAGCCTTGAAGCTGAGCTCGGTGTTTGTGTGGAAAGCGTTTCCGATTTTACCGCTGGAGACGTCTTTGCCCTTCACGTTGAACTTGATGCCGTCGATGGCGCCGACGACGCAGTCTGGCAGGTACAGCGAGAGCTCGGGGGCGGGGTCGCGACGGAAGTCGTCGTTGTCCTTGAACTCGTGCAGATAACGTGCCGGCGAGACGACGTAGTAGCCCGTGCTGTAGCCCTTGATGACGGCGCGCGAGCGACGCTCGAGAGAACCCTCGATGAGAGGCTGTGTGGAGCGGTGGTCCATGTTCGGGAAGGTGATGCTGGAGAAGGAGCGTGGGGGTGAGTCTGGGTTGACTAGGGTTGCGTCGTTGCGCACGCAGAAGTTGATCCATTCGAAGTCCGGTGGGATGCGCTGGGCGGTGCCGAGGATGTCGGCGTACATGGCGCGCTGGCGTTCGAGTTGGCCGCCCATGTGCTGGTGGAATTGCTCCAGGGTGCCTTGGACGGTTTGCAGGACGTGTGCTTCGAACTGCTGGAAGGAGTTCTGCACGGCGAGAATATCCTGGCGGTGATTGTTCTCCTCGTTTACTTGGTTGTTTAGACGGTGGTTGATACCGCGCTTGAGGAGGTAGGGGTCGTGGTGCTGCTCGATTTTACCGGAGGCGGCGGCGTCGAAGGAAGCGGAGTTCTGGCCTAGGAGCTCGATGTGCTTCTGGGTTAGACCGCGCGCCTTTTCGACGGCCTTGGCTCCCTTGCTAGCACCGCTGCTCAGCTCCTTGGTCTTGTTTTTGATCTCTTTGTGGAGACGCTCGAGGGTCGGGAGCACGGCGTTCTTGAGATTCTTCTCGCCGTCCATGTACATGGTCACCATTCCCTGGGTGTTGTTGCGGAGGTTTTCAAATAGACCAGCCACGCCGCCTGCGCTGGAGCTGAAGTGGTGCCCCTCCTTGAGTGGTTCGTTCACGGCCTATTCCCATTCTTTGTCAGTCTTGGTTACTCCCGCTCACGGAAGAGGCACTGACCTTCAAGATCTTCTCATAATCCTTGGATTGGGACTTCTGCACTTTGGCAGTGACAGAGAAGTAGTCCTCGAGATATCCGCACATATGCTTCCAGGCTCGGAGACGCTCAAGCAGGAGATTGGTGGTCTAGTAACAAGCACTGTCAGTCCAAGCTACTCCTTTTCTTTCAGGGCATCATGAATACATACCTCACTACTATCAGTTTCGGGGATAGCCTCATCGTCACTCATGGAAGTACGACGAGTGAAGGCGCTGCTCACGGTACCAGACCGCTGAGGCAGCTTCACATCCGCAGGGATCGTGGACATGACGGAGAAACGCGTAAGGTAGATCGGTGAGTTCGGGATCCAATTCAATCGATAGTTAAAGAAGTCGAAGCTATCCCAAAACCGGGGCTGAAGAGTGATGTGGCTCAAATGAATAATTGGGGGGGTTAATAGGGTGGCTGTGGAAGACCAAGGTGTGGGGGTTACGCTAGTCTATGGCCGGACTAGTCTAGTTAGCACTTAGAGATCCATAAACGGAAGAGCATACTTACAAGTTGACAGTAATAATATCCCTGAGATGTTAGGTAAAAAGGATTAAAGCGGGAGAATTCATTCTTAACCGATCGACGTCAATGAGGTCACCGTGCCCCTCAGCCCAAAGCCACAAAAACCCTAGGCCTTGTGGCTTTTATCGCCAACTCAAATATTCAAGTTATTTAAAGGGGCCTGGGGTTATTTTCGAATTATGTCATTTTGATTTGAGTGACATGTACATTTTACAATGAGGCAAGTAGTGCTAGCAAGGACAAGGTAACTATAGCTTCAACTCTAACCAGACCTAGAAGAACATAAAATATATACAAGGTATATGATAATCAAGACTAGCCAAGGCCATATGTCAATGGACCCTCCAATGTTACATCTATAAGCGAAACAATCCCATTGACACTGAAAAAGAGTCCTCGAAGTCAGGGTCAGGGGGAAGATTAATTACCTAATACGATCGACAGCTAATTTCCTAATCGGGTAATGATATCATCGGTGCCGATGTTAAATCTGTTAAGCATTGAAGGGTTCGATCTAATCGACAAAAATAATTAAGTACATGCGTTCAAGGCTTCGTATGCGTGGCTCGTGCTAATGGGTATGTGTTTTTTTTTTTTCAATGTCGTGCAGCTCGTTCATATCGGATCCCTTTCGTAAAGTAGGAAAAAAAAGGCAAAAAATTCAAAACACCGCGCGTGACCATCTATGAGAAATATCCTTGCCCGTCTATGACCGAACGCCTGAGGAAAAATGATTCAAGAAAAGGCAAAGAAATAAGATGTCCGAAGCTGGCGCGGGTGGACAGTAGAACGAGTCAGAACAATGTTGAGTGAGTAGTTCCAGATTGCCCGAGCCTGGGGCTCGAAAGGGGGGGGCAGTTAATGCTTGGGTTGGCCGTGATCGGTCGTGGAAAAGGAGATGAGAAAAGTGGAGGAAAAAAGAAAAGGTGGAGGGCGGTTCGCATCTCAGTGTCCAGCACTGGTACGGAAAGAAAACTTTTGGTGGAATTCGAAGGATCATGCGTGGATCGGGGGTCATGAGCACACCTCATACTCTGGCGCGAGCTTGCACAAGTCTAAGTCTGCGGTCCTCATCATCAGCATTGGTGCCGTGAGAGTGGAAGAAGCCGGGGCGAGTAGGCACCTCTAGGGGAGTTGCAGTTCCACTTGCACGGCCGCTGCGGATGTAAGCCTGCTGGGGAGACTGCGGGACCGATATCGTGGGAAGGCTGCTAGCGATTACAGCGTTGTAATCCGGGAGACCGGAATCACGCGGACGCACGGCGCAGCGCACTGCAGTCGAATAACTGGGAACCCGGCTAAGAGTCTCCACCTCATCGTACTGGGGGTGAAAGGGAGTTGCCATGCCCGAGGGAAGGACCTCGGGCTCCACCTCATCGGATGGCCGACGAGAGAGTTCCGGACTGCCATGGCTGTGTGAGTTTGATCCGGAGGACGGTCCGAAGTAGTCATTAGGGACACCCAGTTGGCGATGGATGTGGTGAATGTCTATTGGGGATTGAGATCCATGGAGCGCCTCGCCAGGAGTGACTGTACCAGGAGTGGCGGGGTGGTGGAAGGGACTTGCGTTCAGGTTTGTGAGACGATGATGCAGTGCCGAAGCTGAGATATCGGTGTTGGTTAGGGCATTCATGGAGGCGAGGTTCTCTGACGATATGTTGCGACTGAGAGGAGTGAATGGCGTGCCCGGACCACTGCCGGGGCCTGGTGTGCGATAGCCGCTAGGATCCAGCTCGCTATACAGCTGATCGAACGTGTGCTCGCCATAAAGGGGAGGCGCCTGGTGCGCGAACTCATCGACGGCGATTCGGGTAGATTGGGGGGTCTGTGCAAGAAGGTTGTTGTTGTCGTCGATGGCAAGGTGTGGTGAGATGAAGATCGACACTGGAAGCGTTGCCCGGAGCTGCATCGAGATGTTAGCCAAATAGAAGAATAGTCAATCGTTCTACTATTACTCACCTCACTGACGTGCCCGTCGGGGTTGTGCAGCTGAATACGGAACTTCAACTTGTGGCGGACTTTGATCCCCTTGGTGTCTGTATCCTGCAGGCAGCGGGTCAATGTCTGGGGCATATCTAGGATGCGCGTGCATTGGTATCCCTCGGCGGTTTCATCGATGACTTCAATGTTGTCCTCGTCCAGCTCATGCTCGTCGGTCAAGATCGTCCTTGTGACCTTGTATGTGTTTCGAATGGAGTCAGGGTCTTCCGGATTGAGGGTCAGGTCGTGACTTTCGATTAACTGTGACGTAATTTGGCCGATTCGAAGACCCTTGAGAAGCGGAATCAATTTGAAGTCGACGTGGATGGCGGTTCCGAAGACAATGGCTTTCGTCGGGGTACTGATGGAGTATTCAATCTTGTTGGGCCAGATGTTGTCCACGGACTATGAGATTCGTCAGTACAAATATATCACTTGAGCCGATAACCACTTACCATTGCATGTGATAGCTCGAGGGCGCTGGGATCCAGAGTTCGTATGATCCTGAGCGGTTTGCGCGCGACGATGTCCTTGACGTATTTGCGGCCGATCTCGGCCTTGAAGCGGTACATCACCCATGTCTCGGCAAGACCTTCCACACTTTCGGGCATGGAGCCTTCAAGTATCACATCAAAAGGGTACTCATAGTTGCCTGCAGGAAGGACCTCGGTTTTTCCTTTGCCCGGGTCCCGGAACGTCCAAGTTTTCTCATAGAACACACGCTCGCGCCATGACTTACGGCCACCGGCGGCTGCACTAGATGGGAGTTGCCAGCTGTGGAAATTTCATGTTAGTGGTGTTGATTCGGACTTGGGAAATGCGACACATACCAAACGCGGGACATGCCCGTAAGCTGGAGTCGGAGGTGTTTAATGGTGAGCGGTTCGGACAAACAGAGGATCAGAGTGCCCCGCAGATGCGCGCTCGCAGCTTCATGTTCACCGCCACGAAACACGATGTACTCATCATTCAACCTAGATAATGTCAGATGTGCAGTTCACATGAGCTGCAGGTCCCCCACTCACCTAATGTCAAAGTACTTGGCGCTGCTGGCACTCCCGCCACCACTGAAGAAGCTGAGAGCCATTTTTGAATTTGCCCGCAGCAATGGGCTGTCAAGAAGGTCGGGAATAAAGATATGAAGAGGAGAGAAAAGAGTAAGAGGTAAAAGAGATTAAGCCTGGTAAGTAACTCGGTATGTCGGTATTTTTTCCGTTTTTCTCTATCGCTGATCTACCGGAACATGGCCAGATACGCACGGCTGGTCCGACTCGCGGGTCCTCAGTGGAGTGTGCCGGAAGCGGCGATTTATTATTTTTCTCTTTTTTCTCTCTTTTTAATTCTTTTTGCAGTGGCGAGTGAAACTGACTAAGCCCATGAAATAGGTGAGAAGTTAGGCTCCGATTGGCTTGGCATATAGATGAATAAATAGAAGAGAGAATACAATAGGGAAACAGTGAGATTATAAAGGATTTAAGAGATTTGAGAAGAACCCTAGAACCGTTTTAGCCGGTTAATCACATCAAAATGAGTACCTGGTCTTTTACGTCAGCGCTATCATATGAATGTCAGACCTCTACATACTACCTAGGTCCATGCACATGTTCCTGTTGTACTCCGAATACTCCGTGGAGCATGTATATTCACTTTGTTAGATCACCTAGTCTCTTTGCTATTAAATACAAATCGCATTTTACTCAGAATCAAATTCGAATACTATCACATGAATAAAACCATCAACTTACCCCGATCTTCCGGGTCTTTATTTACCCATTTTATGCATCGCGCCATGCAATGTTGTACATTCCTCGGGATCACCCTTCCCGCATGCTTTAAAGATCTCTTACGATGCACAATGTCAACGCACATATCCCTTCTGAGTTACACAACATGAAGTATTATAAGGTTCATACTTCAGAACTTGATCAACTTAAAACCCCCGGTATGATGAAAAAGGCATCTATCTACAAACTATACCCAAGCCTGTATACAAGATATAATATGCATACCAGTCGTGGCACATATACTGCCTGTCACCTATCAGGCTCTGGATGGCGCCACTCAAATGAAGAAGACACCTTCCGCTTACATCGTCAGCCTTTTTTAATCCCTATCCAACTACCGCCCGTTCACGCCAAGGGTTGGCACTCCAATATGCCAATCCTGTCCACATACACTGACAAATGCAGTTCCAGAAAGGGCGGTGTCTCCCTGCAGGTGGCGTGCCTGAAAATCCATGCAAATGCCCGCTGCATGAAATCTATACGTACTCCGTACCTTTGACTTTAACGAGGCAAGCTTGGCCTATCTTAATCTCGGAGTATGCGGAAATATCCGTCTAACCGAACCCAACACTTACATCACTGAGCGCGGTAAGAGCGGGAACCTGGTCTGATAAAGCTCCACCTAGCTGTCAATGCCCGTGGCGTTGTGATAGGTTCAAAGCGGGTCATATTGCGAAAGATTTCAACCTTGGAAGGGCAAAACCAAACATAGATAAGGTCTCCAATACAAACAGCTTATTACGGCATGACCCACTTCTGCGGACTTGTTTCGGGAACTCCGTAATATTAAGTGTATACTCCCGTACCAACATCACAAAGCTAGAAGTCGGCCTGCTCCCGATTGTGTCAAGCCGACCGCGGGCCTAGTCGGGATACCTTCACATATCGGGAATTTCCGCTTCACCGGATCGGAATCCCGATAGCGTGCCGATTTAATCTACCCGAATGCACCGTGTCTTTTTATACTAGGCTTCCCGGTGTGTTATTTAGG